ATCAATACCTATATATTGATTAAAACCTTATACTACCCACCTAGCTTTATATTTTAATAGGTTATTATTTATATCTGTTTTTAATTTATATACTTATCTTTCTTCTAAGGGCTTAATTCCTTTAGGTAAAGGAAGTATTATTTAAGTATATATATTATGTAAGTTATTAACCTTTAAAACCATTGCTTAAATCTATTTATCTCTAGAAGTAGAAATTATAGCCTTTTTATAGGTAGTAGGGTCTTTATCTGTTGTTATAGTAAGGATATATATAGCTTTATTAAACCTATTTATCTTATTATTTTGATTATTTATAGTGGAAAGTATTGGTTTAATTATAGGGTAGTTTTTTATAGTATATAAAGCGTTTTCTTGGTCTGCTACTTATTTATAGTCTTTAAGCTTATTATTATTTTGCTTAGGAATTTCTACTATTATCTTGGATTTATTATTATTATTATTATTATGATTATTATAATTATTATAATTGTGATTATTATAATTATTTTTATTTGTTATATTATTATTATTTATTAGCTTTATATTTATACCTCTAGGATTTAAGTCTTTCTTTCTACTTTTATAGTTACATAGGGATATCTTATTATTACTACTATTTTCTTTATTATTTATATTTATATTATTATTATTAATAGTAGAAGGTATAAACTGATTTTCTAGAATAACTATATCTCTAGTCTAAAAGGAAGTTTTCTTTTGAAAATTATATACTTTATATATATTATTTCTATAGTTAAGTACTATAGCTTTTATAGCTTTATTATTTAGCTTTTTTATCTTAGGATCCTTATTCTTATAGTAATATATAGATCTAAAAGTTACTATATTATTAATATTAGGCTTTATATTATTACTTATTTTATAAGGGGTCTTATAGTTAAGAGCTTTATAAGGGGTTATATTATATAGATCTACTGCTGTTAAAGTAGCTTCTTTTTATAGATATAAAAGTAAATTTGCTTGTAAAAGTATAGCTCTTATTTTATTAGTTATAGTCCTTATTACTCTTTCTATTATACTATTAGGCTTATAAGTATAAGGTACTTTTATATTATAATTTATTTCTTTAATTATATAGGTATAGTTTATAGTATTATTATTAAATTCTAGACTGCTATTTGTATTAAAGTCTTTTATCTTATTCTTATTTATATTATTCTTATTTATATATTCTAGAACAGCAGTATTAACTTCTTCTGCTTCTTTAGTTCTAAGTAGTTTTATAGATATAAGTCTAGATTTTCTTTCTAAGAAGATAATAAACCATTAATATTTATTATAGGTAGAAGGTGTTATAGGTCTACAGAGATTAGAAGAGACTTTTTCTATATATTTATAATTCTTATTATAGTTATTAGAATACTTATTAACTTTAGTAGTAAAGTTTACTTTTATATAGGTATTATAAGTATAGTCTTCTTCTATTATATTATTAGTTATATTTGTATTATCTTTAAGTTATATTAAGACTTTTCTATTTATGTGTCTTAGTCTATTATGCTACTTTTTATAGTTATTAATCTCTTTATTATATATAACCTTCTTATATTTATAAAGTTTTCTTCTTATATTTATAGTATTTATATATTCTTTATAGTTATTAAGATCCTTTTTATTTAAAACTTTTATATTTAGGTAATATAAATTATCTTTTATTTCTTTTTTATAAAGGGTTCTTTTATTATTTATATTTATTAAAAATACCTTTGTATTCTAGAAAAGGGAGGCTATTTTAAGTCTTCTTAGTCTATTTTGACTTAGAAGATTAATATTTATTTTAAGTATATAATAATAGTCTTTAAGGATATATATATTATTATTATTAAAAAAAGAAATTACTATATCTTTTTGTAGAGAGATTTTCTTTTTTTTTATATCTCTTTAGTTAATATACCTGTTTATATAGGTAGTTTTTATAAATAGGGATTTATTACTTATAATATTAATAGTAGTAGTAGTATCTAAGTAGAATATAATATATTTATTATTCCTAGTTATATATATAGGTTTATTTATATTACTTATTTTATTATTAGTTATAGTTATTATAAAAGAGGTTATATAACTTATATCTTTAAAATCTAAGTTTATTTTACTCTTTTTTTCTTATTAAGGGTTATCTATAACTATATTATTTATAACTATAATATATGTATTTTTTGTGTCTAATTTATCTAATTCTTTAGAATCTTTTTTCTTTATTATAGCTTTTTTAGCTATTAAGGCCTTTTAGGCCTTATAGAGCTTATTTCTCTTTATATTAGTCTTTTATTACCTTAGGACTTTTTTCTTAGTATTATCCTTATTTTTCTAGCCTTTAAGGGCCTTAATAGGATATAGGAAGTTATAGTCTTTAACTATATGGTTTTTTAACTTATAGTATATATAGTAAATACTTTTTGTCTTTTTTTAAGGCTTTTTAATTTCTTTTTTAAAGGTAAAAGTATATAATACTATAGAAGAACTTTTTTTTTTTGCTTTATTTATAAGATTTATAAAAAGGGATTTTATAGTATAGGAATTTGTATTCTTTTTAAGGGCTTAGGTTATATTAGTTATAAAACCTTTATAACTATTATCTAAACTATTTAATACTTAAGCTATAATAACTTATTTTAGTAAACCTATATCTTTAAAAGATAAGTTATTTATAAGCTCTTTTATCTTATTAAGGTATTCTTTTATAGATCTAAAGGATTCTAAGAAGATATTAAAGAACTTTTTATAAGTAAAATATTTATTAGTAAAACTAGTAGGTTTATATAGATCTTTTAGTTTCTTTTAGGCCTTATATTCTATTATAGAGTCTTTTATAACCTTTAAAAAGGAATCCTTATAAAATAGCTTTATAAAAGCTAATACTTTTATATTACTTTTTTGTTAAGAAGGTGTAGTTAGAGGGGTTATAAGACTAAAGTTAATATCTTTACTAATAAGTAAAGCCTTAAATCTAGTTACCTAAACATTATAGTTAAGGCTACTAGAAAGGTGTAATATATAGATTTTTTTTATAGTATTAATTTAGTTTAAATTTAATTAAAATATAAGGATTTTAGTTGATTTTGGTTGATTAGAGAGAGATATTGGTATTCTGATAGTACTGTTGAATTTGTCTTGAAAAATAGGCCTTAAAAGTGGTTGGGTTGTTATAATGTTGTTATTAATAGTATGGTATTATGTGGTTGTTTTGGGTTAAAGATATATATAGGCCTTTAATTGAAGAAGCTTTTACTAGACGGTAGAGTAGTTAGTCTAGTGGTTTAGCTATCCTCTAGATTAACTAATTGAATTGGTAACTTAATTAGAGCTCTTGGGTTTAATTCTAGCTTAAGGTATATAGTCTTTGTTGGATATAGACTAGAAATAACCTTCAACTGGTAAGGTAGGATTGTGATTTGCCTGGAGCTGTAGTGGCGTAAAATATAGCGATAGGTGTAGTGCTTGCCCGGTAAGCTGGTCTCTCTATTCTGCTGAATATGGACTGCTGGGTGTGAGGTGTAGCTGCCTTAGAGCTGTATTCCTTAAAATTCCCTTAGCTAATGTGGTATGTCCCCTGGCAAGGTTGAATTTTTGTTGTATAAAATAGAGGTATAAGGTAAAGATATAAGAGTTGTCTTCTCTACTGAGCTAGGCTTATAACCAGTAAGAATAACAGGGGTTATTTATAATAGTTATAAGGAAAAGTAGAGAAGAATAAAGGTAGACAGAAAAGGTATATATATATTAAACGTTAAGGTATTGTTATTCTTTATTGTTTTTCTAAAACTGTCTAAGTAGAGGGAATATCTCTTAGTTATATAGAAAGTCTTTTAGATATATATAGTATCTAAGCGTATATCTAAGCGTATATTTAAGTGCTAAGAGGTACTTATATGTTTTTTGTATATATATATATATGCCTATATATGCCTATAGACAAGTATAAGCGTTAGTATATGTAATGCTTAGAAGTATATGCGTTTATATATAATAGACTATATTAGTTTGTAGTAGTTTATATTAGTATAGTTATATATAGTAATATATACTTTTATAGGTTATTTTTCAAGAAGAGTCTAGAAAAGATAACTATATATTTATAGGACTTTTAGTTATAGAGTTATAAAGAGATTTATATATAAGAATTATAAGAATTTTACTTCTTAATTCTTAGTCTTTTTAATAATTAATTTTATATTAAAAATATATCTTTAGTTATAGTTAATATTATATAAAGTTCTCTACTTATTAAAGTCTAATATATATTATATTATATTTATTAAAAAAATAATTAGCTATATTTTATATATTATTAAGTTATAGTAAAAATCCTTAATTAATTAAGTTAATAACTTATTTAAGAATTACTATTTTTTTTAGTTTAGTTATCTTTATTAATTTTATATAAGTCTTATAATATAGTAATTATTTAACGTATTAGTATTAAAGTATTATTTTTAGAATATTATAAATAGAAGTTATTTTTTATATAGATAGTTTTAGGTCTTTTTTAATAGCTTTAATTATAAGGATAATATAACTTTTATTTAAAGAAGAACTTATTATTATACGTAGAATAAAATTGATATAAAGTTGAAGTTTGAGGAGGAAGGAGGAAGTGGGCCACTTGCTATGATGGGCCACTTGCTATGCATGTACGTTAGCTATTCAAAAAAGAAAACAAGTAACAAGTAGATAATATAATATATATCTAAGTGTTACTTATTACATTTTTGGTTTACTTTTAAGAGCTAATACAAGGCTTATTTGTACTTATAGAAAGTATAGGTTTTAGGTGTGCACTGTGGTCTGTTCGGATACTTTTGGGTCCCCACTGTACATTCACGGGAACTGAGGAAATAACGCGACATTTTGCGAATGATCAGATCATCTAGCAGCAACGATGAATCGTGTCTTCACTTTTTATAGTAAGGTTATGAAAAGCTCCTCATCTTCCATCTCCTTCCAAGGATCCCTCATAGTGTCCCCAACGATCTTTTTTACAGGGGGTAAATGAACTGTTTGTTTTGCAAGTCCGTCAGGTCTAATACAGCGATGTCGACCTTGACCTTGATAACCTCGCCATTTTCATCCACCTGCTCAACCCACCCTTCCCGCTCGTCATCACTCAGGTTAGCAATGTACTCCAACCTTTCTGCATTCCTACGCGAAAGGATGAAACGGATAATCCAAAGGATGAGCGGCGTGCCCACCCAACTGACCGTGATCATTGATGACCATGCGCCGTAGAACCGCGGCCCGTTACTCGACACCCAAATCTGCGGCGACACGAGATTGCCGACGCTGTAGCCTAGCATAAACATGACGTTCCGCGTCAGCTTCTTGGTGTACCCTGCCGCCGTCGATGTCGTCCAGCCCAACGCGATAATGTAGGTCACGCCATATGTGCTGGCAGCCAAGATAAGCGATCCCAAAAGAGCGATTTTGGATTCCCAGTTGATTGTGACCATGGCAATACCACCCGCTACAGCGGGAAGACACCACACCGTCCCGTGCAGAGCCAGATTCTTTGGCCACCTGCGCAGGGCAAATGTAGCGACGACGCAGCAAGCCATGCCGAAACCGCCTCCAGCCGCAGCGACAAGGGTAGACCCGAGCGGCTTGATACCGATGGACGTAGTGATAAGGTTCTTCTGTCCGTAGTTCAGGTTGTTCGAATACATCAGTGTGAAAGACTGCAACGCGAACAGCCACGACACGGGGTCCTTCATCGTCTCCACGAATTGCTCCTTCTTGAACTGCTTCTGCTCGATCGAGCTTTGCTGCGCTTGATGCACGCGTCGGATGACCTGCACCTTCTCTTCGAGTGTAAGGAAGCGCGCCTCAGCCGGGTTGCTGGGGTAATCGAACCACACCCAGACCGCCAGGAGAAGCGTGAGACCGCCCGTGACGACGTGGAGCAGCTTCCAGGGGAGGACGGGACCGGTAGTCCAGAGTAGGCCGTAGGAGAGGAAGCCCGTCACCACGGGGGCTGCCTGGCAGGTGATCCAGAGCACGGGCTGCAGGAAGGACTGCTCGTGGCGGTTGAAAAACATTCCGATTGTAATCTCCATCGCGGGCACGATGACGGCTTCCGCAGCGCCGAGAGCGAGGCGCATCACGACAAGGCCGGCGTAGCGGGTTGCGACGCAGTGCAAAAAGATGATTACGGACCAGGCGAAGATGGTTATGGAGACGTACTTGCCGAAAGGTAGTTTTTGCATGAGGTAGTGACCGGGCCATTGGAATGCCAGATATCCTGGAAGGACAGGAAAACTGGTTAGTACTGGTCGATGCAAACAGTCTTTACACTACAAGGAGTTTCATACCGACGTAGAACATTGTGTTCAGATTGTTGTACTGGGCTTGTCTGATACCGGTCTCCTCAAAGAGGCCTAGGATGGCGGCATAGCCGAGCGTTGACTTATCGACCTTTGACAAGCACACATGTAAGTGGACTGAGTTTTGTCGAGGATGAAGAGTTGAGACAGAGGTTTCTCATGTGAACTTACAAACAACATAATGTTGATTGCGGACAACAGAGTCATGACGCGAAGATAAAGCTTTCTGCGGATCTTCTTCTCCAACTCAGGCGTAAGCGGCCCGAAGTCGTCGCCATGTTGTTCGAGCAATCGTAGCGTCACGTCGGCGTTCTTCTCCGTAACGGTTTTACCCTTGGATGGGCTCATAACTTGAGGGCGAACCCCCTTCTCCTCGGTCATGACTAGGTAATTGATAGTGCGACAATGCAAAGTGAACTTCTCATTCCCGTATGTCTAAAAACAATAGCCACTTCTCTGTACGTTGCTTCGAAGACACCCTACAAGAAACCTCAAAGGTCGACAGTAGCGACTAAAACTTATAAGACAAACTTCACATCGAAGGGCACAGTGGAGTTCTAAGATGTCGTTATCAAAGGATGCAATGAATTGAAGTTACTGGCGCCATGTTGCAAGAGGATTGGTCGACCAGGATCTGCCAAGCATCCAATGCGCGATGTCTCTCCGCTATCACGCAATACCTTGCGGCGATAACCCTGCCGCTATTCGCCAACTTTTTATCTATCGCCATTGGGCTTCTGATGGTGTCATACATGAGCTATTCATTCACCCAATTCTTGGTCGGAGCTAAATACGACCATGAGGTGAGGAAGCTGCAAGCCTAAGACCGGAGTGTCGGCGGTAAACAAGGACTCTATTATTACGACCCAATTAAGGCTGTGAGCTCCACCTACATCATATCATCTGCGATCATTGTAACATCCCAAATGTTACGACTCGACAAGAATAACATAACCTGTGCCGCTCCACAGGAATCTGGCGGCTATAGGACAAGATATATGCGGGGGAACACGGGAACACATCAGACAATCAGACACCCCTCGAAACGGAAGAACTAGGGAAGGTCACTTAAAGATAAGAAAGGAGCGACAACTGATAAGCTGTCCCAAGGTCAGGACCGGCTACAGGAGGATCGGTCCCAGCATCATGACCATAGGAAATAGGACGTTCATTCCAGATAAATAAAACACCTTCTATAGCTCTTCAGCAATGAACTTGCTGATTCACTCTACCATTAGTGACGCTTAGATTATCCTTCTATTTTCAAGCTGTACGAGCTAACCCACGTCGTAAAGTGTTTAGTTGATCACCAGACACCAACAGACCCAATAAGACTTGCCCTACTGTTATTGAATATCGACCTTAGCCACCTGTCATTATAAAACACCACTCAGATATCTGATCGTAACACCAAAGTAATGCTGGGAACACTCCAGGCAACTAGACAAGACAGCCCCTACACGCGTCAATCGACTTATATGAAGTATCATCCGGGTTTGTCCCATGTATTGCAGAAACCTTTCAGATTTTGGAAACGCCTGTAGCCCAGAGGGCGGGTTCTTTTCACATCATATAGATTGTTTGTTTCTTGTCTTTCTGTAAGGATGCGTGTTCCGTTTCACTTTGTGATTCAATCTAAGGAATAGTCCACCACCCCCTCATAAGCTTCTTTAGATCGATACTAGCTAGGTCAACTAGATAAGACGTGATGTCTTGATAAGGATCCAACTCTACTTTGGTATAATCGTTGACGAAGCACCACAGCAATCGATGTTCCGTGTCTGCCAGATACTCATCTTTCCAGTCCTTCCATCCGGAGTCGTCTACGATGATGGATCCAAGCGACGCACTTCCGGACTAAAGTCCAAGTATCCGTAAGCCAAATCTTCCGCTATTGTACCATAAGCTGCACATCGAGAGCACCGATTCTCTCCAGGAGGCGTCGGAATACTGCATGAAGTCTTCGGCGGTATGTTTTAAGCTGGGTGAATTGTATTAGTCTTATCTCGACTCGTCTTTCTGATTACCTTGCTGAAGTGAGTGATCTGTGCTTCTACATTGTGAGGCACTGTACCCAATCGGCCCTCACCATTAGGTTCTTGGATGAATAAGAGATCTGGGAGTTCAGGAGTAGCGAAACCGAAACTACGCTCAGTATCATAATTTGAGGGAAGCAGAGACAAGCAGTCAAACCGGCCAACACAGCCCTGGGAGACCAATGTCTCGGTATACTGATCGACAGGTAACTGTTTTACTAGAATCGTTTTCTGTTACTCAGTCGGATTAAGGGCCCTTACGGATACGGTGGACAGAGGTCCTAGACCTAAATCTATCAAGTCACTAGTGTTACTAAGTCAATAGAAAGTCCGGTTGTAGGAATTGCGCATGTACAAGGAGCAAGTCTTTAAACCCTAAAACATTAAGTAGTTTGTGCTTCGCGTGCCTCGTTGTTGTTCTTGGGTCTTTAAGCTGACCGATGAAAACACTCTCGGAGTTGTACTCAACCCCGTCTAGATACTTGAGGTAGGTGTTGATGTCCTTCCACGAGTCCCTAGTCTCCTAAGATATTAGAATGGATTGAACCGTGGCTGAGTCTACTCCATAGGATTCAGCGATCCAAGTCTTGTTGTGAGCATAATAGTCGAAACTAGCAATTCTCTTCCGGGTGTGAAGTACTAATTGAATATTGGTTGCTCCATTCCTCACGACCGCTAATGTTTTCCCGGTCAAGTCCAAAGTTGGGTCCCAGTCCGATGTGTAACGAGTTAGTCGCTTGAAGTTTTTGATTCCTGGGCAGACAGCTTCCAGGCATTCCACATACCGTCTATTGGCCGTGAGAATAAAGAATGCCCTGTGAACACAATATTTACTTTTTGTTCTACAAGTTACCGACCTTGACAAGTCGGCCTGTCTATTCGCTGTCATATACAATAAGGTTATTGGCTTCGTGAGAGAGCCTCAGGTGCTTGCACACTCCATACTTGTGCACTGTTCCTGTCTTGTAGTTTTGGAACTCTAGACCTTGGGCAATTTTTTTAAACCACTATATGTTTACCTTAACGATGTCTGATATATGGGTCCTGAAACATCACAGCGGACATCAAAGGTAGATGTTCTCAAATCAGGTGCCTCATTTCTCCCCATTTCAGTGGTCTGGATGTAAGCAATTAATGAGTTACATTTATTACTTCAGAATTTACCCAAAGATAGTTGGTTTAGTACTAGGAACTTTAGCTGGAACGAAGGCTCCAGCAATGATGCTGGAAACACTGGCATTGACAATAGCAATTCGTAATGTCCGTGACCTGTCGACGTAGCGGTCTACAAAAGAGATATTGGGGAGAGTATAATGACAGTCGCTCGGTTGAGGCTTATTAGCAACGGCGATAAACACGAGCGAGCCATTGCGGATTTTACATCCTTTTTTGTCGGTCGGGTGTTGATTCTTCGAGTGGCTTCAAATGCCCAGCGGATGCTCCTAGAGCTGCCAGGCTGACACTCATCTCTATAATGCGTTGAGAGTCTGCAGCGAGTTCAATTTAATGGCATCCCGAAAGTTACCACCACGATTTATATGGCCGTTGACAAAGGTAGCATCCATCCAACCTGACCAGCTCAGTAAGTCACAGTTGTTCGAGTTGCAAAGCCCATAATGGTCTCGCACCAAGATACATATTCGCCCTCGGAACGAACTGTTAGCCTGACTTGACTCCATACTGACTACTATCATGCGCAAGGGAAGCAGGAGTCTGACTTATCGGATCACGACATAATCGAATCTACGGTAAGGAAATGGATTTGCACCAACCGCTCTTAACGTTGTTGTTCTCAATATGAGTTGTGCTTAACAGGCCAAACGCATCGCGAGTCATGCTGATGACTAATAGGCAGGTCCCAAAGCACCGGAGAAAATTTGTGCGAATTTTCATTGGTCAGTTTGTTCTCGTTGTTATCTTTACTTGTTGGTCAGCTTGCATCTAGCATCCCTTTGGAATCCTCATCGCGAGGGGCTGATGCAAGTGACGACGTGTGACCCGCTTCGGTCGGCAGGCTGGTGCGTATTCGTATCGCGTTTGCTTTAACATCCTGGTAGGGACTATTGAATAGTGTACTTACTTGGGGCTCTACATTCACCAAGGACCAAGGACTGACCATGGGTACGGAGTACTAAGCCGGCAAGATATGGGGCATGCAGAAAATACTTGGGTGCCTCTCGTTTTGGGTAATCTTAAGTAACTTATGTAATATCATTGGCCTCGTCTTTCGATGAACGATGACTCTCAAGACAGAAGTCCCTCGGCCAAATTTGTTTCATCGAAGAGTGACTGGAGAACGCGTTCCCGTCTCTCAGATTCTACGCGGCTCTAAGTTATACACACAAACCGTTCTCACAATCAGACCTAGCAGGAGCTAGTAAAAACATTGATTCGAGTGCCCTAGAACATCAAACATGGGTATGTGATGGATTCCTTGAACACCGTAGAGGTTGGAATATGTAAGACTAATACAATTAACGAAACAAACAGAGATGCATTACACAACGGTTGACACATGGTCTTGGAGTACCGACAACTTAGCGAAAGAGACCAGCACCCTCGTGGTCAATGTTGATCTCACTGGCATATTGCAAGACGCCCTCGAGCACTCAGTCGACGACTCTACGCCGCCATGTGCTGCCCGGCAGTTCCTTCTGGACAAAGCCCGCGGAGGCTCAAGCCTAGTCAAGGTCCTCCTCCCAGTGCAGTCTGGCCATATTGTTCAGTCCGATTTCCTTGAACGGCGCATGGTTGACTGCCTGAATGTTGCCGACGTGCGAGGCTTCATTGCGCCAGGGCAGCATGTTCAAGGGTGCTCTGTCGAGGCCTACGAGTCCATGAAACTTACTGATCTGCTTCATCGCTGCTACGGCGCCATTGTGGTGTCCTCATCTTCTACTGGGGACAACTCGACAGCGGTCAACGAGGAATTGGTCAAGCGCCTGTCTTTTGACTGGCTCTCACCCAAACCCATAACCCGGAAGCGGCTGGTATTCATTGGCGGGGCGTCCCAATTCAAATTTCAGGGCTTTGCTATCGCGGCTGCCTCGTTGAACGTTGGTCTTGTCGTGTTGGACGAGCCAAATCAGTGGATTGCTTCTGACTCATATGCTCATCTTCGCGAAGAGTTTGTGCCGTTCGACATGACACCAGACGCCAGTATGGCCAGGCGCATCACGGAGGCGGTGGCCCAAAAGCAGAACGCAAGCTATAATGGCAAATCTTTCGATGGCATCATGACACTCGACGAGCACCTGTTGACCATTGTCTCTCACGCGGCTACGTTGCTGGGGCTTCCGACGTCGTCCCCGGAGTCGATCGGCCTGGCGCAGAACAAATTCCAAACACGCCAACTCGACGCCAACGTCTTCTGTCGCCTCGTCCGGTCGGTCGCCGATTTGGAGAAGCTCCTCGTCGAGGAAGGGCCGCGGATCCTGTATCCCCTCATCGTCAAGCCCAGTAAAGGCTGGTCGTCCGAGGGCGTCTGGAAGGTGGCAGACGAGCAGCAGCTGCGGATCAGAGTCGCCATGCTGTGGCAAGACGCCTTCACCGCCTGGCACGGCCACGACATTGTCATCGAGACCTACGTTGATGGCCCTGAGGTTGACGCCAATATGGTGCTGGTGAACGGCGAGATTGTCTTTTTCGAGGCGAACGACGACTTTCCCAGCCCCGGGGACTACGACGACGGCAAAGCCAAGGTCGAGTCAGGCCCCGTGCCTAACTTTGTCGAGACGGGGAACATGCTACCGTCGGCTCTCGCGCCCTGCGAGCTGGAGGCTCTTCAACAGCGACTGCACGAGCTGGTTCTTTCCGCCGGCTTCCGAGACGGCATTCTGCACATTGAGGCTAGGCTTCGCAACTCGAGCAGCCATTACGCCACGGATAATAGTGCCTCCGGGTCCAACGGCTTCGTCGACTTACGACGCAACACGGCGACGACGTCAACAGCGAAGCCAGAGGATGTTTTCCTCCTCGAGATAAACCCTCGCCAGCCAGGCTGGTTCGAGATAAATGCTACAGAACACACGTATGGCGTCTCATACTACAGCCTGGCGGTCCTGCACGCCTTGGCAGACAGAAATCGCATCGTGACACTGTCCCAGCCCTTTTTAGGAGGGGCCCAATACCATATGCAGCTACTGGTGGTCTCCGCCCAGAAGGGCGGCATTTACCAGTCGGGTGATGTCTGCTCTGCCGTCATAGATCAAGCAGAGCATTTGCGTGCCCATGTCGTCCAATGCGCGAATCTAATGGCCGAGGGGCAAATAGTTCCTGATCCTAGGACCGGTATGGTATTTGGCAACTTTATCGCCTTTTTCTTGATAGTCTCACGGACCAGCCGGAGTGAGGCCTTGAGGGTAGGACACGAGATTGAGCAGCTAGTCAGAGTGTACACGGGTGGTTTCTGAATTTAGAAAAAGGGGGAAAATATCACAAAGCGGAGCAGCATATTTTGATTACATCACGATGGGAAATAGAGCTTGAATTCACGAGCCAAGTCTTTTGGCTCTGAACATGAGTCTTTGACTGAAAACTGGCAGTCTGATTACATGTTACTCTTACGTTTGGAGTGTTGCCTATATTGCTGCTACTTGCCGGAAAGCGTGTCTCAAGAACATCGCCAAAAAGTGGCTAGCATTTTTGGCCCGAGTCATCCACGCGGGACTTCGACCATAACAGCCCATCATATCATAGTCTTTCGTGGTTGTCACTGGATATATCTGTTATGAACATGGGCCTCGTGGCCGAGAATGAAAGGAGCTGTAACGTACCAGCTTCTACCAATGCTTGTTCTGACACGATGTTGGGTGAGTTCCACTGGCAAAGGGACAAGAGTTATAGAAGAGCCGATTCTGGACACTAATGCCCTCATAATAAATTCAACTAAAGAGGTCGGCGGACAAATGAGACCAAGCTCCGGTAAATCTCGGCATGAAAAGCCCGGTCGACCGGAAACACGGATCGAATGCTCGGACAGCGGCCCGGCCAGGATCCATGTCCTCGGCTTTGGCAGTCGGGAACGCTTTGCGGCACCAGCGAATTGAACCATCGCTTCACAAACATTGAGAGTACCACTGGTTTGAAGCCTGGCACGTATACGGGCTTGCACAAGTGGTGCACCCGCTCCACCCGCTCCCGCCGCACTGCCCCCATCTAGCCACCGTGCATCCTCCGGTCGGAGGCGGGCTTGCGGTCGAAGTCGCCGGGGGCGGCGCAGAGCTCTGCGTTGTCGTCCCGGGTTGTGTTGAGCCGCCCTAGCCGGAGTCAGTCCACCGTATCGCAAACACGGACACATGATGAAGGAAAAGCTTACCGTGATCCCGAACCACTTCAGATCCTCCGCCCCCATGACCGGCACGCTATGCCCAACGCCTGCCCCGTAAATCCCCTCCAAGTTTGGCCCGTAGATGTACTTGGTGTACTGTCCACTCGGTGTGCCCGGCAGCGTCTGCTGCGCCGTGAGGCTGTACCCGAACACGCCCGTCCATTGCTTGATGGTCTCGTTCCAGTTTCGCGGGTACAGCGTCGTGTCGGCGCTGCCGTGGTAGATCTGCATGCGCGGCCTGGATCCCGTGTATCCGGGATACATGTTGAGCGCGGTCTGCGCCCAGGCCTGCTGCGTCGCGATAGAGTTGCCCTGGCTGCAGGTCGAGTTCCAGCCGTTGACGGTGCCGGTGTAGAAGCAACCCGCGGGCACACCCGAGTAGGCAATGCCGGCAGCGAAGAGCTCGGGGTAGGTTGCTGCCATGACGTTCTGTACCTCTGTTAGCATTTTCTTCTTCTGCACGGCCAGGTGCTTGCCCTCCACGGAGTTTCCTGGCCCATTCCCACACAACCCGATTTAGACTTACCGTCATCATGGCGCCCGATGATGTTCCCGTCACAAACACCTTGCTCCGGTCTCCATTGTACTTATCAAGCGTATAGGTCACCATGTTGGCAATGGCGTTGCTGTTCCCGCCGCCGTTGTGCGTCAGCGTCGCCGGCGAGCTCACGTCCCAGCAAGTTCCGCTGTACGGCGACTCCGGGTAGATCACGATCAACCCGTAGGTGTCGGCGTATCCCTTGTAGGGGGTGCCGGTGTAGTACGCATTCGCCGTGCCGGAGCAGTAGTGGATCGCAACGATGATGGCCGGGTTCGTGGCGACGCGGTCCGGGACGTAGATGTACATCTTAGCCCCCGAGGGGTTGGCGCCAAAGGAGGTCACCTGCTGGAGGGAGGCGGCACTCGCGAGGGAGCTGAGGCCGGCCACGGCAGCGGCGAAGAGGGTGGAGAGACGCATTTTGGTATTTGTGCTACAGGAGCGTCGTACGGATGGATAGTACTACTTGGTGGTAGAACGGACAGCAATGTTGCGGACTGGAAATGCTATGGGTTTTATACGTACGACAACGTTACGATGAGTTGCTGATGAAGGCAGCGGACGTATTGATTCCGGCGGAGGGTAGGCTAGTGGCTGCGACCCCATCCATTTTGAAGTTATCCGCATCCCTCGAGGGCACGATGTGGCCAAATCTCTCTCTAGTCTAGGGATCAACAACATTGGCCCCGAGCTATTTGGTATTGAATTGGCTTTATTAACATACGCCGTTCCAAGAAATGCAGGCCCGGTCTCTTCTGAATTTAATGCTGACTTTGTGATTGTTTGGCCAAAGTTTCTCAAATGCGCAAGCGGGAGTTTGGGGGCAAAGCCCATACCTCGATCAATCGGGATTACGATTGAATCACGGACCGATGACCCCATACCTCCGGACCTCGAACCGGAAGTTTTCTCCATGTGTGGATACCCGTGATTCCGCCAATTAAGCTCAGCGGAAGCTGCCCCCATATTGAATAGTTAAAGCCGACCGCTATGAAAAGACGATACACGCCGTCCTGGTTAGGTAGTAAGTTCAGCGGTTCGACCCCGGCCTCTGACCAAACATCTCAACCAAAAGCGCAGTGCAGATAACACTGGCCCAACCCCGTCCCTTTCCCCGGACGCCACGACCGGCGCCCGCCTGCTAGTCTCCGTTGCCGTGTTGAGTGCTCGCTGCAACCTTCCCCGTCACCCCGGATGAGCGGAAGCTCAAAGAAAGTCTGTAACTCAAAATCTAGCTCTAAAAACGATATAACCGCCAGCCCCAGGCTTGATACTCCACGTGGAATGGACTTCATCCGTTTAGCCTGAATGTGAAGGCAGTTGAGCCTCTCTGCAACTCATGGTCAGATACATTCAAAGGGGTGCCGCATGACAAAAGTACGGGGTTAATGCTGCGGTGCCAGCGGCCCAGATCCAGAAAGAGGAGAATGCATCCATTTTGGGTATCAGCCCAATGCTCGCTGCGGTCGAAAAAGACGCCTATGCTTATGCTCTATGCCATGCAATGAATCCAACCAGTAACACAAGACCCCAGCGCCCGACTACCGACCTGTTCGGCTCCGAAGCGTCTTCAGCCCCGTCTTATGCTCCGTATGCTTCTTGCTCAACTGTTTCTGTCTGATGAACAGACTCATAACAAGACCCAGCCCTGCAAACGCAACATAGACGATGTACATCGTCCTCAGACTCGTCAGATATGCCCCGCGCGCAATCTGCCCCTGTTCACCCTGCAGATCTGCCACTATGCCGACGCTCGATGCGGCGCTCGAGCCGGAGAGCATGTTCGCCAGGTCCGGCCCCAGCTGCTCCCTCAGCCGGGGGTACTGCTTCTGCATCTCATTGTTAAAAACGACGCCACCAATAACGACCGAGATGGACGTTCCCATCTGTCGGACGAAGCCAAAAGCCGACGTCGCCGCCGCGATGTCGCGCGGCTCGACCGAGGTCTGCACAGCGATCAAGGGCGACTGGAAGTTTGGGCCGATGCCCAGGCCGGCGACGATCTGGTAGAGAATGATCTTGGTAAAGTTGCGGTCCAGCGGGAGGTCGTAGAAGAGGCCGAAGCCGAGCGTGGAGACGAACATGCCTCCGATGATGAGGTAGAGGTAATTGCCCGTCTTGCGGATCAGGACGCCGGCGACGGCGGACATGAGGGAGAGGGAGAGCACGTAGGGGAGGAGGTAGACTCCCGAAAGAAGGGAGGAGACACCCTGCACGCCCTGGAAGTAGAGGGGCAGCCAGTAGCTTCCGGAGATGAAGGCGAAGGCGTGACAGAAGGCCGTCGCGAAAGCCGCCACATTGGACCAGCTCTTGAACAGGTGCATCGGGATGACGGGGTACTTTGCGTACTTCCACTCGTTAACGGCAAAGAGGCCAATCGTCACGATCCCAAAGACGATGAGACAGATGACCGTCGGCGAGCTCCACGGGTAGCTCACACCGCCAAACTCGAGGCCGAACAGGAACATGATGGTGCCGCCGATGATGGTGAGGGTGCCGATCCAGTCAATGGCCTTGAGGCCCTCGAGGGCGGGCGTGCGCGGGTTGTGCAGCTTGAGGACGAAGAAGAGCACGACGATGCCGACGCCCGAGATGGGCAGGTTGATGTAGAAGCACCAGCGCCACGTCACCTTGCTCGTGAAGACGCCGCCCATGACGGGCCCGACGGCCGAGGCCACGGCCCAGACCATGCCCATGACGCCAAAGTAGACGCCGCGCTGGCGCATGGAGAAGAGGTCGCTGATGCAGATGTTGACGAGGACGATGATGCCACCACCGCCAATACCCTGGATCGCACGGGCTCCAATCAGCATCCTGGAGCGAGTTGTTAGTGCTAAAGTAGGTACTCGGTGTAACCAGGAATCTTACCCCATGCTCGTAGACAACCCGCATATCAACGATCCAATCCAGAACACACCGACGGCGGACAAGAGCACGGGCTTTCGGCCCCAGATGTCGGAAATCTTGCCCCATGTCGGCACGAAGGCGGCGTTGGCGAGGAGATACGCGCTACCAATCCAGATGTAGCCGATGTTGCTGTTAAACTCCTCGGCGATGGTGGGCACGGCGGTGGTGATGATTGTGACGTCCAGCGCCGCCAGGAACAGAGCCGCGCAGAGTGAGAGCACAATGAGCAGGGTCTCGAGCTTCGTGCGGCCGGATTCCGGGTCGTTGTCATCAGCGCCGGTGGGAGGACGGGGTCCTTGCGCGTCGTCGCCGGACGCCACTTTTGTCTCGGCGGCCGTGTCACCCAACGATGTTGCGGCGGTGGCGTCGTTGGACATGACACCCGACTTGGCCTCTCTGGCCGTCACATCGTCGGCGCCGCCATGAGGGCCGTGGATGGTTACCGAGTCGGTGCTGGTTGTGATCGAGCCGCGTTCGGTCTGCGAGCCGGCGACGCGCTCGACGTCATCGACTTTTTCGTCGTCGTGGACCTCGCGCAGGTCCTTGGCTGTCATCGGGGCTGGTCTGGGTGTGCCTGATAGAGTTCGCTATATAATTGAGTCGGTGAATGTCAAGAGGTCAAAGTCTTTTGTTAATGACCCTGACACCAATGATTCATTGGAGATGGTGAGGTGTAACAATCAGTGAGATGAGAACATTCAGCTTGATCAGATGAGCCCCAAAGTCGGAATCAGAGGATGGAAAAATTCGCTACACCACAAAGCGACAAGTGATAGTTGAGGGTTACCCAGCAAACAGTAGATAGGAGGAAGGAACGGATATTACAATTACAACGAGACCTCCTGCCGTCATAGCCGTCGCGAAGGAAGAAAAGGAGAGAAAAAAAAATCGACTAAAAGAGCAGGTACGCGCAACAGATTTGCGTGACAAAGTCGATGACAACACCTCCACAGGCGCCCCAACCTGACCCCGGTCCCATTGCGAGCATCGGGAAAAGTGGGTGTCATACCGAGTGGTCCCGAGTGAGCTAAAGACGGTGTGTGTGAGCGTGTGGCAGCCCGTAGCCTGGACCGGGGTTGTGGCCCCGTGTCTCTGCGTTTGGGATCGGGCAGCTCATGAACTGGCGAGGTCGAAATTGGCGTTGCCGTGTTGCCGAATCGGCAAAACTTTTGCTGCGTTGGTTCATTGTTTGGGACCCTCGTTGGAACGTGGGAGACTGGCGCATATGCGACCTCGGACTTAAATCAAAGGGCTCGGCGCGCGAGCCGGCACTTTTTTTTTTTTTTTTTTCATGTAAACGTTTCCATGTCATGACTAGGTATGGCGAACTTTGTTTGTCTCTGTAAGTAAGACTAGCCGGAGCAGTTCATCCTGGCTCGTGTAAGCCGTCCGGTCCATCGCCTGTGGTACTATTGAGCCGGGCGATATACGCGAGCACGAACTCGGACATCGAAAGCGCGAGAGGAGCTTGTACACTTGTATTCTTCGTAATCTGCCGGTGCCTCGTCGTATCCCATGAGACAGCTGTGGTTGCTAGAGACCACGAAACCGACGGCTTGGTAATCAACTAGACGCAAAGGCAGCTGAGAGCCGTCGTATTTACGGCCTTGCTGCGACGCCAGCACCATATGCGGCTTGACCTGGATGGAATGCTACCTACTAACGCCCAGATCGAATGGCGATACGTACTGACGCCAGACTGCTGGCGCATTGCGGCGGGATGCGATGCAAGGAAGTCCCCCGCGCCGAGCTTTGGTGTTCCCCGCATCAAGTGGCTCATGTTAGTGTGCCAAAAATGCTTGTCATCATCGTTCCCGCAATCGGACTGACCTGCCAATCGAGTTGATCGAGCGGATGAATTGCCGGCTCTTTGGTTGTTCGTCTCTTGGTGAGTCTCAGTTGAGGGACTCAGGTGTGTTGTGGACAGTGTTGTGTTGTAATCATCTATCTGATAATAAGTTTGGATGCCAATTGGATCCTGGCTCCCCGGAAACACGGCCGTTGCGCGCGGTGCCCCAAAGATGTCCACCAGAGCTTTAGACGGGAAACCAGGTCTGTATTTGCAGACCAAAACATAGTACCTGTGGCTTCAAACCAGCAATGTGGATGAACGAAGCACACCGGCCATTACATGCTTAGTGAAGATAGAAGCCAAGATTGATGGCAAACCGGGAAGAGTGGAGTCTTCAATGCTCCCTTGGAGAACCTCATCTCAAGTGGAACTCACCTCGAAGCTTCTCTCACAACCTAATCTCAGCCTCATCTCAGTCGCCAAACTCACTCACTGTCGAAGGTTCCACGCCAAACTCTCGACCGTGCTTCAGGATGCTTTTTTCAACCTCGTAGCCGCCCTCCGTCCCACCATCCCACTCATGAGGCTCTTCTTCCTTCGACAAGCCTCAGCCTCAACTCACTTCGCCAAGCAACCACCCGTCTCCGTCCCGGCCGTCCGGTTCATCACTACAATGTCTTCATCCACGCCCGCGTCACGGACGTACACCGACGCCCTCAACCTCCTAAACACCCTCATCCCCAACCTCAAAATCCACGCCCTCTTCGGCAAACCCCAGGACGCCAAGCCCCAAAATGCCGCCCCGAAACCCCCGGCCTCCGACCCGAACCTCCTCGCCCTCCCCGAGATGCGCGCCTGGCTCCTCCGCGCGTCCTTAACCCCCCAGCGCCTCTCCTCCCTCTCCTACATCCATATCGCCGGCACAAAAGGCAAAGGCTCCGTCACAACCCTGACAACCTCCGCCCTCCTCTCCTCTTCCCAGTCCGGCCGCGTGGGGACCTACACCTCCCCCCACCTCGTCACCCCGCGCGAGCGCATCGCCGTCGACGGCCGCCCCGTATCCCAGGTCCTCTTCGCGGCCTCCTTCTTCGAGCTCTGGGACCTGCTCTCCGCCGCCCCCGCCGACGAGGCCCTTGGCATCGAAGCCGGCTCCAAGCCCTTCTACTTCCGCTTCCTCACCCTCCTCGCGCTGCACATCTTCCTCAAGGAGGGCGTGCGCTCCGTCGTCGTGGAGTGCGGCATCGGCGGCGAGTACGACGCAACCAACGCCATCCCGCCCGCGGCCGTCACGACGGGCGTCATCACCCAGCTCGGCATCGACCACGTCGCCATGCTCGGCGACACGCCCGAGAAGATTGCGTGGCACAAGGCCGGCATCATGAAGCCCGGCGTCACGACCTTCACGAGGCGCCTCGATGAGCAGCCCGGCGTGATGGAGGTCCTCCACACGCGGGCGCGGGAAATCGGGGCGAACCTGGTGGAGGTCGCCGACGAAGAGGTCACGGCGTGGGGGGGCGTGCCGGGCGCGAAGCTGCCCGGCGGAGACTTCCAAAAGAGGAACCAGGCCCTCGCCGCGCTTGCTGCGAGGCATCACTTGCGCGTCCTCGAGGGCCGGGAGACGGGGACAGAGGAGCACAAGCTGCGGGATGTGCCGGAGCCGATCATCGCGGGACTGCGGGAGGCGACGTTGCGGGGCCGGCACGAGGTCATGGAGCGGGGCAACGTATCTTGGTACCTCGACGGCGCGCACAACACCGATAGTCTGGCCGAGGTGGCGCGCTGGATATCGCCCGTCGCTGCGGATGCGGACTCCAAGTTCGTGCTCGTTTTCAACCAGCAAGAGCGGGACGCCTCGGAGCTCCTCCTGGGCCTCCTGAAGGAGATGAAAGCCGCGGGCGTGGACCTCGAGTCTAGACTAAGCACCGTCATCTTCACGAGGAACGACAAGACCAGGATTGCAGAGGACGTGGACCTCACTGTCCAGGAGAAGTGCGCGGCGGCGTTCAAGGAGGCGTATCCCACCGCCGATGCCCTGGTATGCAAGGACCTGACAGAGATGAAAAGCGCCATGGACGCCACCGCCGCCGCGCAAAACACCACGACACCCAAAACCAGGGTTCTCGTCACGGGGAGCATGTACCTCGTCGGCAACGTCATCGGCCTGTTGGAGCCGGAAGGTCTATTATAAAATAAAGGATGCCAAAGGGCAAATAGCAAAGCTCTAGAGTTGAATCCGTATGGACATGCGCCCCTGTATACCCGTACCCCGTTCTATACCATTCGTGTTTTATGTTTCTCGTTCGAGCGTGCAGTACAGCAATTCTATAGCGCATCCGCACCTTCCAAGATCCCCAGCGCGCCGCCCACAAGATGCAGACTTCCCGTCACAAAGGCCTGCACGCTCTCGCCTTCAGCGACGCCCTCGCTCACGCCGCGGACGTGGTTCAGCGCCTCCTCGATGGTCGGGATGACACGCACGTCGGCTTTGGGGTCCAGCTTCGACCACCGCTCCGCGAACTGCCTCTGCACCGTCATGGCCTCGATGGCCTTGGCGTCGTACTGGTGGTTGACAAAGTCTGCCGCTCGTCAGTAAACTGTCGTCTTACAAGATGTTCTCCCTTTTCCCTAGGACGGAAAAAAAAGGGGGCAACCGCAAACTCACCCCGCTTGTACCCCGTCTGGGCATACGTGACGTTTGTACAAAACACAACCGTCTCGAACGCGCTCCCGTCCTCCCTCTTGATGGCGTTGTACACCCCGTCGAGGAAGTCAATCGCCTCCGTCCGGCCCTGCTGGTTGAATACCAACGCCCTGGGCCCCTTTCTGCCCCTGGCTTCCGTCTCGTCGACGAACCACCGCGCCGCCATCCGCAGACTGTCCGTCGTGTGCGCCCCGTCGACGTGCCACACGACTCGTTCCTCGTCCTTGACCTCGCACCGCCCGCGCCAGACGACGGTCTCGAGCCCCTCGACGAAATCCCGCGGCAACTTCTCCGCATCGCGCCGGAACCCCGCGGGGTCAATCTTCTCCAGCGCCGTCTCTGCGAGACGGATCGCCAGGCTCGCGTTTCTTTTCTGGAACGCCGCGTCTGGTCGGATCTGGACGTTTCTGAGCCGCGGGTCAATGCCCACAGTCTCCATATCCACGCCCTTCTCTCTCGCCCTCTCCTCCAACACGGCCTGCGCCTCGGGCACCTGCTCGACCGTGAACGCCTTGCTCCCCGTCTTCATGATTCCAGCCTTGTGCCACGCAATCTTCCCGACCGTGTCTCCGAGCGCAAAGACGTGGTCAATCCCCAGCGTCGTGATCCCCGTCGCCAACGGTCTCCCGACGAGGTTCGTCGCGTCGTACTCCCCGCCGATCCCCGTCTCGAGGATCGCGACGTCGCACCCCTCCTGCAGGAATGCGTGGAAGCTCACGAGCGTCAGGTACCGCGAGTAGATGGGCCGCGTGCCCAGCGCCACGGCCGCCTCCTCGGCCTTGCTCTCGCCCAGCCGGTCCCAGACCTCGAAGAAGTACCGCGCGAAGAGCGCCTCGGAGATGGGCGCGCCGTTGATGCGGATGCGCTCACGCACGGCGATGAGGTGCGGCGAGATGAGCAGGCCGACCTTGTGCGGGACGGACGAGGGGGAGGCGGCGCGGTGGCGCGCGAGGATCGAGTCGGTGAAGGCGCAGGTGCTGCCTTTGCCCTTTGTGCCGGCGACGTGGATCACGTTGAGGCTGTCGAGGTCGGAGATCTGGGTGTCATTGGGGAGACGTTAGCCGGGTTCGCCATGTCCAGAGACCTGTAGAGAGAGTGCGTGTTCGCACCGAGTACCCAAGGCGCGCGAGGTATGCGCGCATCTCCTTGACCGAAGCTTCATCAGGTCGAACCCCCGCCTTGCGCCTCGCCTCGATGACGGCGAAGGGCGTCTGCAGCGTGTTCAGTGCGTCGACGGCATCCTGTACACAGCATAAACTGTCAGCTCCAGGCCTTCTTCAATTCCCATCGGCCGTCACATCGACAGCTGCAGCGTTGCGGCCGCGGGGCAGTATCCTCCTCTCCGACGTCGGAGTAGCAGCCGAGGAAGCACGAGCGCCAGCGCCCGTTGGAAGTGCCCAGCAAAATAGGTGACCACTGACGTTGTATGTCCGCCCGGCGGTGGCCATCGTGCGGCAGATCAAGAATCGCGGACGGAAAAAGAGGGTGCTGCTGAGGCGCAATACGCGACGAGACGCATGATGCATCAAGGACGTTTTTTCTTTCCGCGGAGCGGACGCGGTCCTGGAAGGGGAGGGGGGGTTCGGAGCTCCCTTGGAGTTTGGCGAAATGTCGGGGGGGGTGCAGTGCAGCTGCTGCGTGCGCCGGTCGGTGGGGTTATATGCGGGTGGCTTCGGAACTTGAGCCGGTCGACGGCCTGGGCTCGGCGCTGGTCCCGGGAGATTTTCACGGCTTCCCTTAGTAACATGACCTCTTATGTGTGGCCCTACACTTGTGCTGCAGTCGAATTTTTGGGGACGGCATTGACCGTTTCATCTCAATTATTCAGTGGCAGCATGGTGACGTGGAAGAACCTTATCAGCGGCTTCGCCCCTGAGCGTATGTATACATCACATAAGCACCGACAGTTGATAAAATACACTGCCTTGATTCAAGTCTATGGCTATGTCTTACACAGACCAGAGGTCTAGGCTCTCTCTAAGCATCTCCGGAGCCCACCAACTAGACAAAAGAAATAGTTTCCGTCCATTATTCTACCTTGAGACTCTGCAGGCGCGCTTCTGCCGCAATGACCTGGGATAATCGTTAGTCACTAGTGTCGGGTGCATCAAAGTCGAGGGGGATACTCACGTCAAGGGCTTGCTGAACCTCAAGAACCTTCCTCACTTCGCCGAGCCAGTCTCTGCTCAGAGTCTTCGCCCAACCCTGGAGACCGTTCATCTCGCGGGCAGCGGCGTCCAGGTTGCCTTCCTCCAAGAGAGTCTGGGTGCGCGTCAAGATGCTCTCAACGTCATCGCCGTCGGCCAGGCCCTGCTTCTTGAACATGACTTTGCTGAGGAGGTAGCTAGAAGCGTGGCTGGCAACGCCGGCCTCTTCGGGGAGAAGAGAGGCCTTGCGAACCTCGTTGGCGACTATCCGGAATCTGTCAATGAGCTGTGCGGCGTTGGAAAGACCACGCTGGTAGGCAGAGGGGTTGATGGAGGCGATGGCGGCGTTGACGACAGGGTCCTCGGCAGCAATCTCCTTGAGGGCGACCAGCTCGCGGGTAAAGGGCTTGGGGTGCGTGGCGTTCTCGAGGCTGGCGCGAACAGCATCAACAGCGACGTGGAGCTGCTGAGTGCGGAGGTTGGTGTCAACGACCTCGTTCCAGCCGGTGGTGAGCTTCTCGAGGTCAGCGACGGCAGCGGACAGCTTGTCCAGCTTGCTGAGGCGGCCCTCGCGCTCAGATTCGACGTGGTTCTGGACCTCGGAGACGAACTCCTTCTTCAGGGCCAGCGCCTGCTCCAGCAGTTGGTTGTTGAGACGCTCCTCATTAAGCTGCTTCTCGCGCTCCAACAGAAGCTTGACGCGCTCGTCGTAGCTCTCCTTGACCTTCTTCATCTCGTCCTCGAACTCCTTTCTCCACTGCGTCTCTTGGACAACCATGGCGGACTCGACGCGGGCAATCAGGTCGTTGGCGGCCTTGTCGAAGTCGGCAACCTTGGCCTCGACCTCAGCAGCAGCCTTCTTCTCGACCGAGGACTTGATGGCCTTGATCTTGCTACCAACCTTGCTCAGCTCGCCCTTGGCCTTGTCGATAGTGGGAGAGTAGCGACCGTGGGCCTTGTCGGCGTTGATGACGGTGATGATGTCGTTGAGCATGTGAACGAGGTCCTGGACAACCGGCTCCGTCGCGTCCTCGATCTTCAGGGCGTCGATCGGGGCAATGGGAGGGAATCGCGACGGCTCGTTGACCTCGGGGCCTTGAAACCAGTCGGGTCCTCCTTGGGCGCAGCAGGCTTGGTCTCCTTGACAGTCGCCTTGACAGGCTCTGGCGCGGGCTTGGGAGGCTCTGGCGCCGCCTTGGGCTTCTCGACCGGCTTGTTCTGCTCCTCCTTGACAGCGACGACCTTAGCGGCGCCCTTGTCGATAGCGCTTGACTGGCGACCGGCGGGCTCGCCGTTGTCAGCGACTCTCCAAGACGCGCCGCTCTGGGCGGGGATCTTGACCTGGCCGCCGGTGTCTCTTCCCTTGAGCTTGTTCGAGATATTGGGGAACCGCTTGCGGAAGTCGGCCTCCTCGAAGTAGAGGACGGCTTGCTCGCCAAAGGGAACATACTCGGTGAAGAAGTCGTGGAAGCTGTCATTGATACGCGAGTACCAGACACCGCCGCCGAAACCGATGGCACCGAGGATGGCAAGGGTCAAGACGAGGTTCCTTAGTCGGCGGAAGAAGCCCTTCTTTTTCGGGGCGACATCTGCGGGCGACTGCGGCGGAGGTGCGGCAGCCTCTGTCTCGGGAACGGTGACGTTCGGGGTCGGGGGTGTGAGAGGAACGTCCTCCTTCGGGATCGTCGACTCGACAGGTCGGACCTCGGGGACGGCGCTCTTCTCCGCGGTGATGGTCTCTGTAGTCGGCAGGGCAGCTGGTCTGGACGGGTCAGGCTTCTTGTCGTCGGCAAAGTGTCTCCGGCGGGCGGCAGCCACCTGCCATTGGCGGCCAACAACGGCCGCCGCAGGCCTGTGGCCGAGCACCCTCACGGATCGAATCGACGTTCGCAACATGAGGGGATGCGATGGGCCGACAAGGCGTAATTGGGGGGAATGAAGTCGAGGTGTTTTTGGTCGAGGTAAGTGATGGAAGCCAGGCACAAAAAAGCTCAGGGAAAAGTTCGGCTAAAACTGAGCGAGCTCTCCAGCCGCGCTGGTCCGCCGCGAGCACCGAGCGGCAGGAACCGGGATGGGTCACGCCTCACGTCACTCAACTAGTTCACTGGGCACACTCACCTCACCAACAGCTGTCATTTTCGGTGCTGTCAATGGCTGGTCGGCACGATTCAGGCTCGTATGGAAAGAAAGAGCGATGATGTTCGGATTCTCTACTCTAGGACATAGACAACGTTCTCCTCTCGGAATCCCATCCATTCTGTGTGTGTTTCTTTGCTCTTTACTAACACGAGCACCACGGCATCTAGCGGATGAACGCAGGGCATACTACGTCACCCTGCTCTTCATCCATCTCAGCTCTCCGCTGACCCGACTGGTGAAAATATCGTGCACCTCGCCATACCTCTTTGCTCCTGATCAAACTCACAAACAAAGTCAACTGCCATCTGTGGAACGAAAAAGTTGTATACAACACATCCTTGAGAAACAGTTGCCTCTACCGCATACTGTACATCAGAAAAATGCTGCAGGATGCTTTCCCCAATAAAGTGAATCCGTCCGTTTCCCGTACACCGTCTTATTCCAGGACTGTCCCTACACCCGAGTTGCCGCAACCGAATGACCAGCGCAATGAAGACACGAAATGTAAAAATCACACTCTCGAAATAACGTACTGTTGATATTAAAAAGCTGGGCCTGGCATACCCTTTCTTCGGTTGTAGGTTGCGCGACAACGCTGTCCGACCCCGTCCAGCCCAAACGCCGTCATGTACGTGCTTGTGTCTGTTCAGTGCTTGGCTGGCGGGTCGCCTTGAGCAATCTGCCAACGGGAGCCTGCCTCGTCTCGACGAAGAAAATCCGCCCCATTGTCCGCCGGTTCTCTAGGCTCGATTGATAATACGATAGTTGCTTCGCGTCGGCCTCATCTAGCAGCTGCAAGGCCCGCTGACGTTGCTTCCAGGGGTCTCGGGCTGCAGGCTCACGCCCTGTCGCTGGCCGGGCCGGGCATGCCTAGGGCCAGCCTGGTCGAGCGGCAGCTTCTTGGCAATGGCAGTGAAGAGCTCCTTGACGTTCTCGGCCGTCTTCGCTGATGTCTCGAAGAACAGGAGGCCGGCCTCGCGGGCGTAGGCCTCGGCGTCTGCCGTAGAAACGGCTCGCTTATCGGGCTGCTCGTTGACCAAGTCCAGCTTGTTGCCGGCAAGGGCAATGATGATGTTCTCGTTCGCTTGTCTCTGCAGCTCCTTGACCCAGGCCTTGGCCTTATCCAGGGATGCCTTCAACACTGTTAGCATGTTGAGCAAATGTTTATGGACATGGCACAACGTACGGATTGGGTGATGTCGTAAACGACGACGGCGCAGTTAGCGTTGCGATAGTACATGGGGGCGAGCGACTTGTAACGCTCCTGTCCGGCCGTGTCCCAGATCTCGAACTTGACTGTGGTGCTCTCGTCGAGAGAGATGGTCTGCGTCAAGAAGGCGGCGCCGATGGTCGATTCGCGGTAAGAGTCAAACTGGTCCTGTGGTTGAATCAACGTTAGCAGACTGTTTTTCTGGGGTTGGACGATGGCATGCACCGACAACGTACCTTGACGAATCGCAGCACGATCGAACTCTGAAAGACACGTTAGTATGACGGGCAGCATCCTCTTGAGCTCCGGATAAATACCTTTCCAACAGCGGACTCGCCTATGCATCATCGCCGTCAGCCATCTCCACGTTGAGAGCACGGGCGGGAGGGAACCTACCTAGCAAGACGAGCTTGAACTGCGCGAAGCGCGTGTTCATTCCACGAGCACCAGGAGCGCCAGGGCCTCGAGCTGCCATTTTGCGTGATGTGAAGGATGCGTTGGGAGAAGCGGGCGGATGTGGAACGGCCAGTGTTGGGCGATCCTAGCAGACGGACGAGAGAGACAGAAGTCACTTTGGGGCGGCTCTATCGAATGTCGCCGGATGGGAATCGAGTCGGTCACCTCCGGAAAAGGTTGTCGAAACGGGAGGGAATCAGGTTTGGTGGAGATGCGAAGCGAGCAGGATGCAAATCGAGATCGCGAAAAGCAGCGGCAGCAGTCGTGGATCAGGATCGGATCGTGGGTTGCGCGGCAGGAGGGGCGAGTCTGAGGTCGGCACGGGTGGAATGTAAGGTGGGAAGCAGCGGGAGGGAGTTTGATGGATGGCAGGTACAAAGTAGTAGTAAATCGGGTCCTGGAAATAATGTGACTGCCTTGGGTTCTTTGGGGTCTTGGGGGTGGGTGGGTTAGGTTGCCAGTGAGGAAGCTCGATGATGAATGGCTGGGGGGCCGACGACCATGCACACGTCAGGCCTTCTTCGGGGGAAGAGGAAGAGAAAGAGGGAGGCAATGGCAATGAAACGGGGGTCCTGTTTGCTGCTGGAAACGCTGCATGGACACTTTACTTGCCTTCTGTGTACTAGAGCCGAGCCGCCAGAAGACCTGCTGCTGGACTGGGTCGGGCTGTCAGGTGTGCAGGGACGGACGGGGCCACCTGTGACCCCGATGACTTCTGACCTCAACGTCCCGTCGGTCGGGCCAAATGCTCTGCGCTGATTAGCTGACAGGGGGTGGCTGTTTACCTAAGCGCTCCTTGGGCTTGGAGAGCTGCCGTGCTGTTCCTCCATCATCCATCAAAGATACAATACACCGTAAGATACAGAGTACAGTACTATGGATGGTACGTATCTCGGAGCCCGGCGTCAGTGACATGAACCTGCGCCAGTGCTGCAGAGGGGGAAGAGCGAGCTGCCCTGCTTGCCTTATGTAACCCATCTCTTTTCTGCCCCCTTATTGGCTGAAAGCTCCCTCGAGTAGTCTGTGCTCCAGTGTCCCCCCCCTGTCCCTCTTTCACAAGCAAACAACGCCGGAGTTCCAGTCCCGACGACCCAGTTCGTGCAGCAGTCCACTTCCAGTGCAGCAGCACACACACAGCACAGCACAGCACAGCACAGCACAGCACAGCACAGCACAGGGCATTGGCACAGAACATAGTGACGGAGGCCTGTGCTGTTCGTTTCCCGTGTGGAACCTGGAATCTGAACTCGAGGGTCCCCAGAGTGCCCAGCTTGTGCTTGCGACGGCAAAGTGACGACAGCCATTTTTTATTGGGGTTCACCACCTCTTGCAACCAACCAAAGCCTCAAGCTGTCCTCAAGCCTCTCTGGGCTGTGCAGCTGTGCCCTTTGCGACTGCCGACGACATTCCCATTCCCTGCTGCACGACAATACCAAGAAGGACATCAAGGCCTCACTTCGCTCACACTTCCCCCGCAGTTCTTTCGCTCCCTTTTTTCTTGTTCTGCCTTGTCCTTCCAGCCCTTGCTTCTTCTTCATCTTCTACTCAACACCATCTTACCTCCCCTTCGAAGCACCCCCGTTGCGACCGTCGTCACCATGGCACCGACTCTGCCTTATCGCGACATTAATGTCAAGGTCGCCCCCGATTCCTACGTCTTCACTTCTCCCTCGTCGCCCGATGCCCCTGCCCTAGTCATCGACCGGCCGACTGGAGACCTGCGCCTGGGCGATGCTGGCCAGGGCAAGAGAGTGTCCCGGGTATCTAGCATCGCCGGAATCTTGGGTATCATCCAGCTGAGGCTTGGTAAGAACCCCTCCATCACCCCTCCACCCCGAGTTTTTCCCCAATCCCCACGAGAGCTGCGCTGACCTTCCCTGCTCCCATCCAGACAAATATGTCATTGTCATCACCAAGGCCCAGCCCGTCGGCCGCCTCAAGGGCCACATGGTCTACAAGGTCGTCACCACCGAGATCCTTCCAATGCGCGAGCGCCAGATCCGAGACCCCGACGAGGATACCTTTATCGGCCTGCTCGACACCTTCATGAAGAACGGCCCCATGTACTTCTCCTACTCCCTCGACCTCACAAACTCCTTCCAGCGCCAGGCCTCGGCCGACACCTCCCTCCCGCTCTGGCAGCGCACCGATGACCGCTTCTTCTTCAACCGCTTCATCCAGTCAGACCTGATCGACTTCCGAACGAAGGGCGCAAGAGGTCACGTCGGACCCCAGCCCGGCGTCGATGCCTTCATCCTACCCGTCATCTTCGGCATGCTTGAGATCCGCCCGACGACCTTTAAGGGAACCCCCGTCACCGTTACCCTCATCTCCCGCAGATCGAGACACCGCGGCGGCACCAGGTACTTCACCCGAGGCGTCGACGACGAGGGTCACGCCGCCAACTACAACGAGACGGAACAGATCACCATCTTCAACGACTCGGGCAGCGGCATGGGCGGCTTCGCCGGCAGCAGCGACATGCAGAGCGGCAAGTACGGCGCCGACGGCAAGGAGGTGCAGATCATGTCCTACGTCCAGACCCGCGGCAGTGTGCCCACCTACTGGGCCGAGATCAACAGCCTGCGCTACGTCCCCAAGCTGCAGATCCGCGGCATCGACAGCGCCCTCCCCGCTGCGAAGGCGCACTTCGAGGAGCAGATCCGTATCTACGGCGACAACTACCTTATCAACCTTGTGAACCAGAAGGGTCGTGAGCAGCGCGTCAAGAACTCGTACGAGCAGATGGTTGAGAAGCTCGTCTCGTCGCCCAAGGAACGGACCGAGGGTGACCGCATCACCGAAGAGAAGTTCACTGTCATCCAGCCCGAGAAGCGCGCCGTCGAGTTCGACCGCCTGCACTACATTTACTTTGACTACCACCACGAGACCAAGGGCATGAAGATGCACCGCGCTTACGCCCTTGTCGAGAAGCTCCAGGACGCTCTGAATGCGCAGGGCTACTTCCGCGCCGTCGACATGCCCGGGACTAACGACGGCCGTCTGGAGCCGCGCAGTTTCCAGACCAGCGTCATGCGCACGAACTGCATGGACTGCCTGGATCGCACCAACGTCGTCCAGTCCATGTTCGCCCGCCACATGCTGGACCGCATCTTTGAGGAGATGGGCCTGATGAGCCGCGGCTCCTCCTTCCGCGATGAGGACCCGGCCTTTGAGCACATGTTCCGCAACCTGTGGGCCGACAACGCCGACGTCGTCTCCTGCTCTTACTCGGGCACCGGTGCCATGAAAACCGATGTCACCCGCACGGGCAACCGCACAAAGGTGGGAGCCCTCCAGGATGCCCGCATCGGCATCACCCGCTACTTCAAGAACAACTTCTTCGACGGTCCCCGCCAGGACTCGTACGACCTTTTCCTCGGCGTCTACATGCCGGGCAGCGCCAACATTGGCGGCTCCCTCGTCTTCGCCGACCGCCGGCCCATCCTCATCCAATCCGTCCCCTACCTCCTCGCCTTCTCCATCTTCCTCGTCCTCGTCGGTCTCTTCTCCAAGACCGAGGCCGTCGTCACCATCCGCGTCTTCATCCTCTTCTGGCTTGCTGTCGCCGTCTGGTCCGCCAGCTTCATCTTCAGCCACGGCATGCTCTACGTAAGTGACATCTGTGCTTCCAAGGTCGAGACTCGTCAGCTAACACAATCTACAGGTTAACTGGCCCAAGCTCAATCCCAGACCGTGGGCCAACGAGGGCTACGCCGAGCACATGACCAAGGCCCGCAAAGATACCGTCTTGGGCTCCTTCGTCGCCCGCCACGAGCGCGGCCTCAGCACCGCGAGATATTCCAACGCCGAGGAGGGCAAGAAGAGAATCGAATAAGGGCGGCTATCGCAGTCCCGTTTTCCCTTTCCTCTTCTAGATCGAAGCAGGGGGGCGCGCATAATTTCACAGTCGTCACTTTTCTTGTGTTGAGCACGATTTCCCGAAAAGATTCTTGCCGCACCGTCTATACGAACGGTGCGCTCGGTATCGCATCCGTCAGGAGGTCATACAGAAACCTTGATTCCCTTCTCCGATATCGAGTAGGGTGGTTTTCCATAGGCAGTGGCATGGGTTAGATGTTGCAAAAGTAAGGCCTTGCTTAAAACTGAATAATACACTACTTTTCTTCCGGTTCATTCCGCCCGTCCCTTGCCTGATGTTTGAATCCCAACGAGCAAAGTCTCTTGCTCAAGGTCGGGGTCCGCTTACGGCGCTTCTTTCCCGACACAGTCACCCCCAGTCAACCCGGCCTCGATGTGAATGAAGCTTATACTTGTTTGGATCTGGTACACATCACACAGAATAATCCCTCAACCACGCGAGTTTGTGCCATGTCTCCAAGATCACCGACACACCAAACGGCAACCCTGAAGTGGAGAAAATAGGTAGGTATGTGTCATTATAGTATGTATGTATCCGCGCCTAATTCGTACTGTCGAATAAAAGCCCTCCCTGCAGACGCCGTGCTTCCAAGCTCCAACGCGTGTGCGTCAAGGGAGGACAAGAAAAGAAAAAAGGGCTTGCGCACTTGACACTCGAGAGTTAAGGCGAACGATTGAAATAAGAAATAGGTCGACTCCAACAAGTCGACGGGTGGAAAGGGATCCCTCCCTCCCTCTTCTCCTTCGGGTATCATCACCTCTCTCTCCCTCCTCTCAAATCTCCCCCCCGAGTCTGCAACCGCTTCCACCTCCGCTTTTTGGTTGTCCTAGCTCCCCAATGTTGTATTCAAGAAAAAGAAAGGGAAAAGGACATGTTGAAGCCGCATTATGCCGATCCACGCGTCCCAGGCGCATGCGATCTCTGCTCCGTCTGCTATGCATCGTAATGACAGTGCTAATGATGAACGGAGACGATAGTAGTAACAAAGGAAATCCGGAAAGAAAACAGAACCAAGGAGATGTCGGCCGTAGGGGAGGGAGGAGATGGAGGGACACAGACGATGTAGGCTCGCTCACAACCACAACAGCCACTTCACCGCCCCCACGACCCCTTGCCCGACACCCCAAAACACCCGCAGGATCATGACGACAAACCATACGTACCACATGAAGCCCACGAGCACCCACTCGACGGCGAGCCACATGGCGCGACGGACCCAGCGGAACCTACGTCTACGCCGTCGCAGCATCTTCTCAATGACATCGAGCGTGTGCTTGATCTTCAGCCTCTGACCCAGCGTAAGATCGCGACTTGTCTCGTCGGCCTCGTCGGCTGCTGCGCGCGTCATGGCTGACAGGTCAGTGGCGACGCGGCGGCGGACATCTTCAACCCGACAGTACAAGGCGGGCACAGTGTCCGACACGAAGAGGTCGGCCGTCTTTTGCCATTCTTGGCCGGAGCACTGGATAGAGTTGCCGAGGGTCTTAGCGGCGAGCTGGTACAGCTCCGTCTGAGGGACAGCTTTGTTGCGCAAGCTGTTAGGATCGGGACTGAGTTTCGCAATCTCGGGCCAAAAGACGTTGGCGACTTGGAAGTCGTTCTGCGACGGCGTTTGCCGGTCCGCAAACACAAGATGGGGCTCGTTGGCACGACGTGTAATCTCCATGGCCTTAATACCAGAGCTCAAGACCAGTGCGCGGAGACGGGCAACTTCCCGCTTCGACATCGGAGCTCGTTCCGGTGCCGGGCTATGATCCGAGATCGACCAATGACGGCTGCGGTTGGATGCAGATCCAGGCCGTCCGTCAGGTATAAAGGGTGGCATGGTGATGATGGAGTTGAGGCGCTTGTCCGCCTGCTTCACGCCCGTAATGCGCCCGCCAGACAACGGTTCGATTTCAGAGACGTCTGACAATCGTTTGCCTGAGCCGTGTGACGAGGTTGGCGATGCGCTCATGATGTCGATACGTGGCGGCTTGAGCCTATCAAAACGAGGCGACTTACGGCTCGCCGATGGTGGTGAATTGTCAGGCAAATCTGCTGGCGCGCTTTCCGTGTGCCTCAACTTCTCATGAGAAGTATAGTCAAAGGTCGGCATAACGTCCAAGTACGTCCTGGCGCTCTGCTGGCGCATTTCTTGGCTCCTAATGGAGGCGGTTCTTGAGAGTTGTGTCTCGCCTCTTCTTCTGCCCCTCTGTTCTGTGTCCGACTCGTCCGTCGTCGTGCCCTCCGTTTCGGACGGGCCATCACCAATATCCGACTCCTTACGCCAGATCAAGTCACCGAGCTTTGATACTCCACCGCGAATGACATTGTCAATACGGGCTCCTTTGAAGATGCCTCGGACACCAGGCTCGTCGCTGCGCAGCTTGATGCTTGTAACACTGCGATGAGACTTGTGGCTCTCGCCTGTCTGACGTTGTGTAACCTTACGAGAGGGGCTTCTGGATGACCCTCGCCTGTCTGTCGACCTCCGTTCCCCAGACGATTCCGGCGAGGCCTCGAACGGTGTTCTAGGGGCGCCGGGCAGGTCCTCGGCGCTTGACTTCTCTTCCGAAATGCGGTCGCCGATTCGTTCCTTGCTGCGCTCGCGGAAGATCTGCCTGACCTTCGAGAACGGGTTTCGAGTTGGAGAATTAGCACGGCTAGATTCGGCTGACAGATCTCCACCAAATGCCGGGATCAAGGGATCCCCGCGGGCTGCCCCGTCGGGAGAGTTCGGTAGTGACGAGTCAATCTCGAAGGAGCTTCTCCTGGCCGGCATCGGAATTTCTAGGCTGGACCTCGTCGGGCGCTGAAGGTGCAACGGGGTGAAGCGAGGCTTGTCCTTACTCTTCCTTTCGTCAGACTCGCTGACCTCCACAATCGACGCCTTTCGGCTATGCTGTCGAGATTGCGGGTGCGATCTAGCCCCGGCGTTTCGCTCTGGCGTCACGTAACCCGATCCGTCTGGCTTCTTGGGGGCGTTATCTCTCGCCTCCTTGGCAATCATCTCGAGCATCTGCTTCTCTAGGATGTCTTGGTGACTGCTGGTGAGTGTACCCGTTCGGCTCCTCCTCTCCTTCTTTAGCTTTCCGTCGTTCTCGCTGTCTGATAGATCCGAGGACGTCTTGCCATGCCGCCAGTCGTGATGACTATGCATCGAGTTGCTGTGACGATGGTGATGATGCCCTGTGAGATCATGCAGCTTCTGGCGAGCACGCTCCCGAGCACTACCTGTAGAGTGGTCCGTATCCGACTTGGCGAGTTTCGGGTTGCTGGTCCTGGGATCGATTGCTGGCCATAACTCTTCGTTCTCTCTGTGCCCTGGCGTTTGCCCAGATTCGCTTCCGTAGTCCTCGTCTTGCCTTGACAGAGGTCTGTGAACGTCGACGTCCTTAGGAAATATGCGCCGCCAGTGGCGGTCTTCGATCAACTGCTTGTGATGGTCCTGCTCTAACCAGTACGCATCAGCCAGCAGGTCCGCTGCGTCTACAATCCAGTCAAGCCTTGGCCTTCGTGGCTTGTTGGCGTTCGCCGCCAGCTGAAGAGCATTCTGTCGCTCTGAGGCATCTGCGTCTGCAAAAGGCGGAAGTATACAGCCATCTGCGCTCGTTTGACCTGTGGCGGCCCATTTGGCCACCTCATCGACCCAGTCGGCAACCTTCACAATGTCTCCAAACCCCTGACCCTCCCCGTCAATGGCCTTGCGCTCTCGGGCCCGAACCTTCCTGTTTCGGATGTACTGTAATGGGTTGTACGGCCGCCCAAGCCGCACACTACCGTCAGAGCTGCCGTAGGTCGGGATTCTAGTAACACCTCCTGAGGACGTCGGCGGGCTAGCGGTTGTCGGGCGGCTGTGATGGTGTGGCTGTATAGGTGGCACTAGCTCCAAGAGACGCCGGTATTGGGCCATGAGTTCTAAATGCTCCTTTGCCTTTTGCGCTCGTGCCAAGGTCGACGCAGTGAAGTGATTACGAAAGGTTCCCTCGCGACTCATATCGAATGTCGCCTGCAGTGGGCTGCTCAAGATCCCGGTAGATGGGAGTCGCGGTGTCAGTGCCTTGTCAGGCCCCGGGGACCTCGTTCGCGATATTCTTCTCTGTTGTTGTAAATGGTTTTTGAGGTTGGCGCCCGTCGTGCCGTCTGGGAGTTGTGCCAGGGTCGGGACTGCCTGGGGTGGCGCTATCCTCCGCGATACCTGTCTCCTTGATTCGCTCAAGTTCAAGGCCATGTTTACAATCTGCGCAGAGTCGATGTCAAGCGACGGGTTTGCGACCGGTGTAAAGCTCGTTCCTGAAAGGGGTCTGACTTTTGCCGTATCTCGTTTTCTGATGGTCAAGTCGTGTGTAGCGCGCGTTGGCGAGGTGTCCCCGTTTCCCCTGGGCGGACTATCCAGCCCTGCGAGTCCGAGCCCGGCCTCACGACCAGCGCTGGATCCTGACTTGTCCGGCGCTCTCCCATGGTCTTTTGTCCTGCGGCTGGGCGGAAGGTTACGTACGTGCCGCAGGCGAGGCCCTTGATCCCCATCGGAATCCTCGTCGTTCCGAATGGCGTCTTGTAGTAGGAAGGCCCCGTTAGAGCGATGCCTAGGTGCCCGTTGTTTCCTTGCATCCTTCCCATGGTATCCATTCGTATATTCCGCATCTCGGGGGCTCGATGAAAGTGGACGGCGGCCGCTCGACTCGTCGGGCGACGGCAAAAGCGTTGTGTCGTTGAGGATACTACCCGTGGCGCTCGACTCGCCTGTCTCGTAGCTACCCCTGCTACTACTTCCCCTATCGCCAGACATGGAGTGTGGGCTCAGCTTCCTCGTGAGAACGGCACGTTGCTGGGCGGCATCCTTCTCCGTCATAGCGACGGAGACGCTCGCATGGCCGTCGCTAGGTCTCGATGTTCACCAGGCCGGAGTCGGAGTCGGAGTCGTGATCGTGGTCGCTGTCGGTGTTGCTCTCTCGGCCAGTCGTCGGCAGTGCACGCACGGAGAAAGGCGGTGTTGGTGTTGGCGAGGGCAAAAGTAAGGTACAGAACGTTAACAGGTCGCAACTTTCATGGCCCGCCGTTTCGACGTAAGGGGGTTGTGGGAGGGTGCAAGACAGTTCAGAAAGCCAAGTACGGATACCCCATGTGAAGGGACGAAAGGTGACGAAGATTTTGGAGGTGATGGCGCTGATTCGTCCGAGCCGAAACAGGGCATTGACATGTGCCAGCTGAGCATAGGATGGATGGTGTCGATCTCGCTGCCCAGGATCGTGGTGGTACTGTAGTCCGTTCAGTCGACGCCAGCGGCAGCGGCAGCAAACACACGGACAGTTCCCAAGATTCCCAACCAGCTTAGTGGTCCTTCCCATCGCCCAAGTCCAGATGGTAGCTCTGCCGTGGCGTCGCAGCCGAACGCGCTACCAGCTCCACCCGCTGCCCCCACATTGACGAGAGGGATGACCCCACCCGATTCGGCAATCGACGGAGCGGAATATCCTAGGCCCCGGAGCTGTGGTATCTCTGGGCGAATGGCAGCGGCCGAGTCGGGGGCCACGGTGGGGCGGACCAACGGCCCAGCAGACAAAAAGCTCTTTGTCCCGCAGGTCTTCTTACAACGTTGCAAGGTTCCCAGCCACGGCTTTCAGGTTTGCGAGAGCGTTGAGCGCGCTAAGCCGGCAAGTAAATGGGGCCTTCGATTCGCGCTAACTCTATGCATCAGACCGCCACTGTATCTGAAAGGATCTCCCTGGTCTGGACCGATGCTTGACATCCTCACTTGCAGCTTGGCGAACGCATTCATCAGACGCCCAGAAGTGCAGCCCGCTTCGTTCGTCGATTGTCACCATTGCTACAGTTTATGCAAATCACACGGGGTAGGCTCGTTGAAGTTTCGTGTTAGGGCGGGACAGGCACACATCGCCGATGGGCGTAGAGGCTTAAAAGAAACAGGTAATTACGCTCTAGGAAAGATAAGAAAACTCGAGTTAGGTATTTTTGTACGCTCCTAACGGGGTGCGGTACCAAAATCGCCCCTCCTTTCCCAGCATCCATCTGCCTTCTGTACAGCCAAAGAAAAATCATGCAAAAGTCAAACGCAGAGCCCTGATCCGTGTGCTTGCGGGCCCGTAACCAACAACAAAGAGCAACAGCATCCTTTGGTTGGGTGACGTGGGGTATCGGGGTATCTCACCCTAACCAACTCAAGAGTGAACAGGAGACTTGTACTCTGCGAAGTAACGCTCATGGATACGGCCAACATACTCAACCAGGGCGGGCTTCTCGCGGATGAGGGCGGCGTGGACCGGGTTCCTGTGTCCGTTTCGTCAGCAAAGCTCGCGTCGATGGCTGTTGTTCAACATCAAGTATGAGGAGCGAGTCACTTACACAGTGGTGCCCAAGATGGTGGCTAGGTTGCCGTAGACGATGAAGTCGGCCTCAGATGGGCGCTGGCCGCCGAGGATCCAGAAAGGCTCCCGAGACTCTCGCGAGTCGAGACTCAGCTTCGACAGCGAGGTCTCGCAGAAGCCGTTGAGAGACATGATAACTTCGGAAGCGAAGGCCTTGACCTCCTCGTCGTTGTAACGGCCGACGCCCTGGAACCACAGCTGCGAGTTGACGTAGCCGCGGGCAGCCTGGGTGGAGATCTGCTTCGCGCCCCAAACAAAGTGGGCAAAGGGACCGTCGTGCCACATCATCTCGTACTGGCCGCGCCATCTCTCGTACAGCTAAAAGCATGCTGTTAGCAGTCCGCTCCAGAGTTCGTGGTGTTACGCCAGGCAGCTTCTTACGACAAGGAAATAAGCGCGGTCCTCGAGCATAGCTCGGATGCAAGCATCCTTGGCCTGGTCGGCAGGAGAAAGCTCCTTGTTGAGATCCTGCAGCTTGCCGGTCTGCACCAGGCGCTTGATGACGAACTGCGCCTCACCGACGAGCTCGTCCGAATCCGCAAGCTTCACGTAAGGCACTCGGTACTTGGGGGCCTGGAAGATGTTGGCAGCACGGTCCTTGTGCTGGATGCCGGCGTGGCGAAGACGGAGGCGCAACTGGATCGAGAAAGGCGTGTATCCGTACTGGCCGTTAGGGCGATCGAAGCTGTAGATGGTCAAGTCGTGTCCAACTCCCTTCTCCACCGCGGCCTCGTCCTCAGCAGCTTCCCTGAGCTTGCGGGGAAGGTATCGCTTGAGGGCCAGAGCATTCTGCTTGGCGTTCTGAGCTGCTGGAGGAGTCTTCATTGTGAATAAACCGAAATGGAGGGGAGGGGTATCTGGGGTATCTTTGGGGTATCTCTGGGTATTCGAAGGGTAACTGTTCTATGCTGTCCCGGGAATCCCAGAGGCTTCGAGCTGTATTATTTATTGTTTTCGATGCCGTATTGGAGGTGTTCGACACGGACGGCCTGCTCGGAGCTGCTGGAGCTTTACAACATGGTAGGTGCTGGTGGCAATGCCCTTGGCTCCCGAAACATAATCCGAGTCAGACCGACAAGTAAAGCGAGGACAAAGCTGAATTATCCCATCTCTGTCTTGCATGAATGCAAAATCAGATGGACTATTGCAAGTGGATGGTGAAGAAGCCTCGTAAATGAGGAATCTGGCAGCGGCCACGTCATAGCTGTTCCATGTTGAGTTGGCGGACAAGCGTAAGAACGAGGCTAAAGGGAAGTGGTGGTGTCTGAAGATGCATCTGGATTTGAGCATGAGCCAGCTCGCTTGTAGGGATATCGCAGCCATCGTCTAGCCTCGTCTTCCCGGCCATGATCGCAACGAATCTGCTCGCAGGATCGCCATAACACCTGATCGCAGGTTTAGTGCCCAATTCAAACCTAAAACACAGTCACCGTGTTGACATGATCGTTCTTCAGCACCTCAAACACGAGACCGGGGAATCCAAATAGAGTAGTGGTTGAGTCGTCACTGCCATCAAGTCTCTTGGCGCCGCTGTCCTCCCAACCTCCAAGGAATTCACAGCTGCTGCCGGGACTATCCCCCCAGCCCCGATTGAGAACCATGCCTCTTTGGGGAGCTTTGGAGTCGCCTTCAGGGTACGCGCTGTTCCACCGTTCATTCAGTCTGTCCTTGATCTCAGTGAATTTTGTCTCCGAGTTTGCTGCCGCACCAGGGGAACCATCGTCAAGATAACTGACTTCCCAGCGGCAACGGCGGTGCCTGTTGAACTCGTACGAGCCGGGCACGTTGCCATGGAGAACCAACTTTGTAGCAACCAGACGGTCAGGAGATTCCGACTTGATAGGCTTACTAGGCGGTATCTGGGACTCGTGCTGCGCCGGCGGTGGTCTCGACGGCGGCGAAGGTGTTGAGACCAACACATCAAAACCTAGATAGAAGTAATTGTAGAAACATTCCCCCGAAACATTTCCGGCAATGTCTTCTTCGACTGCTTCATCATTAGAATCATCTGAGCCAGTGTTCGCAGACGACTGGTCGGTATCGGTCAGATCGTCTGGCCTATGCAAGTCGGCGCCGCTTGAACGAGCCCTGCTGTGACTGGCCGTCCGAAGCTTGTGTATTGTCATTCTCTGGTCGTTCTTCCGATATGTAGCGTTGGGAGGACCAAGCTCCGCAATCAACTCTTGCGGACTAGTCTCTCCCAGGATGATCCAGATCGAAGAATTAGTCCACTTCCGGAACAGTTGAAGCTTTCCACCCCCGTGAATCTTGACCAGCGATATTTCGTCAGGAACCACGTCTTTCCCTCTTGGAAGAACAGGTACCGTCTTGACACTTGGAAGAATTTCGGTCCAAAGGCTCTCTCGGGCTTGGGCCCACGAATCTCCGCTGAAAACAGCCATGGATGTGGGCACTTGGCTTGCCGCGGAAGACAGAAGCGACACGACGTCCTTGCTAGGGGAGTATGCCGATTCGGCTAATCGGAAGGTAAAGGCAACACCGGGATATGAAAGTATGTAATTACCCAGGTTATCGGGGGCGTCGGGCGTTGGTGGTATGAACTCTCCACCATATGTTGGTCCGAGCAACCTGTGGTAGATCTGTCGGAAGGTTGGACCGGAGCTGGATTCTCCGGGGACAGGCGACGACGGCGGCCCCTGCGAGTTGGCGGGCTTGACAAGATCGCGGTCCTTAAACGTGACATGGTTCTTTGTGAAGTCGACAATCTCTATCAGGCGCAAACGCTGCTCTGGGCCATCGAATCGTAGGCGTATGCCATTTGCAGGAAGGCTTAGGGTCACCGGCTGCTCGACGGGCAGTTCTCGGGAGTAGACGAGATCGAGTTGTGGAAAGCGTTGCGGCTCGGCCTTCAGTCGCGTCAAGACATCATGCAAGGATGCTCCGAGAACTAGGCGAAAAGCAATAGAGTTAGCGTCCGAGTGTCCTCTGGCAGACAGATTTCATGCAAACCGAGAAATCCTAGAGCTCGTCCTGGGTGCAGTTGCGCGGTGAAAAGCGACATGATCAGCGAAATGCGATCGGAGCTCAGCGCGGGGTCCGCGAGGTGTTCAGGGCGGCGTCGTCGCAGGAACTGCTTTGTATGTTGGAGCAGAAGGAAGCGTGCGATGTTTCTACAAGTGCCTGTGTACTGATTTCTACAAAGAGGGATATTGATGATGGCTTGGAGGAGAGAACTCCGAGAGGCAGCGGTACAGGCAGTAAAGCGCACGTTGAAACTGATTGTTGTCCACGGGTCCGACAGAGGGGTTCATGTGATGCTTGAACAGCGACAACGGATTAGCGGGGCGTGGGGTCGGAATGAGACGTCATTCGGCTAGCAGAGATACACTACACAGCACCTGGGGCAGACGGGGCTGTAGCTGCCAATCATTGGGGGGCGGTGGGAGTAACCATGTACCTTTGGCCCCACCTGCCATGTCAGGCCCCGAAGCTCTTATCTTATCAGTCGACAACCCAGCTCAGAGTGCAGGAGCAGAACGGGGGGGGGGGGGAAGGAACTGCGCCGGAACTTTCTCATTGTAAAACACAGCAGTCTGGATCGGAAGTATGGGAAAGTGAAGTGAAGATAAGGCAGCAAGGCAATTACTCTGAGCAGGTGAACTACGCATAGAATGCTTCATCCAGGTCAGGCATCTCACTTCCTTTACATCGACCCCACAGATGCCTCAGTCTTGGGGCTGAGATGGACGGCGGGGGGCGCATCCATAACATCGGCCAAGCCAATGAGGCAAGGCCATCTCAGATATTAATAAATACTATATACCTTTCCGACGGATGCGAAATTGCGTTTGGCGCTGCTGCGTTCGCAATGTTATGTCTTCCCCACATCTTTCAAGGTTCTGTCGGTACCTCTCGGCACTCATTAACACTCTCTGCACACCTCCAACGACGACAGAGGCCAACAGCCATGGTTGCTGTTAAGAGACGAGACACGCGACATCGGATACGTTAACGCAAAGCATCCTCTCACACAATTTCCGGGTTCTTCATTGACTTCGTTCTCGTCTCCGCATGGAGCCTACCTTCCCCTTCTGTCTGTGTCAAATGTGCCTCAGCCGGCAAACTGCGAGCTCCGTCTGGCATTCACTCCCTCTCGCCTGAAGTGGAGCACGGAGATTCCCCAAGGCTTGATACCCACAGACCGCTATTCGACGAACTCTCGATTCCGTTTCACTTATTCCTGTTAGTCTAGTTTGCCAATTTACAAGGATGGACCACCACCACCACCACTAGATAGTTCTCGCGCCTTTAATTCCATCAAGTCCATTTCATCAACCCTCCTTTACGGCTTCTTCGGAGATGCTACCGCCTGGACAGATGTCGCACATTTCCCTCAAGTACTCAAGATGTCGCCTGGACCACATCACAGACCACCATTTCAACCTATCATCACACAGATTCATCAACATCACACCCGACGTCCTACCGTCGCTGCCGTTGTCTCGAGTAGTGTCTTGGCCTTCCTGCTGGCGCAGCCCGTTGAAGAAGCATACCGTCGACATCCCTATTTTGGTAGATCTCGCCTTTGGATCTTGCTTCCTCAGGCTAATGTCATGAGGATACCGTCGGCATCTCGTTTGCCCAGCTGTTCCGTCACTCGTATCTCGTCTTCGGCTTCCCACCAGGAATGTCGCGCCCTTTTCATGATGCTCTTTACTTCAATTGAATTTCCTGTGCCTCTTGGAACCGGGCTGGACTAAAGAGTCTCTTAGGCTTGAAGCGCTTACTTGCAGCGTTGCCCCTCTGTCAGTCCCTGCTAATATTCGTTAGGTATGTCCATTCTATCTCGGAACGGCGACGCTGCAATTCTATACAGACGTGTAAGATTGGATATCATCTGAGGTGAATGTGATAGCAATGGCTGATCAACACAGACGCTTCTCACGGATTGAGCCCTGCAGCGGCAGAGTGGCGAACGAGAGACTGTGCCTTTGTGACAACATATGATATCCACCGCTAATATCGGCTAGTAAAGCTTCGAGCCCCAAGCATTGGTCACACAATGAAGCGTTTGAATGCTTCTATGCAGATTCTTCGCCATGATAGTTCAGGCGATAACATCGGAACTTGCAGACGGCAGCGGCGTCGCCGAAGAGGGGCAGCTTTCATGCTCACAAAGGGGTATACATCCGCGTTGCGCTCGTCCTGGCCATGCAGCATTCAAAGGAAAGAAAAGACTCACCAGCACATCTCCTCCTAGGCATTGGGCCTGTCTTCTTTTTTAATCGCAACTTCAGACTGCCCTATTCGAAAATGAAAGTCAATGATGCCAGACCTTTGAATCTCTACATCAACAACTTGGTGAACACGACCGTCGGGTCTGCTTGCTAAACAAGTTCCAGCTGTTTCTGAATACTCGAGAAAACCGCCTGGATTCAATCACTTGAACCTGCCTACAGGATGTACTGGTCAGTGCCGGCATCGGCTAGCAGTTTCAAGGCATCTGTGTCGACCAACCGTGCGGTTGCGCACAGAGATGACCTCCTCCAGGCACCGAACCTGACTATTTATCAAGAGCCGTTTTCAGATACCAATGGAAGAAAACGTTCCAACCTAGCGGCAAGGGAGATGCGATTGGGGCTTCCTCAAGCAGATAAATCACTCACTTCACAGCACAGTCCAAGACAGCCCAAGGTCACCATGCCAGGTTATGCGGGAATGCTTGAAATCAGCAGTCTTTAGTGCATGATCGGATAAGGCAGCTTGGACTCCAGGTTCGCCTTGCAAAGCACTGATGCTACTTGGACGGGGCTCGCATTGCTGATCCAGGCTAAGACCGATCATGTTGCAGTTCTGTCGGGGTTCTGATGCAACTTCTCGAACAACCCTCAGCTGTAGCTGCCGCGCGATACCCGCTTCGCTCACAAGGCCAAGACTTGTCACAGTTTGTTCCAGTATGAGTGCATTGCTGAATGCCATGAGACTATTTCACACGGCCGTATGCAAGTCTTTGGGCACCCTTTGGACGATCACGGGTAGCGGAAGGCGGCCATGTCTCCCAACTAACACGATCTCCATAATATCAGTAGCGAATTTGCTTTTCAATCTTTCATAGGAAATCATTGACGCCTTTCCTTGCAAGAACTCATGGCTTGGCAGTAACCGTTGAGCCCGAAAAGCACGACGGAGACAGCCCCCTGAACCCGCAAGCATGAGCAGCTTGGACCCACGGTTCCACATTCATGCCCAACGACTCAGGGACGTTTACGATCTCGAGAGACCTTTTATGGGTTGTGCCTGGTACTCCTTGAGTAAAGCGAGGATCATGGATGTGATGGCTGCTATCGAGGTCGGCAGAAGATGCTGCCGCTGTCTCTGGAGGCCATGGCCCGTACGGCGAACCCGGTATTCATCAGCAACACCACAGCAGTAAGCCAGCCGTCCTTCTTTCCTATGATCCGACCTATTCCATGGCTCATTATGACCAACATCTAAGCGGGGGAGCTGAGTTGCGCGGCTTAGGTTGGTCTTTGGCCGAAAAGGCGTTTATTTCATTGACGAACATGGTGAGTGGCTATGAAGTAGTCACGGCAAACTGCTTCTAAGGATTAATATCTCTGAAGTCCTTGACCACTGATCATTCGTCAGTTTCTTCTTTACCTGGTCGTCTCATAACCTGCTGTCGGTATTCACAGATCGTCATTACAGCCGTTAGCCGTCTCACTCGGCACTCAGCTGCAAAAAGTTCGAGCTAGCTGACAGTAGGTTCATCCTAACCTCTCATCAGCCTGTCCACCTGATCTGATGCTCTGGGCCTCGCGAGGAAGCTGATTTGAATCAAGCTGCCGTACGGTCTTTTGACTCCAGCGGGCTTGTAAAAGGGATGGAGGTCAAGGCAGCATCATTTTGAACTGCCCAGTAGGTTGTGCCATCTTGAAGTTGAGACCGAAAAAAGCTACCTAGTTATACTGTATGCCTGCCCCATTCAGCTCTCGACCATAGGGGTCAATTAGTCCTTGGCTAAAGGAATCGTTATCGTAGCAATACATCAGCAAGCGAAACTTTGAGTCGAGTCTACCCTTTCTCGAGCCTCGCCAAAAATTGCATAATGAGCACCTTGCTGTCTGAGGTCTCAACATATTCCACTGATTGTTGTTTACAGGTCGTGAGTCAAGTGGTGTCGTTTGCTTCGAGTATACTACCATTGTTGCTGTGCAGTCATACGGAGCCGGGGTATATTGTGTGACCGGGCCGGGCTAAAGAGTATAGTCTCCAAGCTTGCTAAGCGGAAGCGGCGCAGTGCTCTGTTGGAACCTCTCGGCTATGGTATGCGCATTCGCTGTCGTCGCATCCTTCATCCTGAACATCTCAAGACCACGTAATACATAGGGCACATTATTTTATTCTCGATATTTAACAATGGCGAAGCTGCGGCTTAGAGAGGGAGGAGTTCTCCCACATGACGACACTTTTATCGTGGAAGCGTTCGACTCGACGATCTCGTATCTCGAAGCGATCGGCAGCGGTGGAATGTGGGGATCTCGGCTCTTCAGTGAGACAGAAGGGTTCATGGAGGAAACGGCCGAGGACATCAGAAAATCGGAGAGGTACCGGACTACGGGCGAGGGAGATGCCTTGCGCATCTTCATCGCGGATGTTGGCGTCGAGCCGTCGGCGATACCTCTCCCGAACAGCACCACGAAGCCTCCCGGTCCCCGCTACTGGACCGCCGATGATGGGACACGCATGCTCTCGGTCGGAGTAGCGTTTGTTCGCGAGAACTGGCTACCTGGGCATGTCAAGTCTCAGTTCCACGTCGATGCCATCCGCACCGAGTTGCAGGGAAATGAGGGGTTTGTGTATCTCGATGTCTTGGTCACGGATTTTAGGACAGGCCATCACCGCAAGGGAGCCGGGGAGGCGCTTGTGAGGAAAGCAAAGGACTACGGACTTGAAAAGAAGATGAAGGTGCTCTACGTTGATGCTTGGGCGGGGAATGGGAGGAAGCTGGTCGAGTAAGTACTCAGAGCTGGGAAGGGTAGGATACCCAACGCTGGAGTGCTAACAGACAATAGATTCTACGAAAAGCTGGGGTTCAGCATCGTTGCTGACTTTGAGATGAAGCGTGCTAATGGAACTATATGGCCAGGTACACTTCTGCGAATAGGGCTCGATGTTATGGAGCGGAGTGCAGACAGTGAAGCTGGCGAGGAATGAGTCTCACGGCGGGTATCGATGTCTTCAAGACGTAGGTCCGGCAGAGCAGCAAGCGTCTCTCTTTAGTCGTATCCACAATACAGTACACGAATAGTGGGACCGGTCAGCCAGTTGATTTGAGAGTATTAGCGTCTCGAACAGCCTACAATTCCCTTTTGCCAGCCAATTCCCACCTTTGATAGATCGACTTTCGTATTGAGGGCCGTGTTTCGGTGAGTGACCCACTAACGCTCGGTGAGGGGCCAAACCAAAACAGCCAGGAAAACAGGCAAGCAGAAGGGGCCAGCGGGGCTGTTGCCCGGGTGACGGGAGATACCGTTGACCAACCACAGAGCTGGACTCCACTTAGCGCGCATGCTCTATTTACCGACCCTAGCACTTTGTCAACACACAACCTGTCGGGTCCCAGTATCATGCCTCACACCGTATATCAAACATTCAACACAAGCAACACACACAACACACGCCTACGGTTTTTGGTAGGACCTTTGACCTTTTGGATGATTTGATATCGCTGCGTTCCGCCTCTTACTGTTTTATCACCGACGCGACTACTCACACCAAACACCCCAAAACATGAGCTCCAGACGGGAGCTGACGAGGCCGACCTCGTCGAACCTGCGCACCGGCGCCGCGGCTCGCGCGAGCGTGCGCCCGGGAACCCGGACCTCGAACTTGCGGTACCAACACGCCCCATCCAAGGGCGTAGAGCGCGCCGCCTCACCCGCAGAGTCTGTCGCGTCCGTCGCTACGAACGCGACGAAGCGCAAGGAGCGCGAATATGACTTTGAGACGCCGGGCCAGGAGACCAACATCAACGTTGTCGTCAGATGCAGAGGCCGCAACGACCGCGAAGTACGCGAGAACAGCGCCGTCGTCGTTCAGGCCGATGGCGCGAAGGGCAAGAATGTCGAGCTGAAGCTTGGCCCCAATGCTCTGAGCAACAAGACATACAACTTTGACCGCGTCTTCTCTGCCGCGGCCGACCAGACCATGGTTTTTGACGATGTCGTCAAACCCATCTTGGACGAGGTTCGTCTTGCCATTTGGCTTTGCTCGCTACTGTCCCGCTGACACGATACAGATGCTCGCTGGCTTCAACTGCACCATTTTCGCCTATGGCCAGACCGGCACCGGCAAGACGTACACAATGTCCGGAGACATGACAGAAACCCTAGGCCTCCTCTCCGACGGCGCTGGTATCATCCCCAGAGCCCTTCATGCTCTCTTCAACAAACTCGAAGTCGACGATACCGAGAGCTGCGTCAAGTGCTCCTTTATCGAACTTTACAACGAAGAGTTGCGCGATCTGATCTCTGTCGAAGAAGGCCCCAAGCTCAAGATTTTCGACGACACATCAAGAAGGCACGCGACTACAGTAGTGCAGGGAATGGAGGAGAGACACATCAGGAACGCCGGCGAGGGCATCAAGGTTCTTCAGGATGGAAGCTTGAAGCGCCAGGTTGCGGCGACCAAGTGCAACGATCTCAGTAGTCGAAGTCACACCGTCTTCACCGTGACCGCGTACGTCCGAAAGAAGGGCGAGGATGGTGGCGAGGACTATGTCAGCGCAGGCAAGCTCAACCTGGTCGATTTGGCCGGTAGTGAAAACATTCAACGATCCGGTGCCGAGAACAAGCGAGCCGCCGAGGCTGGCCTGATCAACAAGAGTCTTCTGACGCTCGGCCGAGTCATCAACGCTCTGGTCGACAAGAGCCAACACATCCCTTACAGAGAGTCGAAGCTCACCCGATTGCTGCAAGATTCTCTTGGAGGTCAGACGAAAACATGCATCATCGCCACCATCTCACCCGCGAAGAGCAACCTGGAGGAAACTATTTCGACGCTCGACTATGCCTTTAGAGCGAAGAACATCCGCAACAAGCCGCAACTTAACGCTATGATCAACAAGAGGATGCTTCTTAGGGACTTTGCGACTGAAATCGAAAGGCTCAAAAGCGAGCTGATTACGACTCGACAGCGCAACGGCGTTTACCTCTCCAACGAATCGTACGAAGAAATGACGGCCCAGAGCGAATCGCGACGCATCGTCATGGAAGAACAAGCAGCGAAAATGGAAACTCTCGAGGGCAACCTGAAGAACAAAGTCCAGGAGCTGTTTGCTCTGACGTCTAGCTTCATGGGGTTGCGAAAGGACCATGAAGGCACCAAGGCGGAGCTCGACGAGACTCAAGGTGTCCTTGAGCAGACTGAACTCGTCCTCAAGGCGACGAGAAGGAGTCTTGCCGAGGAGACGCACCTCCGCAAGGCTCATCAGGAAACTGAGGAGAAGCTGGCTGAGGTCGGCGGCGAGCTGATTGCCACCCTGCAGAAGACAGTGCACGATGTGGATGGCCTCCGAGCCAAGAACAAACGGAAGTCGGACCTTCAGTCCATTAACCGGAGTGCTTGGGGCACTGCGCAAGCTGAAGTGACCGAAGTAACAAATCTGGTGGAGCAGCGAGTGCAGAGTTTCCAGAGCAAGCAGCGGCAGAGCATCTCGGGTATTTCCGAGCGCATGAACTCTTTTGTCAGTGAGGAGCTCCAGAAGCTGTCCTCGACGCAGAAGCTCCTCGACGAGCAGTTAGAATCGTTTGCTGCCTCACGCCGAGAGCTTCTGGAGCAGAAGGAGAAGTCCAAGGATGAGATGGACGACGTTCTTGAGGAGATCAAGGTCGTTCGCGACACCGTCAAGCAGCAAGTTGGGGAGAGCCTTCAAGCCATTGCTGCTGCCGCAGAGCGTATCGCTGCCGATGTCCTTAGCGAGCTCGACACTTTCCACAACCAGGTAAGGGATTCGGACTTTTACCCATAGGCTTTCACAGCTAACACATGCGCGCACAGCTGCACACCTCCTACAGCTCCTTGGGCAAGGAGTTCAAGGGCATCTTTGAGGATCTCATGACGCACATCACGGAACAGCGAAGTGAGTCTGATAGACTCAGACAACAGCTCCAGAGCGCAACCGATACGATTGTCAAGCAAAACGAGAACATCTCAGCACAGATGCAGCAAGTTCTAGACGAGGAGAGGAAGCAGGCGGCCCAGGATCGACAGAATCTGTTGGCCCAGATCACCACTCTCATCCATGCCCAGGCGGAAATTCAGGAGACTAGACTGGCCGAGAAGACCGCACAGCTGCAGAAGAGCGTCTTGGACTCGAATGTCTCATTGCAAGGCAACGTGGCTCAGTACTCTGAGGACATGGAGACCTGGGATGCCAAAGAGGGGCAACTCCTTGACGACGTGGCCAAGTCCCGTGATGCGATGAAGAACAAGTTGAAGGATGACTGGAGCGTAAGTCAACAACAACCACTCACTGCCTCTTTGAAACATACTAACCATTACCAGACCGCCGAGGAACACAGCACTGCCATCCAAGCAACTACCAAGTCCGTTCACGCCGAGACTGTTCGTGTCGTGGACGAGCAGCTGAAGGACCTCGATGTACAGATGGAGGCATTGGATGACTTCGTTACTCGTGCTCGTTCCGAGAACGCCTCTCACCACGAGCGACATGGCGAATCAATGCAGGGCTTGTCATCGACCGTGGAGAAGTCTTTCGATAACATTTCGAGCCATTTCAAGACGACTTTTGATCGCGTCAAGGACCTGGGCGAAGAGATGGAGACTGAGACCGAAGAGATGCAGCAGGGTCTGGACCCGTTGGCTGAGCAGCTGTCGAAGCCGTTGACTGCCCTGCGTGAGGACATCGAATCTACGACCATCCAGGAGTACCGCCCGACGGGAGAGACCCCTATGAAGGTTCAGTACCAATACCCGACCGACCTTCCCCGGACCGAGGCCCACGACGCTCTCCTCGCCGAGCTCAGCGACGGAGCCACACCCACCAAGCTGGGATCTGAATCGATGGTCTTCCCGGACCTCGACAACGACATGCCTCGCTCACCGCTGGCGCGCGCGTCGACTCGTATGTCGACCCTCAGCATGATTTCGGAAATGCCCCCTTTTAACATGAGCCTTCGCGAAGTGAACCCCAACACCACCGGCAGCCTCGGCTACGACCCGTCGGTCAGCATGATGTCCATTAACGAGACCACGGCCCCGCTACTCTTTAGCAAGCGCAGCTCGACAAGGCACGTGCCTAAGGGCCGCAAGCAGAGCAGCCTGCTCCCGATTGAGGGGCGGGAGAACGTCCCGCCCTCGTCATTTTCGTCGAGTCTGGGACCTCGCAGGAAGAGCCCTAGGTTGAACTAGAGAGTGATAGTAGCGTGTGTGAATTTTGAAAAGGATTGGGGTCTTTGGAGTTGACAGAGTATTCTTTGGTTGGACTGTACAAATGGCGATTATGGCCTGGGGTATTGGGCTTGGTTTGGCAGGTGTCTTTTTGGGTGTAGGCTTACTGGTATTCTTGATACCCTTGACTTCTTTTTTCTGAGGATGTTTCAAATTCAAACTGTTTCTACTACTCGTTCGTCGCCCCCGGCTTGTTTATTTGGACTTTTTTTGTTGTTCACGCCTTGATCGAGCTCTATGGCTTTGGATACACGACGGCCGGATGACACCACTCACCATGCACTCTGTTGGCTCCTCATCGGCGATCTCCCCGCTCGTCATCCACGCCCTTGAGGATGTCAACACAGGCACCACCCGCAAACTATCCGGCAAACGTATAAATACCTAAAGTCTTTGGTTTCTGTTCATCTGCAAGTCCAACTTACATCTACCTCGCTTAAACCACACAGCTCCAGAGCCTCCTGCCCCTACTTACACCCCGTCTATATATCACCCCAACCCCCCTTCTTCTTTAACAATGTCCTATCCAGACCTGACCACCTTCAAAGCCCTCTCCTTCGACTGCTACGGCACCCTCATCGACTGGGAATCCGGCATCCAATCCGGCCTCCGCCCCATCCTCTCCCGCCTCCCGCCCTCCAGCCACCACGCAACTGGCCCGGGCCTCCTGGCGAAGCGCCTCGACGACCTCTCCTCCGCGCTGCAGGTCTCCGAGCCCGGTCTGCGGTACGACCTGAACCTATCGCGCTCCTTCTCGGCGCTGGCGGCCGAGGTGGGCGTCGACGTCTCGCCGGAGGAGGCGGAGCGGTTCGGATCCCTCCCCGGGACGTGGCCGCCGTTTCAGGACACCGTCCCGGGGCTCGAGGTCCTGAAGCGGCACTACAAGCTCATCATCCTGTCCAACATTGACCGGGCCAATATCACCGCGACGCTGGGCCGCCTGCGCCCCGTCGCGTTCGACGGCGTCTACACGGCCGAGGAGATTGGGAGCTACAAGCCCGCGCACGCCAACTTTGCGTACCTCTTTGCGCGGGCCCGGGACGAGCTCGGCGCCGACCGCGACAGCGGGGAGCTGCTGCACGTCGCGCGGAGCCTGACGGCGGACCATGTGCCGGCCAAGGAGCTTGGGTTCCGGAGCGTTTGGATCTCGAGGGGCGGCGAGACGAAGGCGGGGCGAGGCGTCGGCGGGGATCTGGAGAGGTTGAGGGGGGATGTTGGGTTTGAGTGGCGGTTCGGGACGATTGGGGAGTTTGCGGAGGAGGTTGAGAGGCAGTTTCGGCAAAAGGGGGGATTGAATGGTGCTGTGTGAGCGTGACATGTGAGTTGCCACGGTTAGGGAGTTGATTGATATCTTGGAGGGGCCGCCCTGAAGGTGTATTTCTGTCGCACAATGACTGGTTCTTGTAGTCGGCTTTTCGGGGGTATTTTGATACAGGAAACCCGTACCCATTATCTACTGAGGCAGAGATCGTCTGCTACAAAGTTGCGTCATGCGGAGGTTCAGAGAAATATGCCACATCTCTTTTAAATGCGTGTACGTTTCAACAAAGGCATATCAAAGTGCCCATCGCGCCTAAGAACGCTTTCTACATCCACCCTCGGGACTAACGATAACAGCCTCGCTTGCCGAGGCGGTAAACGTCACCCGGCCTCCTTCAACCAAGGCATACTCCCCCACTGTCACATTGTCCAGCTTGACGGGCTTCCCCTCGTTGAGTTCGTAGTTGTAACTCCACCCATCCCATGTGATACCCGTAATCGCATCACTCCCGTTTGCGTACAGCCGCCGCACGTTCGCGAGGCCCGTGTTCCATGGCACTTCGAAGCTGTACGCGAAAATATTGCGGCTTTTGGGGTTTGGATTCGGGGTGGTTCCCGTACCGTTGATGGTTGAGTTGTATGCGTGGAGGTTGACGACAAGGAGACGGGCGAGTGTGTCGCCGTGGTAGGCCGCGTAGGCGGCGGACTGCTCGTCGTCCTCGTCAAGCGGGATGTTCGCGACGGAAACAGGGCCTGGGGTTTGGGGCGGCGCAAGGAAGGCGGCGATGGCAATGTTGCCATAGTATGGTGCCTTGGTGCCGATGGCCGTTGTATTCGTGTCGACGGGCTGCCAGCTTTGATACTATAAATCATCAGCTTCAAAGTCGTTTCACGACGGGTACAGGAGGTGGGCGAACCCTATAGTCAGTCCCCATGTGCATGTGGTTGCGCTTGATTCCCTGTGAGGCGGCATAGAGGTTGAAGTCAACGCCCCAAAGGGCAGCTCCGAAGGAGTTGGACAGTCCCGGCTTGCCTTGGTTATAGAGCGAATTGTGCTCTCCCAGGATGTGCGGCGGGACATCGTCAAAGCGATCCGTCATGTTGGTGTATTCTATCACGTGTGACTGGACGGACTGCACGGTTCGAGTGTGGTTCATCAGAGTTCCCTGAAGGGTGACCCCGGGGCTCTCGGCGCCGCTAATGTAGTTATGGGTAGAGAACATGGCGACGTTTTTGTCAGTGTTCAACCCAGCAGCCCATTGCGCAGGGGCACGAAGCCTGTTGGCTGTTCCCGCGTTGCATGGCGCCATGAAGACCGGCTTGGGGAAATCAGGACACGCTTCTGCGATGATGTTGGCAATCTCGCGCGTCCCGTTGAGCCACTGCTCGACGTAGATGGATTCATTCCACGACGGGGGTCGCACGGGACCTTGGGCTGAGGTGGAGAAGAGGTCTGGCTCGTTTCCGTACTCCCAGACATCGAGCTTATCCTTGCCAATGGCTTTGCATGCCAACGGCACGGTGGCTTTCAGCGTTTCCCATCCTTCGGAGCGATTGGCGCCCAGGCCGAGGTTGAAGCCGTGGGCGAACTTGGTGTCTGCAAACGTGCCGTAGGATTCGAAAAAAGAAGGGCCAATATGGATGGTGGTCGGGTAGTCCCTCGATCTTGCAAAGTCGTAGGTGCCGTTGACAGCGAACGGAAGCGTCTCGTTGTATAGGGCGTAGTCCTGAGTGTTTCCTCCTACTCGGATATAGGGACGAACGCCTTGCAAGTTACCCAAGTTCGCAAGCAGATTGTCCGAAAACTTGTTCGGCGCCGAGGTGTTTCCTAGCATACACGGTCAGGGCCACGATGTACGGCACTTGATCCTAGGTGCAAGGCTTACCAGCGAAGTCCGGAAAAAAGGCGAACTCGAGGGAGAAGCTCACGAAAGCATCAAACACAGCACTAGCCTTCTCGGGCCCGGGGACGGCTTTGGGAGTGATGTCGCCCGCTATGGTGACGGTAAGCAAAGCCTGCGAGAGAAACGTAGCCCACGCCATCGCGTTGTAAGAGGGGGAGAAGGTGGTGAACAAGCAATGAAGCTCATCGCTGAGGACAGAACCAAGGGACCGAATAGCGACCGACATGATGGCGGAGTTGCTAGTATCGGTACGAGGACGGTATGAGGTGACAATAAGCTTCCCCGCGTCGGCAACGGTGCCAACGCGGGGATTGAAGCTGTTTATTGTTTTTCACTGTCGTGCTGCAGCAGGGAATACGAGGAGGCGGGTGACCGCGCAAGGCAGGCGCCTTACGACCATGACGGCATGCAGGTCGGTAAAGGTATCAAAACGGACAAGATCAACGCGGAAAGCGGCAACACGAGTCTTGGGATAAAAAGCTTGGCCTGCGAGTGCGTCTGGGGGTATCTCCAAGGGGTCGGGGAAATCTATGCCCATTTTCATGGCCAAGGTGATGGGAAAAATAAGGGGGGGGGGGGATCAGGGCCGGATGAGGTTGTGATGTGCCGCAAAGGACAGCCTATGGGAGAACAAACAAGACTCATGTGCGAAAGTTCCCAGATGCGCAAGGCTGTTTGGGTATCAGACGAACACCTGAAGGAGGCCTACACTAGAGCCGGGCACGACAGGGGGCATCTAGCGTCATCCTGCGTCCAATATTGAGGTAGAAACTGTATATTGGCCTGTCTGATGCGATGTCCGGCTCGTCATGAACGAGCAGACGCTAATTGAATGTGATGCATCTAGGTGGAATAGTTGCTCAGAGTGAGTTAGCTGAAGTGTGATGAAGTGTGATGAAAGCTAGAGGTTGTTAGGCAGGGAAGGGAAGGGAACGCACTCTCATAGCTCCAGTGGACTCTGCCACGCCAGGGAACAGCTCGATAGAAAAACCCAATGGCACTTGAGCTGCTTCTCGTTGCCGGGCCGTGACTGAAGAAAGGTTATCTGTTAGAGACCCCGCCGCGGCAGTAAGCGTTATCTTAGCACAGACTGATACCACTCAGTGCCGGTTTGCGGTGAACCCAACCGGGCCGGTTGGGAAAGTGGGGGGGACGTCATCGAACGTCACCCGGATGCGCGCGGTCCTGAAGCGCTCTCGTCTCCGTTGTCGCTTTAGACAAATCAACGATAGGATCACGATATTTGCCATTGCAGAGCCTCGACAACGCCGACAGCGCAAACTGTCCCGGATCGCGTTTCTGCACCCTCCATTGTCTTCTACTAGCCCGTCGGTGACACGGAAGCGTTTGAGCGCATCCAATAACCCAACACCAAAGTGTGAAGCGTAGCTCCATCCAAACATCACACGGCCCCTCCCCCGCATTTCCACAGCTCCAGCAGCGACGAGCTAAGAGCTTCTTCTTCTACTACTTGTTCTTCTCAACCCTCCTCCCACTTCGACTCTCCACTATGCCCATCACATTACAAAAAGCAGTCGCCCCGGCGTCACGATTTGTACCGAGAACCTTGTTCCGATCTGTTCGGACACCGTTCATCCCATTTACCCTCAGAGCCGCCTCCACCATGGTTCCCAAGGTAAATACCCCGCGATCCCATCGGCAGGCCATGCAGCTCACTCACACACACCCCCTTAGCTCAAAGACCCGTCATTGCTAAAGCAGGATGTATGCTACGTCAACGGCGAATGGGTCAAGGCCAAGTCTGGCAAGACCTTTGATGTAACCGGTAGGCCCAACCGGATCTCATGGCTCTCATCGGCAGTCCGAATGCTCACTACCAGTAGACCCGGCCACCGGCGAGAAGATCGCGTCATGCCCCGAGTTCGCCAAGGCCGACACGGATGCCGCCATCGCCGCGGCCGCCACGGCCTTCGAGACCTTCCGCACCAAGACCGGCCGTGAGCGCTCCAAGCTGCTGCGCAAGTGGTACGACCTCCTGATGGAGAACGCCGAAGACCTGACGACCCTCATCACCTGGGAGAACGGCAAGCCCCTCGCTGATGCCAAGGGGGAGGTCACCTACGCCGCCAACTTCTTTGAGTGGTTCAGTGAAGAAGCGCCCCGTATCTACGGCGACACCATCCCGTCCTCCGTGCCCGGAAACCGCGTGTGGACCATCAAGGAACCCGTCGGCGTCTGCGGCCTCATCACACCGTGTGTTCTTTAGCTGGAAGCTGCGTGATGGAACATGAGACTGACGTGGTGCAGATGGAACTTCCCCGCCGCCATGATCACCCGCAAGATCGGCCCCGCCCTCGCCACCGGCTGCACGGTCGTCTGCAAGGCCCCCGGCGAGACCCCCTTCACCTCGCTCGCCATCGCCGAGCTGGGCCACCGCGCCGGCGTCCCCAAGGGTGTCGTCAACATCATCACCGCCCTCGACAATACCCCCGAGGTCGGCGAGGCCCTTACCACCAACTCGACCGTCAAGAAGATATCCTTCACCGGCTCCACCAACGTCGGCAAGCTCCTCATGAAGCAGTGCTCCGGCACCCTCAAGAAGCTCTCCATGGAGCTGGGCGGCAACGCCCCCTTCATCGTCTTCGACGACGCCGACGTCGACTTGGCGGTCGCCGGCGCCATCGCCTCCAAGTTCCGCTCCTCGGGCCAGACCTGCGTCTGCGCCAACCGCATCTACGTCCAGAGCGGCATCTACGACGAGTTTGCCGAAAAGTTCGCCGCCAAGGTCCGGGAGTTCAAGGTCGGAAACGGCTTCGAGGAGGGCATCACCCACGGCCCGCTCATTCACGACCGCGCCATTGACAAGGTCGATGCCCACATCCGCGACGCCGAGAACAAGGGCGGCAAGGTTGTCGTCGGCGGAAACAAGATCTCGAAGCTGGGGTCCAACTTTTACGAGCCGACCGTCATTACGGGCATGACCAAGGAGATGGCCATGTCGAGCGAGGAGACCTTCGGCCCCGTCGCCGGCCTCTTCTCCTTCAAGACCGAGGAGGAGGTGGTGAAGCTGGCCAACGCCACCAACGTCGGATTGGCGGGTTACTTCTTCTCTCGCGACATCCAGCGCGTGCACCGCGTGGCGGAGCACCTCGAGGTCGGCATGGTCGGCGTCAACACGGGTCTCATCTCGGATCCCGCTGCACCGTTCGGAGGTGTCAAGGAGTCCGGCTTCGGAAGGGAAGGCTCCATGTACGGTATTTCCGAGTACCAGGTTACGAAGATGATTACGTACGGCGGCATGGGCCAGCCTCTTCAAAAGTAAGGTGTGGAAATCTTGTAAAAGAATGATTAGCGGGCAACCTTGGGATAGGAGTTGAAATTCAAACGGTTTGGGTGCTTCAATCAGTCGCTTGCTAAATGCCGCCATCTCTCCCGACAAATATGTGGACCCTTCAATTTTCGTTGCTGGCCTGCTTTCCGATAATGGGTCACGTCAGCGGTTGGAAGTCAGTCGGTTATGAAATATCTGAAGTCCCATAGGCAGAAATAGCCATAAAGGCTAGCTACATCCTTCCCGCCGGAGGGGGGGGGGGGGGGGTTCGGTGACCGGAATTTCAGCTCCGCCTGGCACAGTCTCAGCCTAGAGCACCTGCCCGTCATTCCCGGTTGTGTGATCAGTACGAGATATTGAGCAAGCGGTGCGGTGTAACCATAAGATACGCCTTTCCGGATGAAAAAAATACATAAAAAATTAAAATAAAAAAAAAGCTTGAGGACAAATTGTGTATACAACCCCGTTTTCGGCAGTAGTCCAAAAGGCTGAAGTATAGAACTTCAAGTCCCGGGACTCTCCACTAAACTTCGTGTGACGCCTAAGATTGTATCATGCGACGAACTCATTCATAAAAACAGTTACCTCAAGGTAGAGACCATTCAGGTTTCCTCAATAGCAGCAATGAGGCTGGATTAACATGGAAGGTAAATCGGAGGGAACTTTGCTCCATGACACTTTCAGCCTGTAAGTAGATTGTCCAAGAACCTTGATATGACCGTGAGGGGTATCTTTCTTGATCTATTGCACATATCTATACACGAGCCCATCTATTCTTACAAGGTCGACACGACATCCTCACAACGACCGCACAAGGCGTCCTCCTTCGGCGCGATGTACCGCCAGCAGCGAGAGCACTTGTGCCCCTTGGGGGCAGAACCGAGACAGTTCCCTTTGCGCCGTTGACTTCAAACACCTCATCGTAGCGCCACTCGCTCTCAGACGGAACGTCCGTGTTCGTCTCCACGGACGACACGACGAACATGGCCTCCAACTCGTCACCGTACTTGCTCAAAACGCCGGCAACCGCCTGGTCCTCGGTAGTCACGATGACCGACGACTGCAGCGAAGAGCCGAGGACCTTGGCCAAGCGGCCCTTTTCAAGAGCTGCCTTTACAGCGCTGGAAACAGACATGAGGACTGGAAGGTCTTTGCGGAGGGACGCCTCTCCGATGGTCGAAGGGGCTCGGTCGTGGGCTGGGGCGTCATGGGGGGTGTACAGAGGGTGAAGGAGAGATTTGTCAGCCTTCATGTACTCGGGACGATGGTCCCATGCTTCCTCAACCAGAAGAGGGGTCATGGGCGACAGCATCCGGAGGAAGCCCAAGAAGATGGGCTCCAAGACGCCGCCACCATCGCCACAATAGAGGCGATCTTTCATTGCCTCCAGATAAAAGGCCGACAAGTCGTTGGCAACCCAGCGGTTCAAGGCGTTGAAAGCCTTGTAAAACTCGTGTGCGGCGAATGCCTTGTTGACCTCCTCCGTGACGTCCTTGAGCTGGACGAGAGCGATGTGGTCAAGGGTTGTCGTCGGGGCGGTGCGGGCTGACTCGTGCATCGAGCCGGTCAGCATCTTGATGATGGTGCGGTACTTGACCATCATTGTATGAACGGACTTTAGGACTGTTTGGCCAATGGCAACGTCTTTGGTATATTCGGAGCTGGCTGCCCAAAGACGGAGCGCGTCTGGACCCAGAGCCTCATATGTGGGACCGGCACCGGCCACCTTGGCCTTGCCTCTGACCTTAATCGGTGGCAACAAGGTGCCATCCATGATCTGGGTAGGCGTGATGGTGTTTCCAATTGACTTTGACATCTTTTTGCCAGCTTGGTCCAAGGTGAAACCGTGGGTGATCAGTGTCTTGAACGGAGACTTGGGCTGCACCTGAGCTGCCCCGTCACTCTCAGCTCTTTGGGCGGCGACATACGACAAGAGACTAGACTGAAACCAGCCACGATGTTGGTCCGATCCTTCGAGGTAGACGTCGGCTGGGCCATTGCTTTCAGTCCAACTGCTGCCGCTGTCAAACCAGACATCCATGGTATCAGTGCCGCGGCGGTATTGCCCCTTGAGGGATGGAGCGACCCAGGCAGGTTCGTCAGGGGCATCAGAGAACCACGCATCGATGCCGCGCTGCTGGATGACGGAGATGATGTGATCAACGGATTCCTCCGTCACCACGGCGTCTCCATCAGCATTGTACAGAGCAGGAATAGGCACGCCCCAAGCACGCTGGCGCGAGATGCACCACTCGCTGCGGCCAACGACGAAGCTCTCGAGGCGATTGCGCCCAGAAGCCGGCACGAATTTGACCTCTTTCAGTGCGTTGATGGCATCGTCTTTGATGCTATCAACATCAGCAAACCATTGGGCCGTGGACCTCATGACAACGGGCTGCTTCGTCCGCCAATCGTAAGGGTACTTGTGCTTGTACTTTGCGGCGTTCAATACATCGTCTTCAATCAGAGCGAGAACAGCCTTGCTGCCACCCTTGAGAATGGAGGAAGCCTCGGTCAGCTTTTCGGGGGCATCAGGGAAAGCTTCCCGGGTGAAGTTTCCCTCATCATCTATGGGCGCGAAAGCGTCAATGCCGAGTTCTGCACACGCCTCGTAGTCCTCGAAACCATGACCGGGAGCGATATGAACGAGACCAGTTCCGGAAGCTGCAGACACGAAGTCCGCATGGATAACGGGCTGCGGGGCGGATTGTGCTCCCTGGAGTCTGTTGTGGTACTTCAGTCCCTTTAGTTCAGAGCCTTTGATGGATGCCACAACGACGCGGGGCTCCTCCTCCATGAAGAGGGCCTTTACTGCCTCCAATCGGCTGACCGCAGTGAGATAGGCGCTTCCGTTGACAGATATGATGGCGTAATCGAGATCCTCGTGGACAGCAATGGCCCTGTTCGCTGGGAGGGTCCAGGGGGTGGTGGTCCAGACAATGGCATAGAGCTGGCCGGAGAAATCGCCCAACGACGGACTGCCGATGATGGGATATCTCACATAGGCCGCCGTTGAAATATGGTTCTCATTGTACTCCAACTCCGCTTCCGCCAAGGCGGTTCTCGACGACGGCGACCAATATACGGGCTTGCTCTTGCGGTAAATGAGACCTCGCCGGACCATCTGCTGGAACAAACGCAACTGTCTGACCTCGAAGTCGGGATCCATGGTCGTCCATCGTGCATCCCAGTCGGCCATGACGCCATATGAACGGAAGCCGTCCATCTGCTCCAGCACGGTAGCGGATGCGAGCTGCCTAGCAGCCTTGCGAATCTCGGTAGCAGTCATGTCCTTGCCGCCGGAGGTGCCGACGGCCTTCATCTCGATGGGAAGACCATGGCAATCCCAGCCGGGCCTGTAACGTATACGGTAGCCTACAGGAACGGTGTCAGTCCGCTGATGGATACCAACGCAGCTGGGCGTCTCCAACCTTGTTGGACCTTCACCCGATTGATCATGTCCTTCAGGATCTTGTTCAATGCATGGCCAACGTGAAGGCCTCCGTTGGCGTACGGAGGGCCGTCATGCAGGGTGAACTCGGGCCTCTTGTCGTTGGACAGTTGCCATTTGTAAAAGTCGTCGGCTGATCGGCGCAAGTATTCGGCACGGAACTGTGAGAGCGGGCGTGGTCTGGGACAAGCCGGGTCACGGGTCAGCTGAGGCCGGGACGGAGGTCGGACGGCCGGACGGGGTCAGGGCTTACGGAAAGGTGGATTTGGGTAACCTCAGTGTCGATGCCCATGACTTCGACATGATCGCTTTGTAAGCATCACTGCGGAAGGAAAGGCGCGGGGAGGTGGTGTAAGCCGCAGTGCGCACTTGGTGTTTGGGGATGCTGAGCTCTCGACGGCTACAACTCAAAACGACACGATCGGAGGTGGGCAACGCGATCCCGACAAAATTTAAGTGGGGGGTCGTGTCTGTCAATTGAATTGCAGTGTGCCTGAGGTCGTGCGCCCGCTGTGAGTGCCTGCTACCTAGGTATGTAGGTTGTTGCAGCGTGCAGCGGCCCGCATGAGCAACCGCACGGGCAACCCCAAAAGGAGAGGAAGACCACCCAGTCACCACCTTAGGTATCAGCTGGCAAGGCGCCCAAAGTACACATCCCTACCCCAGCCGCAATTGCTTGCAGATGGGCCCGGAAAAGGTACATCGGCCTAGTGGGGCACTCTTACTCGACGTCACAACTTAAGCTTCACTCACTCAACTCACTCACTCACCTACCTACCCAACAACCACAACTTCCTTACAGATACATCATAACCTCTCATCCTCAACGTTGACTTCGACAATTCGCCTTCCTCGGTCCGAATCATCTCCAGAGGTCTTATTTCTCGACCATCACGTATGACTCGGCGACGTCACGTTAACCCTGCAACGTCTTGACAGAAACCTACCTGCTCACCGAGAGCCCTCCCAATAACCGCGTCTGATCTTGAAGCACACTCCACGCCTTACTGTAACCCGGATTCTAGGGAGCACCCCAACATGGCGCCTCTCCGTCGATATCTGAGGATCACCAAGTATTCCGTGCTCGAATGTCGCATATATCTCGACAACCCGGCTTTGGCACAGAGCTGGCTTCTAAATCCCCGGAATCCCATATTGCCCAAGGTCATTGAAAGTGTCCGTCCTCTGGTACTGCCAAAACTACGCGAGGAGCAGGAGAGGGAACGTACCAAAAAGAAGAGCTCCAAGAAGAAGAGTATCAAGGATGTCGTCGTTCAAGGTGAGTCATGTTATTTCGCATACTTACTCACTGTCACTACCGCATAACCCAACCCACCCTTCACTGTCGCAACCTGCCCGGTCTGGACTTCTTGTTGAACTGAATAGAGTTGGCTGATCACAACATGAACTAGACGAGTTTGAGGTGTCAATGTTCCTGACCGAGACGAGTACACGCCACTCACTGCTCACTAAGCACAAGCATTTCCGCGACAAAGCGACCAGCAAGTTGCAGTCCAACTCTAATAAGCTGATCAGTGAAACGAATGATGCGCCCATCGACCTGGACATAGAAGCCGGAGGCTCCGGTGCGACGGCGCATATTCGGGAGGAGAGTGAATCTGAAGAAGACTCCGGCGGGCTATCCCGGATCCCCGCCGTCGATGAAACAAGTCGGCCTCGGCGGTCAAAGAGGCAACGCGGGGAACCTCGCGAGACTGACGCTGATTACGAAATGCCTTTGGATGATGACGCCGCTGCCGAGGCCTCGGCAATCGAGATAGATTCCGAGGACGATGTTTTCCCGCCCTCTAAGCGCATCAAGAAGCAGGGGACCGGGTCTGACGTCGAGCAAGACGACGATGACAAGAAGAAGATGGCCATGGACGTTTCATACGAAGGTTTTGCCATCTATGGTCGTGTACTCTGCCTCGTCGTCAAGAAACGCCAAGGGCTAAGATTGGCAGCTACGATCGGATCTGGAAACGCCAAGCAACCTGCTGGCCAAGCCAGCATGGAGAACTGGATCAGCTCTACCCAGATGCCTAACCCTGGCGCCGAGGAGGACGCAGCTTGAGGCGCAAGTGAGCAGTGGCCAAAGCAAGGAAGTTGAAGCTATACCAGGCAAATCACATGGCGGGGCTTATGCTTCTCACCGGCATGGTTACGCGGTGGCATGATGACAGGTCACATCAGATCGAACTTTGACACCTCTGTTATTTGTTGGGATGCATCGCATATACTGGGCTATCGAGGACCGGACATGGAGCTATTCTCCGCCTATTGTTTCGTGTGCCTCAACTAGCCAAGTCTTCCTAATAGACGTGCCACGATCGCGAGACGTCCTCCCTATCACAGATCGAGATCTGGGGAGTGCAGCAAGAATACGCGGCTGTTTCGTGAAGACCCCGCTAGTTGCCCTTGAAGAAAACCAAATGGTTCAAGAATCAAGGCCAAGACACGTGCTTCCGAGCTCGAAAACAGGCCGGGCCATGGATGGTGCTGGGGAATGGCATGATCAACCTGAACTTTATCATCGGACTGTCGCTGACACCGCCCGCGCCGCCTCGTAGGGATGCTCCGGGATCCTGAACCGGGGGGGGGGGGGGGGGGCATGGCTCACTTGTAATCGCCGTTCAGTCTACCGGGAGTGTCCCGGGTTCCCAGTGCTCTACCGCGGCATGGTGCCGTAGTGTCGACCTAAAGAGCCATGGGCAGTAGTTGTTGACAACGCACGGTCAACTATACTCGACTAGACCGGCGACAACTGAAACTAGCCCACTGGAACCCAATATGGTTCGCAGACGTTGGCCTGGCCTTGAGGCTTGTTGCTTATGCTGGGGTGCTTACGATGTCACGACTCAGACTAGATTTCCCCGCCAAGTCAAAGTTAGCTTTACGAAGCTCCCAAACCACTGGAATTACCAACATCAGTTGGCGTCTGCGCCAATTTTGAACTTTCGCCTCCATAAACCCCTCTTCTTGACTGTCGCACATTTCCCTTGGCGCCACCGACCGGCTTATTATATCTGCCTCACCGTTACGACATCGACGATGAGGGCGTTCAGGTGAGCACGAGATCGTAGATACAACGTCGGCATCGAGCGCATCGTGTCGCAGTCGCCACCATGCTCAGGTCTTTGAGCTGTTGTTGTCATCAACTGTTGACCGAGGTTACCGGACGGGGGACAACCATGGACATGGTAGCTTTTGACTACATGACACATGCCATTAAACGCGGGTCGGCCGTCTCAAAAGTAACCTTTTGGCAGGCTACTGTGACAGACGCGTCGCTCTGAGCGGTCTACCAAGAGCCTGGGCGTGGGATATGTTCAAGTGGGATGCTTAGGCAAGGATGTTATTTGCCTCCAATTCCTGGACGGAAACATTGATGCCAACCCTGCCAAACACGCGATGGAAGGCTGGTCTCACGTACAATAACTTGGACTTGTAAAGATACATTTCGACAAAGTACTAGAACCCGCTTGCTTGAGAACGTTTACCAAGCTCCACAGCGACACCGAAGACCGTCGGCGAGCTGGTTGACGGAAATGCTGCACACCATCAACTCTGCGGGTCTAGTGGCTTAGGAGTCATGATAACGACAGTCTAACCAGAGTTGATTCGGCCGATCACAACTCACGGGCTGACTTCGTTGACAGGCCGAAGCACGCTAGTTTCCCGTCCGAGCCGCCCAGCACAGACTCGTAGTCGGACGATTTACTAAGTGCCTCTGACGACACGATTGCGGTGGTCGGATGACATTACGGCTATGACTCTGCCTCTGGAATCCGGGTTGTCGGACAATATGCTTGCCAACCCCTACCGGGACGGAAGTACAGCCGTGGATGGTACGGCATCTCACGCTGACCAACATTATAGGTTGTTCGATAACAGTAGAGCGAGCCTAGAGCTTCGTCAAGCGTGGGCCGGTGATAACGTGGGTTGTCTTTCCCCGCTACCCCGCCGCCGAGGTGCCAGTTTAGAATTGATTGAACTATTGGCGTCAGCAAGGCAAAGCAAATCCTCCGTCAGAATGCGACCCCAGGCTCCAGTCCACATGACCGCCCGCTATCCTGGGCTGCGCGTCTGAAGAGGGTGTGAACGATCGTGTGCAAGCAGTGATAGCACGACATGCATTCTATCGAGCCATTGGCGCACCAGAGCCCGACATGCCCGAAACCGAGGGTCCCATGGCGTACGATTTAGGCTCTTCTCAAAGAGTCAAGATGCAGTGCCTGTCTGTACTAGTCGACCAACCGTTTGAACCCCCACCCAGCCGGGTTGTGCTCGCCTCCCGCACGCACGAACAGGGCAGCACAAGCCTGTCGACAGCCAATGACCGGATGAAACCGTTGTGAATGTCCGTAAAGAGCCACCGTTTTGACGGGACGTGCGGACACTTGATGCAGACCATTTCCTTGGGGTTCTCGTCTCAGATGTTCCTTGACAGCCGGGATTAAGACAATGAGCAACCTTCTCAACGTTTTGCCTAAAATGGAAGCGTCGGACAGAGGCTTTCCCCCCGGGAATGCCTTTCTCTTCGGTATGCGCGGCCGGCGGACTTTGTGACGGCGGGACGCGGAGGTGGGCCCACCACGAGCGGCGACCACGGCAGCCACGTATGAGGTAGAGGGGGGCGACGGTGTCCTCATTACGGAGAAATTAGGTGGCAACTCTATCGGGGGAAGGCCGCATCAGAACTCCAGGTACGCCGAGCCCCCATACGTCCTCTGCGTTGTGTCCGTTGTCGCGGTCAGCGAGGAAATTGAAATAGCATCAAGGGGCCGAGTACAGTGTCTCGGGAAGCGAACACGACTAACGCGAAATGGGACGGAAATCCAAACGGTATAACAACAACACATTGGCCCTCGCCACTCTCAGTACCTGCAGTAGTGACTGCTGATCTCTGAAGCAGAAAGCTGTCCTAACGGTACCAAGCTCAGCTGATCAGCAACTATCTGCGCTAGGCAACGTAGACATCAGGCTTCGGCCACGCATCTGTCTTACTCGTTGCTACCGTGAACAGAAAGCAGTGTGTAACCTAGGTATTGAGCAACGTTGCCGCCCATCAGGTTTCTCTCTGTCCTTTGGGGGTCCGGGCGTGGCAATCACTCGATAAACCCCTGTTGGAAGTGGTGGTGTGATCGTCAGGGGTGGTCGATGCTCTTCAGCCGCCCCTTGCAAGACACCACGTGGAAATACGGCGGCTGACCAACCCAGTGGACGCGGGTTTCTGAGCTCGGACGTGGGGCGCAGGCGTGTTGGATGTTGTGCTCTCACTCACTTGCACTTTGTCATCTCTTGGGGGAGGGGGCTTGCGTCGCATTCGTTGCATTCGTGTCACTGCGGAGCGAGGAAGGGAGCATGTTTCAGATGCCGTTCTTTTTATTGGCTACACAACGAGTGTCTCTCGAGAGACGGACGATGCCGAGCCTGCCGAGGCTGACTTGGCCAATCTACCAACCAGTGAGTGAGCGAGTGAGTGACCTTTGTTCGGCCGGCGAAGAAGACAAGCGGCGATAATGGCAGAGACACGTCAACGAACGTCAACGAAACAATCGCAGGGTGCGAGCGCACCGGGGGCCGAACGGGCACTCGGCCAAGTCGAGCCGCGCAGTTTGTATGAGCTGAGGACCCCGTGAGATGCGTACCACGGTCACGCAGTCGATGAAGTAGGCTGCCGCGACTTCCCTTCCGCCGTGCGATGCAAGAGCAGGTTAGGCAAATCCGTAGCACTCCGGGATTCTTATCGGTGGCCTCACCCGAGCGACGATTCCGCCATTGTGAAAAGCCGCAACAAGAGGAGGAGGAGGCTGTTACGAGCGCGCCAGCCGCACGCAGCATGACCTATGACGGAACACCTGCATGCGCCGTGCAACGAGGCTGCCCTACCTCGCTTGCGCCCAAATATTGATGCAACATATCCTTTGCGGTAATTGCCCGACGGGACTTCCTGCAGATTGAGACGAGGGTACCACGGCGTACACTTTAAAAACGCCATGTGTAGCACGTAAGCCTAACCGAAGCTGCTGGGACCTGCAGGAAATGGCGTGGGCAAGGCGTTTTCCCTTTTTGGATCATGCGTTCGGCGGGGAGCGCCGCAACCACGGCCACATCTCCAAGCTCCCCTCTGCCCAGCTGAAGCAGATCAGGATGGCACGGGGATCCGAGATGGGTTCGTCGTTCTCCTGGGCCTGCTATAGGGCTGCTGTACGGGCAAGGGTTGTTGCGTTCGTTTTCGTGTGCCCAGGCCGATAAAGACATCAGCTGCATCAAGCGCGGTAGCCACTCGAACCATTTGTGTCGTGCCTCTCTTGATACTCGTCGCCTGAACAGCCCTTGTCGCAGGTTCGTCCTGACTGCGATACGAGAAGTTAGGTATCTTGCACCGGATGCACTGAAGTGCGAATCATCGGTTGAACCGTCTCGGACGTGAGCGTCGTCGTCATTCGAGAAGGACAATCTCGATCGTCAGCTCCTCTGCTACCAGAAAATCGACAGTCAATCAAAGGCATATTCCGAGGCGTTGAGACATGCCAATGTTTTGTCTGCGCAGCAGCCATATTGGGGGCCGTCTTTATTTTGCCCCGTCGTTTGTTCATCAATGCCTACACCACGAACCACTGGGCTCCAACCAGGGCAATACAGAGTACCATTTCCCAGATTGTCAATCGGCGTCCCGTCCACGTTTGGGCACCGTCTGGGATTGAATACGGTACGAGGCCCAGGGAAATCTGGGGAAGCTCGATCTTTGACACGCCTGGCTGGCATGCTGGGTCGTAGTGTAAGGGGGGATTTGCACCTGGTCCAGCATCTCAAACAAACCGCGATTCCGTATCCCGGTTCGGCCTGCAGGACGACCTAGCGGTGTGCACGGCTGGGCGAATGGGGAGGCGGATCGTGATCATGTTCACAAGACGTCACCTTGGCACCCAGAAGGGAAGCCGAGCTACGCGTTTCCCGACGGCGCCCTCTCACTACGAGCGGAAGGGTTGGACGGCGTCGAAACCAAGGAAGCCAACCGAAAAGCCGAGCAAAACAAGTGCGCCGCGTGAAAACAGGGTTTGTGATGGAATCATCCATCAGATGATGGGGCTTTCTGGCAGATGTGCGACACCCCTCTCCGAACTCTCAGAACCAACACCCAGCCCTTTTGTTTTCCAACAGCTTTTTCCTTGGTTAGTCATCGGCAGGGGACAAGGATGCGAAACAGGGATGTTCTCCAAGGCAACAGCTTTTCCTGGGATTGCGCCAATCTCACCAGCCCGCCCGAGGGGCCATTCGGGGACACGGAGAGATTGTGACAGGACTCTGAGGCTCGAATGACAGGCTCACGACGTCGAGCAGATGTCACACAGTTCCATCCGTCGTGAGGGGGAAAAAAGCAAAGTGCCAAACTTAGCTCCGATGCTACGATGCCGTGGATGCCGAGGGTTCGGCCGAACTGGCGGAGAGCTCTTTGAACCTACAACCGAGTCAGGCGCCGTTTCCCGTGTCGCCAGCCAAGGTGACAAGAGGAAGCAAAAAACTCTCATGGGCGCTAGAGGGCGCGAGACAGGAGACGCGGACCGGTTTTTTCTTTTCTTCTGTAAGTCCGTTGATGTCGATGATCGCGGATTATCGCCGGGATCGAGGGGTAGCTATAGCAAGGCGTCTGAAACACGGGGCCTTTGTTCCTGGCTCTGTCTCTGGTTCCTGAACGAGGCTCGACAAACTGGGCAAATTCATTGCCCGGCTAGCGAATGCGTGCATTCTAGCCTCGTCCGGCTCGCGCTCCCTCTATCGTGTCGGTATATGGGAGTTAGAGAGCATTTGCAGAATGAGAAGGGAGCCAAGATGGTCAAGATATTGCAGCCACGCCCCCTCGTTTCACACACGGCAGGCGTATCATGAAGCAACACCAGCTTCACCGCGACACGGGAAGCTGCAGGAAGAATTTCCAACTTTTTTTGGTCCATGGTACCGGCCCATTGGATCTGTCACGGGACGCGTTGGATGCGACGCTGCATCTGCAGAAGGAAGCGTGGCACACGGCCGCCGCCCCCCCAAGAGCGTCCTACCTACTTCATCCTGGATCCAAGGCTCGTTTGGCACCCAAATTCTGTTTACGAGACAATGAAACTCTGACCGGGTTCCGGCACTCGGTGTACGGTGGTTGCCCGTCCGGGGGGCCCCACAGGCCTGCTGACAAAAGCGATCGACGCTGCGTCGTGGGGCCGGATGACGATGCTGTTGCATACCTTTGACCTACATACCGGTAGTACTACAAAACCTTTTCGTAGGAGATTGGTCCTCTGCCGTGGACGAAGGCCGAACGTATGGGGGGGAGACCCGCTTTCTGCAGGTGCTCAACAAGCGTTTGTGATCCGGACCCGGCTTGCTGGTTGGTAACAGACTGCTGGGTCCGGAGGGCAGATTGTGAGCGGATCCCATTCTGATGGGAGGGAACTTTGGATGGGGGCAAATGTTGAGATTCTGCCTTGGAACTTTGCCAGACTTTTCTCCTGGCCCTGTAAAAGCCTATTTCCAAAGCGGGATTCATCATGGCCCAGCGAGTCACGTTGGCGTTTTGGTGGTTCCCGGACAAAATTGGACAAAATTGGACGGGCTCTCGACAGGGACAGGGCAGGCGGACTCAGGAACAGCAACGGCGTCTGAAGGGGCCAACGCGACCTCGAAGACGGAGAGAATCGAGGGTTAGCTCCAATGAGGTTGCAAAGCAGAAACGGAGACGCGCGTGGCCCTGGGGTGGCGAAGCCAGCCCTCTACCCATTCTTTCTGTTGCTGCACCGAACATGCCGAAGGTGACTCTGTACCGGGTGACGGAGCAAGAATCGGCAGACACGCACCGCGCGCACGCCCTCTGCACCGAAAATACCTGGCGTCGTCGAGGAACGCGATGTGACAAGAGTGTCAGTGTTGCGCGTCAGAGGTTCTCCCTCAGCGTGTCCAAGCCACACACATATACACACACATGTTCCGTGCTATTTCTGTAGCGCCGCCGAAGCCTGGAAGCCGTGTGGACGCGTCTCGAAAGAAGGGGGAGGAAGCCGGCCAATGGCGATCCGCGGGTGCCTCGACCCGGCGGACCATTTGAGAAGATTCGGGCAAAGACATCAGACGAAAAGAGGGAAAGGGGAAAAGGGGGCCGCGCCGTCGTGCAACGGACAAAACGAAACAAAACGCCGCAGCGTCGAGGCCAACAGCAGCGACGAATCAGTGACGCGGGCAAGGACGCGACTGGAGGGAAAAAGGCCAAGACAAGCCAAACCGCCAAGGGCACGCAGATGCAGAGCTGCTCAAGACACGAGGCACGAAACAAAAGCTGGACGGGACCTAGGAGCCGCGGCAGCTCCTCTGTGTGGGTTTGGACGGCGTTGTTCCCCGGCGCCGCGGTACGCTTGTGTCAAGAGGGCAAATTGAAGAACCTTTTTTTATTTTTATTTTACGAGGCGCCCTTTCTTGGCGCGTCGCGGCGTCATGGATATCCGGTGCCTCTGCTCGTCGATATCGTCGATGTGTACGTGCGTGCCTGTCCATCACGATACGAGAAGTCGACGCCGCGGGTCACTCGACGACGGCACTTGCCCCTTTCCGGTGGCGAATAGTCTTCTCTTGTTAAAGAGAAATAAGTTTTCCACTGGCATTGGGTTCCCGCTCAGCCACGAAAGGAGACGACTGAGCGCTAAGGGGCGGGCTTCAACACGACGCTGCTTGCTGCGCCTGAGGGGAGAGGGGGAAATTAGGACCGAATGTCACTGGACCCTGACGCTAACACGCGCCTTCGTATGCCAAAGGCGCGGTATGACGATGTGGGCGGGCTCTTTTTTTGGGTTGACAGCTTCTCAGGGGCCGAACGGCACACGAGCGAATCTAGCGAAGCTTAATTGGGGATCGCGACCAACGGTGAGGTCGCCGTGTCATGGGTTCGCGTTGGCCTTCTAGAAGTCGGTGAAGGTGCGCGCACCTTGTATCAAACGGAGGAGGGGGGGGGGGGCCATCTCATTACGCCGCCTTGCTTTTCTCTCACCGCTTGCCGTCCATCCGCTCGCCTCAGACCCAGAGGCTGGAGGCTGGTGCCAAGCTTTGGGGGGAGATCTCTCTCTCTCTCTTTCTTTCTCGCCCCCTTCCAAGGTTCTTCTGGCCGTTGATTGGCGATACCGTGTACGTGGGAACCCAGACGGCGGCGCCGAAATGAGCAGGAACGCCTCTGCGTCTGCGACGACAAGGGCAGATGAACGGTCTGGGAGCGGAGGCACTGCAGGGCATCAGATCGTAGCGCTACGGGGGCGGGCTGGCTGACCCAACAGAATGGGATGGGATGCTAAGGCTAACACGAAGCGAATGGTGGTGCTTCTTTTTCCAGACCGCACTCCCATTCCCCCAACACGACGACCGGGAGGGGAGGGGGGTTGATGGATGAGGCTCTTGCGTATGGGGCATTACCGCCAGTCTTTTATCGATGGAGACAACCCGCGGTGAGGAAATTCTCTCTCTCTCTCTCTCTCTCGTGCGCGGGGCGGGTCGACTGCACGGTTCAGCGTGCGGAATGAGAAATTTCCCGACTGAATGGTTTCGGTCTGATCTTCGCCTCATGTCATCTCGCGCTGACCGAGCGCAAAGGGGGGGGGATGGGAGCCGTTCTCTGGTTTTCTGCCCTTGCGGCTCGTGAGGCCCGACAGCGATACCCCAGCCTCGCGCGCACCCCATACCATGATACACCGTGTGGCGCGAGCCCACAACGCCGTTTAAACGAAGGAATTCAAGGGGAAGAACTGGGTCACCTTCGGTATGCTTCCATTGCCGGGGGGGCTCCGCTCTTTCTAGACGTTTTCTCTCCGAGGTGCTTGCTTCACGGCATTGAATACTTCGTAATAGTACCTATGGGGATATTCTCGTCGACTCCATCCTCCGCGCTTGGACTGGGGGGAGGGGAGGGGCGGGCTCCAAAGATGAGAGCAGACATGTGTCAAGTGTCGGGTTTCCAATTTTGTGACAATGTCGCCTGATGGTCCTCGTGGGGACACCTCGCTACACGACACCGGCGCACGAGTTTGGATGAGGGACCCTCTCTCTCTGTCTGTCTTTCTGTCTTCCACACAGTCTCACCGAAAGGGCGGATTTCGGATTACGGGCCTCTCGTGTGTTCGCGACGTTGACATGATGCAAACATACATACCATGTAGCATGTAGCGTCTCTAGAGCCGCCCCCTCCGCCTGCGGCCTGCTGCCCAGCTGCGCGAGCTAAGAATGTAGGCGTACCCGACTGAAGAAAAATCCAGGGCTCCGTCCGGGGGGGGGGGGGACGAACATGCGGTGCGCGACTTGCACAATGGGGCGGCGGGCGCGTCTCACAAACAACCTCAGCCTTGGGGGCCGGGTTGGGCATTGGTTCACCACATGAAGACTTTTGTTGTCTCTGGAGAAAATTGGAAGGGAAAAAAAGCCCGAAGAGTGGGACACACAAAACAGCACCGGGCTCCCGGGGGTTTGCCATTGGGTCTGTGGCCCGGTCGCGAGGGGGGATGGGAAACGGGAATCTGTATTGTACACTACCTGTAGACCGCCAGCTCATTGTGAGTCACACTCATCACAAAAGAGGCCCCATCCAACGGCAGCAGAGTTGCCAGGCTTGGCCGTGGGACAAGCAAGCAAGGCCGGGTTTGCGACCTGACCGCCTTTGTGAACGTTTCCCGGCCCTGTTGCTTGTCGGGGTGGAGGGGAACGGAGGGGCAGAGGGGACTTTCGGTGTGCTCGGCACCGGATCCCAGACGACAACGACGAGGAGGCCCCGTCCTCGTTCGGTTCGTCAGCGACCGCGGAAAGCCAGGACTTTGTTCTAGCGTACACAACTTTTTTTTCTTTCTTGCTCGTTCGATGGAGCACCTCATTTTCATCTTGGTTTTTTCCGCCGCTTTCATTTGCCCGTGGTTTAAGGCGGCGACGGAGCGGGCCCGGGTGTGTGTGGGCTTTTTTTTTCCTTCGGTGCATGTGGATGTGGATTGTTTGGCCATCAAAAATGGCAATCAACGTGGCCGCGGGCAAAATCCTTGGCGGCGGACGACGCTTGCGAGTCGTCATCGCCATGTTGGGAACGTTTTTTGCAAAAGGGTTCCCGCCGGAATGCGTCGGCCGTGACTGGCTCGGTGTACAGGCTGGGCGTGCGCGCCTCGTTCCACTTGGCCGCAACCATGAACGGCCCCATCCATCATGGCAGCCCGCCGGCCCCAAGTTGGAGGATAAGGCTGCATGGGAGAGGATCTCCATGCAGCGCTCCCATGTGTCATCACAGACTCTCTCTCGTTGGAGAGAGGGAGGGAGGAGTGGTGACGGCGGTTGGTTGGATGACACCGGGCCAATCAGTGCGCCGCCTGACGTGCTCTAGCGGCCCCCTCATTCCTCGCATCATGGGAAAACGGTGTCGCGGGCAGAATGGAGGAGGGGGGGAGGAACCTCGAGAACTTGTACATTTCCGCGTGGCCGTGTGTGTCTGTATGCACCCGCGGACGGATTGGTCCGCCGTAATCGCGGGAGTGCCTGGTAGGAATGGACGTTTTGTCTCGCCCGCACACCACCACGGTGGAAACGTTGTTATCATTCATCAACCGGGAACCTGACCTGCTGCACTGGGTACTGGCTTGTCCCGCTCCGCACCTCCATCTCGCCGTCTTCGTCGTCGTCGTCGAGCGTTGGCGTCAGCAATCTGCTGCGCTGTTGCTGACGGTGGCGGTGACACAGCATATCGCCAGGCAGCATCAGCAGCAGCAGCAGCAGTGGCCATGAATAGGAACTTTTAGATTCGGAACCATGGTAGCATGTGGTGGTGGTGGAGGGTGTGTCAGCCCGCAGGTTGCACACACGAGGATGGACTGATATCCGGGTTGGGCAAGGGATCGGCTACACATAAGCTTCTGACTGTAACTCAAGCCCCTCCCCAAGCCTCCGTGCTTCGCCCGCCCAAGACACACGGCGGGGCGGTCCCGGAGGCATGGGACGGGCAGAACAGAACAGAGCGCCATTGTTCTCGTATCCGGCCGCGTTCGCGGTTCGCACGGGGCGTGGTTGGACCGATGTTGGGTGTGTGTGTGTGTGGGAAGAAATGCCCCCTCGATAAAAAAATTACACCTTACCGGATGGGCAACGATCATCAACAAACGCAGGCTACGGCCAGCCGTCTGGCGTTGCGTCGTCCTCCACCATCACCACCCACTACGGGCATGAACGCTGGGGAGTTCCGGGGGCGGTCGTTATCGACGATGGCGAAAGAGACTTCACTTGGTGTCCTCCCTTGGTGTGGTGGATTTGCATGTCTCGTCATTGATGACAGGTCGGTGACATGAAAAAGCCACCCAGAGAGTCTCACTACGTCGCCGACCTAGGCCCCAGATGGAACGTCGTTGCCAGGCGTTGTCCAATGGGTGGTTGTTCCGCGATGGTGCGGACCGACATTCGTGACCAAGGGCGCATGTGTCGGCTCGTTTTGGGCTCGCCGTAGCGTCAAAGTCAGATTGGCAGACGCACGCCAGGTTTCTTCGGCCTTGTGTGCTTGTGTTCAAGAGTGTGCAAAGATACCAATGGCTGCTCAATACCACATGAGGCCAAGACGGATTGGTGTCTTGTTACACTGTCAACCCAGCAGGTGTTGTTGCCCAGCTAGTCTCACGGCAATCTCCATCGCAGCAGACGGCTCAGTCAGCCACCGTCCCAACAGTCGGGGAAGAGGGGCGAGTCTTTGTCGTGGCCCGCTTGGTTTTGGGTGTGGCTTCGTCCTGGACGGGTCGGAGCTTGCACGCATCGAGAAACTGTCGCGAGGGCGCTGCCTCCCCCAAGTCAGCCATAACCATTCCGCTGGCTCTATAGTAGATGCTATTCCCTCCCCAGAAGCACGTTCCTTTCCCAATACCGTTGTACGACCCACTGGCCTGGGGGGGAGGCTTTTGAACGGTGTCGCGCTGGCCTCTCGTTACCGCAAGCCTCTGATCATCACACGATGGGCAGCCGCGGATCCGTAGATCTGGTAAGGGGGCTTGCGTTAGAGAAGAGCCAGAGGAGAAGCCATCGACCTCGGGGGGAAAGGATTGCCAGCCTATGGTGGCATGTTTGCTGACCGAGGCGTGGTGTTTTTGGAGCTTGCAGCAAGCCTTTACGGATCCCTGGGCGTGTTGATTAGCTGCCAGCTGCTCCGCCACCGAGGAAGAGCTGTTGAATGCTGCTGGTGGTAGTGGTGCTGCTGGGTTAATTACACTACAGTACGAACGAGTCCAGGAGACATGCGGCGACGGTAGGGAAATGACGGTGTTACGGTACCCGAGTGCGTCTCTCCGCTTTGGGGGCCCGTGTAAGAGGTGAGTCTTACGCTCCAGGGATTACGGTCGCAGGGGTCCGGGAGCTATTAGATCCCGTCAGCAGTCATCAGCGTAAGCATCGGTACCGGCGCCTGGCAGCTTCGGTCCTTATCCAGGTGGCCGGATACGGGCGACGGGATGTGGTGAGAAACAACGTGGGCGAGCGACGTACGCCAACATGGCAACGAGAGATGCTTCCCCCCCCCCCTTCTGATGCTGCTGCCAGGCTGCGACGAAGTGATTACGGCCCGCCATGGGTTGGAAAGAGTCACAGATGGGGGCGTGTGATCATCATCCCGCCCCGTGCTTGCTGCGCTGATGCGAGCGAGCCTGCAGGTTTCCCTGGTTGGGGGGCATGCGGTCCCCCAGAAAAGCACTTGTGTTTCTTCTTCCTGACGCCTGGATAGTGAGACAGATAGGTGGTGTACAGATAATCGATGTGTGCTTTCTACTTCTACCCATGGGTAGGGTACAGTAGTAGGGCCAGCTGACCTCGACTTGCATGCCTGGGCGGACGGGGGGCTTGAACGCGCGGTGCGCGCGCACATTGGCAAGGGTCGGAATTGGATTTATGGCCCTTGAGGCCCCTAGGGAGCCATCTTGAGGTGGTGATGATGTGCACATTACGGTGAGGACTCGGGTCGGTGTGGAGAGGGGGGGGAGGGGGCCTAGGTACACTAGTCCCTAGGCTTGATGATTCTTGATCTGACTTGACTGCCTTGGTCTCGCTACCAGCCATTGAGGGGAGTGAACCCCTGATACGGTGGCATCGAAACGGTGGGTTGACGAGAAGGGGGAGGGGGGGAGGCGCCTGTACTGCGCCGCGGCTTTGGAAAGGGCTGAATAGCGAGATTGGCATCGCCGGTATTTCGCGCCAATAGATCGGGTTTCGTCCCAGACATGCAGTATCGATCCAAGCGGACCCAAAAAGGAAGCACCGACAGACAAGAATAGCGTCAAGATTGCGACCCCGGCATTCAGCTCCCTTCCCGTCCATGGTGATGATGCTGATGTTCGGAGAGGCTGCGCGGAAAGGGTAACAAGAACGCGCGAGAGAAACAAAAAAAGCAATGGGAGAGCTGAAGCTGAGTGGCTGGACAGCTCACCGGTCCAGAATAAGATGCAGAGACAGTGATCACCGGTGAAGACAAGACCATAGAAACAGAGACCCCTGTCTGGCTGGCAATGGGTTGGCAATGGTTCCAGGCCCAGTGTCTGGGAGCGGGAGCGCAGAGTACCGAGAATGGGAGGCTGAAGACAAGGCCGTTATTGTCCAATTGTCTATAGACAACGACAACCCAACGCCGCGCGCCTCCGTTTGGGGACTCTAGCGACGTTACACACGGCTCTTGTTGATGGCGTTTCGACCCAGCAGGCTGGAATTCTGGCATTTCCTTTTCTTCGTGCCATTCTTTTCTTATCAGCAGGGACAGCCATCACCAAAACGCTGACGACAACGACTTGGAGTTTCTAGTCTATGAGACCCCCTAGTCATTTGCTTTTTGCAACGTCTATGCTAACCCCCGTTTCTTTTCCCGCTGTCCGGCGTTCTGGTTCTTGTTGATTGTTAACATGCAGTAGTGCGACCCGAACTCTCTCTCTATTGTCACCTTTTTTCCTTTTCTTCTTCCAGGGTCCAGGGCTGAACGGAGGCCGGGCGCAAGGGACAGTTTCTGAAGATGGTAATCTCCGTCGATTACTAACCTCCTGGCGCGCCGGACTGTAGTGTAGTGCAGTGTACGAGACGGAGTCAGGAGAAAAGCATCAAGGCCGGTTCACGGGTCATGTCACGCACGGCAGCATGGTTCGGCCGCGCGAACCAAGCTTTTTCAAATAGAGTGCGAATTCCGTCGACAAAAAGGCTATGCGCGGCGTGGGTTGCAGTGTAGCAGGAGCGGTGAGGCAGAAAACTATCGTCGTCGCACCGCAGAGGGAACGGTGACCTTGGCTTTGGGTTGGGTTCGCAGGGATAACCTCTTCGGGGAATCGCACAACTACGGGTACGCGGCGCGTCCAAGTCTTTAGGGTTTGTCGACGATATATCCGTAGACGGAGTTGGGGGACCGAAGGCCCGCGACTGTGGATGGATGACCCCAGATGGCATTTTGGAGCGAAGCACGAAGGGAGGAAAAAAAAAAGTGTCCGAGAGCACAGAGGCCGGGATCTATCTCATGAGAGGCCATGACATTTTAGGGGTCCGCTCGCCATTCCCGCCGTCTCGGTGACTTTGTTGACGGAACGGTGTGACAAGGCTGAAGGTGAGATTAAGCATACGGGCGGTCGGGTCGTTAGTCATGACATAGAGTTTTTGCTCGCAAATTGGCAAGAGATACACACTATATGCCGGTCCCGGCCGTGCAATCAGGGAAAGGGAAGGAAAAAAAAGTTTGCACATGTATTCTGACATAATTAGTGAAGTCGCACTCGGCATCGTGACCGCCAGAGCTCTGGGGTCCGTAAAAGTTTTCCGTGGTCCAAGCCAATCAGCCAAACCCCTGACTAGCCGGGGCTGGCTGGGATGGCTGGCAAAAGGGAGACGGTTTCGACCAGGCTGGCTGAGAGATGGAGAAGTGTGGGAAATTGGGAAATTGGCATATGGAGACTGTGGAATCTAAAGAGGCAGTCCAAGTTTTTCCACAATCGTTCCATGAGAGCTTCCATGCATGAAGCCGACCGGGGGTTGGGAGTCCTTGGGGGGCCCCGTTCCACGATGTTGAGCGACAGATGCAATTTCTCCATGCCCAACGAGCGACGAAGCGGGTCGTCGCAACAGGCGAGCGACTTCGGCTCGCTCGCTTCACCGTCGCCCCATTCTGGCGGCGACAAGGGCAGCAACAACAACAACCACAACAACACAGACTACATAGTAGAAGGAGTGAGAGTGAGCCCTCGCTTCCCCTTGACCCGTGGCCCATGCATGCCCTGTCAGTCGTGCTGCAAGATGGCCGATTTCGAATGGAGTCCCCGCTGGCTGAACCCCTTGAAGCGCTGATGAGAGTGATGACAGATGGGTTTCTAATTTGATGATGATCTGTCGACTCCGGATGTCCACCCTCCCCCTGCCCTGTCGGGCTGTCAGCTGTCCTTCTTCGGATTTCCGTGATCACGGCTAAAACGAGGTAGACAGCTCCAGGCAGCGCTATTATCCGATGAGGTAAGGTAAGCTCTTCCAAGGGGGGCAGTGTGCGATAGTACTGCCGCAAGATCAGGCATTCGCGCATGGTGTACTACGTAGGTACGATGTATGCTGCGGTGGGTTTGGATGCGACAGCGACAGCGAGGCTAGATGCGGCTGCAGCAACGCGCAAAGAAGAAAGCCCCTGAAGAATCTTATTTTCGGGCTGTGTCCAAGGCAGACGTCGACGGAGTTGCTGGTCCCCGCCATATGCAGTAAGTAAGCAAGCAAGCAAGCACATGCGCGCCGACGTTGCTTGTTTGGTTGCTTACTTACTTGCCTGCCTGTACTGCGGCGCGCATGCAATGTTGGTCTTTTTTTGTTCTCAGCTTCGACGACGCAAAATGCGCAGCAGTTGCAGGTTAGCGCGTACGTCATGCCGAGCGAGAAAGCCCGATGGACGACGTATGCGATTGTTTGGTGAGAGTCAAAAAATCGCCGCGCAGAAAGGGACGAGAAAGAGCCGTGGGATCTACGGACGTAATCGGAGGTAAAACGGGCAGGCTAAGTCCCTCGGCGGCTCGTTGGACGGCTTCGCCATATGTTTGTCCGCGAAGGGAGGGTTCAAAGAGACGGAAAGTTTCCATGTCAGTTTGATACAGGACAAAGAGCCGCTTTGGAGACACAGGGGGACTTGAGACGAGCACTGCGTAGGAGAACAAGGGAACAGGGTTCACTCTCGGTGACTACACCGGAGGAACGAGCCTCGAAGAGAAAAGTAGAAGGGGAAAAAATAGGAAAAGGAAAGGAAAAAAAGAGGCTCTCGTTGTCGTCAACTCAAAATTGCGCAAGTCGCAACTTTATTGTGTGCCTGTAACCGGTTGATTAGGTGTCGTCTGAAGAGTGGGAGAGGCAGCGAAGGAGCTTCGGGGGATTTTCCACAGTATTCTGTGCGCCGCATGTGTGCGACGACCGACTTACGTGTTGCGATGTGTGGTTGTCACTGGTATACTTCGTACATCGTACTACAATAGAGTGCGCATGCCTGAGCGGTGAGCGTTGCAATTTCCCTGACGGTTTGAGATTGAACCGTAACAGGAACGAGAGGCAGGGATGGCACTGGCAGAGACGGAGGTGCCGAATTCTGTCTCCTTTTTTTTTTCCCTCTCCCTTTGGCGTCGGTGCTAGTGCGTACAGTAATCCGCAGTGTACCTAGGTAGTGGACTCTGTAGCCCCCCCCTATCCCCTGCCTTACGGTAGTCTGGTCTGGGTGAGGTGAGTTGCCTGGGCTGAGCTGCCTTGTGCGGGCAGCGTGGATGAGCGGGCAACAGCCAATCTCACCGTCTCTGTCTCCGTCTCCGTTCTGGGAATCATCAACAACAAAAGCGCGGTGGGTGGATACGGTGGGTTGCGAGCGCAGCCCGCCAAGCGCTGGGCTGGCGTGACAGGGGCAGCGCATGCTCCCAGCAGGCCGGCCCCTGTCCGCATGCTTGTTTCATTTCCTTGCGCTGCGGCGGTCAGGCCCCACGGTGACTCTGGCGATGCGTCACCGCCAGGGCAAAGAAGTGAAGGGAGGCGAGACGAAGGACGTGGAGGGACGGGGACGGAGACGGTGATGGGGAGATGAGACGAGAGACGTCGACGGGGAAGGGGGGGGGGGGTTCGACCGTTAGAAAAGGGGGGCCGGAGGGAGGGCGAAACGGTACGTAGTCTGGTCAGGCGCTAGTGCCTGAGATGATCCCCACCGTCCCGGCCGACCACCATTCTTTCCCTTTTTGCCCTTTTCCTTGCGAGATGAAAGATGGGAAAGTGCGCGGACGGACTGCCATGCGCTAAACGGAAAACCCCTCCATTCCACCCATGCTATGTACCAGTCCATCATCCCACACACACACACACACACCGAGGCTACCGTTTGGACCACACCACACGTATCGTACGCACACCGTTCACGCCTCCCACGTCGTACGGTTCTCCACACCACCGTCTGCCAACACCAGACGGACGCTCGTCCAGGGCAAGCTTTAATTTTGGCATTGGCAGCGTCAGGTACAAGGGGTCAAAGTACTGACGTACTCGTCCCCGACGCATTTCCCTTCCCCCCCATAAGCAACATTCCTTTCTTCACCTTCACTTTACCACCACCCCTACACAGCCCGCCCACACCCCTCCTCTTTACCCCTGGACTCGCTCGCTCTCTCCCACGAACACGCACTCCCCTTCTCACCCCCTCTGGGTCTCTGCACCCCTCCCCCCCCCTTCCAAGAGAGACGCCAGTGCCCGATCCAAGGTCGAGCTGGGCTAACACCCTTGCAAGGTTTCTGGCTGTTCCAAAATTGCAGAGTCTCGGACAGCGAGCTCTGCAAACAGGCACCGCCAGCCGAAATGTCCTCCCATGGCCGCATTCGTAGATACATAAGGCACCCGACTCCCCCCTAGTATTGACTGCCTACGACTCTCGACCAGATCACCATCACCATCACCAACCAACTCATAAGACTATTCTAGCTCACGACCGTTTGGTTACATATACCTCTCACGCCCTCATCCATCTCTAGATTCTTTGTCTACAATCCCAACGGCTCACCACCCACAACAATTACTACCACTACTACTCCAAGGCTCTCTTACACCAAGCCTTCTCTCAACCATCACCACCTTCACCACAACAGCTTCATAGCTTCTAGACAGCTCTTCACAGCTGTCTCAATACCGTCAAACTGGCTTCCTCCACAAACTTCGACTTCGTCACCATGCCTGCCCAGCGCCCCTCGCAGCTGCCTCCCTGCCCCGGCCCTCCGCCTCAGCGCCCTCTTCCTCCTCTGCCCACCCGGGGTTAAGAGTGACGGGCCAACAGCAACAAACCGACAATGACGAACCCGCCTGCCTTGTCTTTCGAAACTCGTGGCTCCTCGAGGCCATGAGTTGAGAGAACCCGCCACTACCCACGATTGGAGCTGCCTCGGTGTCTTCGCTTCGCAGTCGAACCAAATACGGACGAACTGGACAAAACACATCCAACAGTTCCCAGAGTATCAATTGCGAACGAATGCGACACGACCAGCCCACCTCAGCAACCGAGCAATCAACAACGCCTCGTCGGCCTGTTCTGGCAGCCCGCATGGAACTTTACGGCCTTCGAATATGCACGCCATCCGCGCCTCCCATAGCTTGGCCATGCATGCATCTCACCCACACCACCCACCCACACCACTTTGGGAGACGGATGAATTTCCCAACTCTCAGCCGCCTTCGCCAACCCGGGTCAATGCAACCGCTCTTCTAGAGAACCGGGCAAACTTCAAACCATCTCTCCATCGTCGGGGTTGCGAGTCGCTTCCGGGCGGTCTTCGCAACGGGCCTGCTACCAACCCGCTTTCCTCCCTTTCCCTGCTTTCGTGCCGGCCCGCGTCTCCAAGAGCTGGGCTCCTGCACGCTACGCCGAGAACACGCAACAACCCACACAACCCGCTTGGCTTCGTCCCTGATTGCAAGACACTCTTTTGCAATATTCCATCGACTTACTACCTTGTAAAACTACCATCCCTCGTTCGTCACCACCTCGACTCCGAAGTGGGCTATTCAACAAACCAACCAGAAACCATCTTTTAATCCATGACCTATCAAAACGCAACGAGCAAAGCATCATTACGGGACCCAGGAACACAACTTCAACGTCTACCATCACGCATCCACACAAACCACTACTTCGTCACCCACCATGTATCATTAGAACGGAGCATTGTCGGGGGAGATTTCACTCCCTCTTTTTTCCATTTCTCACTTTGTCGTCGCCGATACCCCCCTTCCCTTTCTCAGAGAGACGGATGGATTCGACGGAAAGTTTTTTTTTTCTTCATGAGCGATTGTCTTTAGGAGCAAGAAACCAGCAACTGGGATACATCTGAAAAGTTGACAGGGGACAAAGGAGTCTTTTCTTCATTCGCAAGGGGTTCCGTCTGTTGGGCAATAGTCCCAGCATAGGACCGAAATCCAGATGAAAGTTATAATACCAAAACACAAATAATTCATCCACACACAACGCTTGATCCTCATTCGCCCGCGTGACTGCAACTCGCCCTTACTGACTATGCCTGCAGCGCCTGTCCTCCTAGTCTTTCGAAACCTCGGTACCGGCCATGTAAGGCCATGACATGAACACTAGAGCTCTTTCTCTATCCATCTCCCCCTCATGGGCCCCCCTCTTGGTATGAGACAGCATGGCGCGTGTAACCATCCCATCTGCGCACGACATTCCGTCTCCAGATTTCCGAGCGGCCTTTCCCTTCCCTCCCTTCACCCTGGGTTACCCGTTACCCGTACAAGCCGCAGCAGCGCGGGGCTGGTTTAGCCGATCTCCCAATCCGAGAGACGCCGTCCATCCGCCTATTCCGACCACCACCCTTCCAAGGAGGGAGGGCCAAGCAGGGCAGAGCAAGGCCAGGGTCGTGCCGGTGGGTGTGGCCCGTCCAGGTTTGTTTGCGTTGTCAAATGCTACGGTACGGCGGCCACCGGTTGCACCGACCGGCCACTGCCCACCTGCCTACTGATACCACCTACCGCAGTCCCACTAGGCCACGCATAACCGACCCAGCCCGATCAGCAGCCGCATCCTCACTCGGACATGGAGAGAGGGAGACGGAGGTAGAGGAGAAACACTCGCGGGGGAAGGCAGGCCGGTGGAAAAGGGCCATGCTTGGTTTGGCCCTCATTTGGGGGGGGGGTCCTCATCCGCCAAAATTATGATCAGAACGGGGAAATCACTCGACTGTTACAGAGTTGGCGCATCAGCATCTCGTCACACACAAAAATTCACACCCTCCTCCTCCCTTGGCCACCTTCGACCGAGGCGATCCGGCGTCTACGGCGGCCAGTCTTGTACACTGCGAGACACGCCGACAGTGTGGGAAGATCGATACCGAAGGAGGACAAGAATCGAGGGGGAGGGGGAGGGTGGGTGGGAGAGATCTTCTTGAGATCTTCCGTCCCTCTACCCGCTTTCTCCTCTCTGCGTGGTGATTTCATGATTTACCCCCCTCTCTCCCCTCCCCTCCCCTCCTCTGCTAGGGATGTCGAAGGGGGTGGGACAGCGGCAGCCCGCCAGAGAGGAAAGATGTGCGGGTAAGGCGCGCGCGCGCGAGCGCGAGCGGCAGGTCAGGGCTGCCAGGCGTTGCCTTAGTCTGCCCGCACGACGAGCTGAGGCCCGACAGAGATTGTGACCCGGCCCGGTCGTCTGTTGTGTTTGTCGAGAGGGGGAGGGAGGGAGGGAGGAATAGGAAAGTAAATTGTTCGTGTGCGGCGGCGTGAGCTGGTTTCCTGCCATGCTCATCTCGCCTAAGTGAGGACGCAGGACTTACACATGCCTTAGGGCGTTGCGGCGAAAACGGGGGAGGGTGTGGCTTTGGGGGGGTGGTTTTTTTTTCTTTTTTTCCTTCTCTTTTCTTCGCAGGGCGAGTTATTCTGTGATGGGATGGACGCGGGGCATCAGAGTACAAAGGCCGTGTCACAACGTCTACAATGGTCGGGCGTGAGGCCATTCGAGCCCGATTGCGAGGGTGCCATTGAGCTGTAATTATTCTGGTGCGCTGGCTGTCCACTCGGCACTGCAAGAGAGAAGCTTCGCGGACTACGGTTTTTGCGCAAACATTCCCGGAGAGGGGGACCACGAGCTGTCCGGGCCTAGTCTGGTTGGGCGTGCGGGATACGCTGAAGGTTTTGTTGAAGAAACTCTCAGGACCCCTTTTTCCCACCCCCCGTATTGCGCAGTGAAGAGGCATTGGAATGCAACGAGGCTGAGAGGTTCCAAGATGCATGCGAAAAGGAGAGGGGGCGGTCAAAGACACGCAGCTACGGCACGGGGTGTGGAATGTCGGACCCCTAATTTTCCTTAAAAATAAAATAAAAATTCAAAGTGAAAGGCGGCTTGCAAACGTCGTTGACGGACGGGGGCTGGACGGGATTCCGACGCCATCGTCTAAGGGTCCCTCCCTTCCTCATTACGTCGCATAGGAGACGTGCGCCTCGTCTACGGACTAGAGGCGGCTTAGCATGACTGTGTAATCAAAGACGAGTGCTACCGTTCAGCTCGACGTCCGTGGTTCCAAGGGATCGAAATTGGCTACCAAGGGAGAAAAGCGACAGAGAGAGACGTGGCACAGCACCGGCGCGGAAGACGGCGCAGGGGAAACGAAGCCCGCCGTGGGGGGAGGGGCGGATTTCTTCGTGAACGTGGTGCGGTAACGTCGCTCTCCACCGCCACAACTCGGTCGAGGTTATTCCCAGAGGACGTACGTAGTAGGAGAAACAGAAACCGCCCCTTTCTCGGCATCCTCCTTATTGCCCGCAATTAATCGTGTCCTCGGCGATCTGAGAAATCTATATTAATTCAGGTACGACAACGATTCGTCGCGAGTGGACGGGACGGTTTAAGCTATGCTGGGTTAGGGTAGGGAGAGACCATGTACGTGGGCAGATATACACTCTTGTATGCGCAGGGAACTCTCGGCGCAGCACGTCACGTCACGTAAAGAGAGGACAATGGATCACGTCTTTCCCCTTTCATCAACGTGACACCGTTTTACCCCACGAACGGCCAGAAATGGACGCCGTGTATCACATTCTCCCGCGGCTGTAGTGGATTGATGGGATTCGAAAGGACCTTTGAACCGTAACCTCTCCCCCACTTGACGAGCCCCCAACGAACTGTTTGAATCTGCTTGAAACAAGGGGGCCTCCGGTGGAGGTCAATCATTCTGTTGCGTTTTCAGTTCATGCTCTTTCTTGTCCCAGTCACCAACCCAACGGGTACACGTCGATCTTGTCAATCCCGTTTCCCAGACCGCAATGTTTCTGATGCGTCGGAAATTCAGACGAAATTAGATTGCGCCGGATTCCAATGCGCTCCAAAGACCCCCAACGTTCGGTTGCAGCGGATTGGCGGGTTCGGTGTCGCGTACCTGCCTTAGCGGTGGCGAACTCTCCTGCACGCGGCTCATCGTCGTCGGCGTCGGCACGGCGGGTCAACGAGACCGTCTCCCTCTTGGACGATGCCGTCTCCAAGCATGCCTCAGGGGAGGGGAGGAGGACTGCAGCCGTTAGCCTGGGGCCGCCGCGTGTGGGCGGCGCGACTGAACCCAGTCTGGTGCGTCTCGCCGGGGGCGTTGCCATCTCTTTTGCGGTCGACTGGCTGTGGTCGAAGCCGAGTCGAGAGACTTTCGTGATCTGCTCGAGGCGGCGTGTTTGGAGTCTTGAACCGGATCGTCAGGGGTCGTCGATTCTGTCCGAAAAGAGGAAACGCCGTTGCCAAAGTGGGGCGGTGCGTGGCGAGCGTGGGTGGCTGGGGCTGCGACTTCAGCTGGGTGTGAACGGGGTGCCTTAGGTAAGCCTTATCGGCCACTCGCTTATCTTCACGTGAGCCCGCGCCGAGGTCGTAGTGACGTCCGTTACAAGCCTGGGCGGGATCTTCGCGCCGCTGGAGCTTTCAAAGAAATGCAGGGGTGTCCGTTTTCCTCACCCCCAGAACGACGACGTATTGCGCACCAGCGTCCTAAACTGTATCCTGCGGTATTGCTGCCTTCCCGATCTCGAGGGCTTTTCGTTCCAGACGTGACGTGCGTTGAAACTGGTGAGTCATCGGCAGGCAGGCGCCTCAGTCCGTCATTCTCCAGCAATCCCTTGCGCTAAGACACAGTCGATCAGGGTCCAGGAGTGAGAGGAGACCAACGCCTGAGTGAATAGAGTACCTTGGAATCATACGCCCGCGCCTGCTGGCGGTGAAGTCCACTTGTCACTCGCTTTCACACTCACACACACGCTCACACGCTCACACACACATACGGAATGGACGTCCTGGAGCTCCACGTCTGGGGGCCTGCCTTCGGTCTTCCCTCGGTCGACGCCGAGTGCCTTGCCGCTATCGCATACCTCCACACTGCCCTCCCAAGTTCCCAATGGCGCCTGATCCCAACCAATGACCCTGCCGTCGACTCATCAAGTAAGTCTACATGCCCTCATACTCACACTTACACCGACTGTTTGCCCCCTTTCTTTACAACGCCCACCCCTTCTACGTCGAGGCTCGCCGTTGCATGGTTCCCACGCGACTACGTGCCATCATGGCGACTCATCACAAAGAACTCGACAAAGAGTCACGTTGACTCACAAAGAAATACCACGTAACAATGTAGCCTCACTAACATCGCCCACCAGACCGCCTCCCGGCCCTCCATGCTAACGGCGTATGCGTCACGGGCTACGCCGCTATCGCATCTCATCTCGCCTCCCTCTCCCCGCACTCCCCCTCATGGGACCTGGATCTGGACTCGCGCCTCACTGCCTCGCAGCGCGCAGACACCCTCGCCTACGGCGCCTACGTCGACGCCCAGCTCGCGCCCCTCCTCGACGCCGCTCTCTATGGTACCCACGAGAACTGGGCCGCCGTCACCCGACCTGCACTGAGCCACCTCCTCGGGTTCCCCCTGAGTTGGACCGTCCCCGTCATGCTCCGTAACCAGGCCGTGGCGCGGTGCGCGCACCTCGGGCTCGAATCGCTGGGCGCCGAGGATGAGGAGTCGGGAGGTGATGCGCAGGGCAGCGCGCTGGACCGCGCGATGAAGCATCTTCCTGTCTCGAGCAGGAAGAGCGTGCTGGAGGAGATGAAGGTCGGCACCGCCCGAGGGATCAGGCTGCATGCCATGACCGTCGACGCCCTCTCGCCGCTGGAGGAGCTTCGCGCCCGAGGCGAGGAGACGCCGGGGGAGAAGAAGCGCTTCTTCGGTGGCGAGGTGGCGACGTCTCTCGACTGCCTTGTCGTCGGGTACCTTGCTCTCATCCAAGAGGTCGAGCTTCCCCAGTCCTGGCTCCGTACGATTCTCGCAAAGAAGTTCCCGCACCTGAGCGCCATGGCCGCAGACCTCCGTGACGAGTGCCTCACGAGCCCCGGCGCCCTGCCCTGGGTTGCGGCACCCTCGTCGGCTCTCCGCACGGCGGCCCGCTTCCTCGACAACGTTGTGCAGGCGACACCGAACCTGGGCGAGGCGTACGTTCACGAGTGGCGGCGGCGTGCAGAGGCGAAGGCGAAGGGTGTCGCGGACCGGAGGACGCTTGCTCTCGCTGGTGGGGTGTTGGCGGCCGGCACCGCGATCGCGTATGGGGTATGGACGTATCGCAGTCTCCCGCCCTGGGGTATGCGGACGCAGACTTGGATGGCGGAGAAGAGAGGCCTAAACAAGTTCGGTGATCTGGGTGCCATGCTAGACTTCTCGCTGGGACTTGCGGATCCAGCGCCGCAGGCAAGTCCGTCTGCTGGATGGGGCGGGGGCTTCGGTACGGAGCACAGAGTGGTTGAGTCTGAACTGGCTGTCGACTAGAGGATGAGGCATTCGCATTGAGTGTAGTTGGTGACTGAAGAGACAAACTTGGTCAGGTACCAAACAGGGCCTTGAAAGAAGGCCGTTGCGGAATGAAGTTTCGCAAAGCTATGCGCAGAACGCTCGCAACTCTGTAATCACCCATAGAAGGCATGGAAAAAGGCACAAAAGAACAACGATAGAGTCTGTACAATACTGTTTCAATTATCTTGGTTTACATTAACCATCCATCATACCCCATGCTACCGTTTTATGCTGCCGACATCTGATACAGAAACCCCCCCATGCCGGGTTATTGCTGACCTCGCAATATTTTTAAGCGCCGTGTATAAGCGACAAAGTGCCTGGTCAGACCCTTTAGATCTGCCGGATCTCCTTTCCAACCATTTCAGGCCGGTCGACTTCCCATTCGTCACGCAGCACCGCAAACGTCAGGTCGCTGACGAGCAAGCTCTGGCCCAGACTCCACACGAGGGTAATGGCGTAGAAGAAGTTGGCGTTGCCGCTGCCAGCGTAGATCCACAGGTGATAGAACGCGGGTCCAAGGAACGAGGCGTACATGATGGTCGCGGCGCCAACGAACGTGTAGCGCATGAGGGGGAAGATGTGGCGGAAGAGCGAGAGCATCGCCAAGAACAGGCTCGTATCGGCGATCGACGGGTACGGCTTGAAGATGGAAAAGATGCCAAGCAGAAGGGTTATGACGACCAACGGCTGGGAGCGGATGCGAATGGTCAGGGGCCCGACGTAGCTCGAGAGGTGGAGCCAGAAGACGGCGAGGAAGAAAGGGCGGAACGAGTCGAACATTTCCACAAAGAAGTACCACCACAGTCCCACGTTGGGTGTCAGGTCGTTGAGCGTGACCTGGGCGCCGTAGGTACTCGAGAGGAACTCCCAAGAGCCGCCGGTGAGGAGGAAAGACATGAGGAACAGGGCAGCGAGTACAGCGGCCACGACGGTGACGTTCGTGAGAGCGAAGCGCGTGGTTGATGCGATGCGACGGGAGGGGTCCTGGCGGTCGTATGCGAGGAGTACGAGCGGCGGCAGAAGGAGGAGAGGGTACATCGAGAGGTAGGTCGCGAACGAGAGGGCGACCATTGCGCCGAGGGAGGCGCCGGAGATGCCTTTCGCGACGGCGTGGAGGATGGCGCATGTTGAGAAGACGGAAGTCGAGCGGCCAATGCATGTTGCTATCGTGAACGGGTTGAAGAGGAAACTATAGAAGGCGTCAGAAGAGCCTCAGCGTGGAGGTTGAACAAGGGGGCAAGCTCACAGTGATGCGACGACGATGCCACTCCACCTCTTGCCGCGACGCGGGGAGGTGAAGAGGCGCGAGGACTCAGCCTCACCTGAGTCGGCAATTCGAGAGAGCGCATCTGCGCTCAGGATGTCGACGAGGATATACAGGAGAAATGTGAAGATCGGGAGCGACTTCATGTCGGGGAGGAGGGAGAAGAGCGGGAGGAAGAGGGGCGCCTGGTGGTAGACGCCGCCGTCGTACGGAGACACATTGTGGTTGTAGAGGAAGAGACCTTCTTGCACTGCACATCATTCCTGTCGTTAGCAAAGTCGGTTCCAATCGGGATGTGTTGAGGCTTACGTCGCTTGAAGCTTGTCACAGGGGTCGAGATCTCGACGCGGCCAGTCAGCAGGTCAGGCAGACCGGGGAACGCAACGAAGAGCAGTAGACGCAGCGCCGCGGCAGCGGCGTAGACGCCCGTCTTGTTGCCTCCCTGAGTCATTGTACCGCCGGTCATATTTCAGTCCATGGCCCGGAGTAGGAGGAGGAAAGCAGAAGCGAGACAGAGGGCGGGCCAAGGAATCGCAGGATGTCGACGTGCGGGATCGCGGAGCTTGAGGTTCGCGGGTCGTTGCAGCTCGGGCGGGAGTCGGGATGATTAAGGTAAGGACGGGGGTGACTTGAGGTGGATGACACCTGGCTGGACCGGGGCGTAGGTCCGCTGGGGTCGGGAAGCGGTTCCAACGAATGGCGGCCATTCTTTCAGCGCAGTCGCCCTGCTTTTAGTGGGTTGAACCCCTGGAGCTGGAGCCATTCCACTGATTAGATAAGAGCGACCAATCAGCAGCCCTATCAAATCCAACTAGTCCTATCCTGGAAGACGCTTGGGCGGTCAACCGCTGGCAGAAAATTTCAATGGAAAAAAAGTTCTGAGAGAAAGTCGAGAGCGGTGCCCCGCCACGGTCAGAAGTTCTTGATAGCTTCTAAACCCGCCCAACACACCCTTTCCCCCCGTCAACTTTCGACGCAACACCACCACGCCAATTCGCAAAGATGGGCAAGATCAAGAAGAAAGGACAGGCTGGAGCGGCCAAGAACTATGTCACCAGAAACCAGGCCATTCGCAAGCTGCAAATCAGCCTGCCCGACTTCCGCAAGCTCTGCATCTGGAAGGGAATCTACCCCCGTGAGCCGCGCAGCAAGAAGAAGGTCTCCAAGTCCTCGACCGCCTCAACGACCTTTTACTACGCCAAGGACATCCAGTACCTCCTGCACGAGCCGCTTCTGCTAAAATTCCGCGACCAAAAGGCCCTCGAGAAGAAGATTTCGCGCGCCCTCGGCCGCGGAGACGTTGGCGATGCGAAGCGTTTGGAGAAGAACGCCGCCCGGCCTGAGGAGACCGGCAAGCCGAGATACACCCTCGACCACGTCATCAGAGAGCGATACCCGACCTTCGTCGATGCTGTGAGAGACCTTGACGACTGCCTGTCCATGCTGTTCCTGTTCGCCAACCTTCCCTCGACCTCTTCCGTTCCCGCCAAGATGATTGCGCGCTGCGAACGGTTGTGCCTCGAGTTCCAGCACTACCTGATCGTGTCGCAGAGCGTCACCAAGTCTTTCCTTTCGATCAAGGGCATTTACTACCAGGCAAACATTCACGGCGAGGATGTGTTGTGGCTGGTACCTTACAAGTTCAACCAGAGGGTCGTTGGCGATGTCGACTTCCGCATCATGGGCACTTTTGTCGAGTTCTACATGACCTTGTTGGGCTTCATCAACTTCCGCCTGTACACCGGTCTCGGCCTCAAGTACCCGCCCAAGTTCGACCAGAACAAGGACAACCAATCTGCCGAGCTCGCTGCCTTCACCCTCGAGGGCCAGAACCTCGCCGCACCCGAGGAGAAGAAGCAGATCACCAACGGCGAGGCCCAGCACAAGGTCGACCCCAAGACGCAGGCCGCGGTTGACAAGGTTCTCAAGAAGCTCAAGGGCTCCGACGCCAACGAGGAAGAGAACACGACGGAAGAGCAGACCGAATCTACGGAGGAGGCTACGAACGCTATTGACAAGTTTGAGCCTGTTGCGCCTGGCGGTGACGTTCTCCCCCAGCCTGAGCACTCCAGCTCGGACAGAGCCAAGCTGTTCAGCAACTGCACATTTTTCCTTTCCCGTGAGACTCCTAGACAACCTCTTGAGTTCCTCTTGCGGTCGTTCGGCTGCAAGCGCATCGGTTGGGATGCCGTTCTCGGCGAGGGTGCCTTCACCACCGATGAGCGCGACCCCTCCATCACCCACCAGATTGTCGACCGTCCCCAGGTGTACGCCGCAAACGACGAGGGAGGCGATGGCGAGGACAACCAGACATCCCAGAAGCTGGCGCCTAACCAGCGCATCCCTGGCCGGATATACATCCAGCCCCAATGGGTCTGGGACAGTGTCAACGATGAGGAGCTGAAGCAGCCGGACCAGTACGCCCCCGGCGCGCAGCTCCCTCCCCATCTCAGCCCCTTCGTCAGGCAAGTCCAGGGCGCGTACGACCCCACCGTGCCTCTCGAGGAGCAGGAGACCGAGGGCGAAGCTCTTGCCGAGAGCGACGGCGAGATGGACGTCGACGAGGCGGACGCTGGCGACATGGACGTTGCCGGTTCCGAAGACGAAGATGAGGAGGAGGATGGCGAAGGTTCCGACTTCGGTGGCGTCTCTGCCGATGAGGAAGAGGCCGAGTCCGAGGACGACGAGGAGGCACAGCGCCAGCGCGAGCTCGAGGCCGAGCTTACCGGCGGTGCCGTCAAGGCGAAGGAGACCAAGCCCAAGACGAAGAAGGAGGCGGCACGCAAGGCGCATGCCAAGAAGATGGCCGAGGAGGCCGAGGATATCGAGCGGGCCAAGGGCATGCTCAGCAAGAAGAAGAGAAAGCTGTTTGAGCAGATGCAGTACACTAATAACAAGAAGAGCGCCGAGGACGAGAAGCTCCGGGCCAAGAGGAGAAGGCTGGAGAAGCAGCTCAACAAGAAGGCCAAGGCGTAAAAATAAGATAAAAGCTTGTTGTTATGTGTTTTCTAGACTGTAGTAGGGCGTTTGTTATACCATAATTGTGGTGTTGGGAAAAGAAATACATACTTGAGACACTTTGAGACGTAAAAAACTCGGGAGCTCGTTGAAGTCCATTGTGATGTGCTGGTTAAGTCCTGCGTGACATGTAAGCTGCTTGACTTGAGGTGAGTTTCGGTGTAATGTGGGCGGGTCCGATTTTTCTTCCCTCTTCACCTCACTCTAACCCACTGAAAACGACTGCCTTTTACACACTCAATACCCTTTTCATTTTCATTTGCCTGGCGGTGTCAACAGGTTGTCTTGCAGGTATTGACCTTTTGGACTTCTGGACGAATCCAGGAATTTTTATTGAGCCATGACAGCGAACGAGGAATCGTGGGACCTCGACACCGATGAGATCCGCTCAGTCGACTCGGAAGAGTTGTATGAGACCAGGCCCAATCGTTGGAGGGGCAAGAGGTCAACATGGTATACCTACACGCAGGAGGAACGGCTCCTGTATCGCTCCATGGGACAGCTGCAGAATCGTGACTTATCAGTGCATCTTTACAACGCATTTGCGTTGAAACATCGCCCTATGCGGCCGTCAGCAACGGCAGAACCCGACGCAGAGGTGAGTAGTACCGCCGGCAAGACACGCACCACCCGCGTTACTAACTTTATCATCTAGGACGCCGAAACACCGCTAGAAGAAATTGTCGACAGCGGCGAGTGGCGCCCGCCGAATCTTTGGACGGCATGGCCGATGAACCCGAGGACTGTACCGGGCGACGATTTCTTGAAGGAGACCCATGATGAGGACGATGACTTCACCGTTCGCTCCAGGAGAGAGCAACTGCCCAGCACCGTCTTGGAAGAAGAAATCACCGCCACAATTCTGCGACAGGCCAAGGAGCGATTTCAACGCCGGCAACGGAAATATCATGAGACGAAAGCTGCCAGAACTCACGATGAATCGGCGCACGAGACCACGGGGGCGTCGTCTTCTCCATCTGCCCATTCCGACGTCTCATCCGACAACGAGGACGCGCCCTCGGATGAAGAAAACACCAAAGCAGAGCCCGAAGAAGACACGGGGAAACCAAAGCGGGCCAAGACCTATGAGCCAGTCGTATCCGCCAACGACGACCTCTCAGCAAACCTCCTCCGCCCATCCGTCCGCCACATCCTCTCTACACTCGACAATACCCTCACCGCGCTGCACAATTCCAGACTCGCCGGACTGAGCTACATGACCGACTCATCCGCTTCCGCCACCGATGGTGACGCCTCAGATGCCTCAGACGGAGTCAGTGTATCGTCGGCGGTGTCGCGCGCGTCGTCTGCTACTAGGCGTAAGAAGAAGGGTGCTCCACGCAGCAAAGCGCCGCGAACGCCCGAGCCAGAGAGAAATGCTACGGAAAGACGAGGCAGGCCCAAGAAGGCGTTGCTTCCGCTGCCGGGGGAGACCGAGAAGGAGATGAAGATCCGCGTTGCGAGGGAGCAGAAGAAGCGCATCCCGTTCTCGTCGGACGAGGAGGACAATGACGGCGAAAGGGAGAAGCAGGAGGCGAAGGCGGAGACATCGCGGTCTAGGTCGCCGCGCAAGAAGCGGGATCTGCCCCCCGAGGCCCGGGTTGAAGCTAAGATCAAAGCTAGGGAGACAATGCTCGGGAACTGGGGGCTGAGGGACTGGAGCGATGTCATCGGCGCGGCCTCCCTTGCGGGTTTTAAGCCTGAAGTCGTAGCCAGAGCGGCGCAGCGGTGCGCGGATCTGTTCGGTCAGGGGATGGAGATGCAGACGCTCCTCGAGGGGCCGGCTTCTAAGGGACCGAAGCCCCAGAGGACTCGCTATCTCCCTGGTAACCGCCGCCACGCTCCTTCGGTTTCCAGTTCGGATTCCGAGGTTGAAAGACCTGTATTGCGGCGCCGTATTATGTCTAGACAGAGCAGCCTTGCGCGGGACAGCGTCCCGCCGAGTGACTCCGATGCAGCTCGCGGAAGGGGCTCTCGCGCGCCGAGTCGGGGCCGCAGCACATCACGTACATCCTCCGTTGGTCTTTTCTTCTGTCCCGTAGCAGGGTGTCAGCGTGCTGCGGAAGGGTTTGGCAGAAGGGCAAACTTGCAGCGGCACGTGGCGAGGGTTCATCCGGGACAGGCCGTAGAGGTGGGCGACGTGGAGAGTGAGGACGAGATGTCCGGTGCGGTGCACGTCGACGGTTTCTTGAAGCCTATCCGGGCTAGGAAGGGCTGGAGAGCCGAGGATACGGGGACGAGAAAGCGGAAGAGGCATTATCGTGGACGGAGAGTGAATGAGAGTGGCGCGAGTGATAGGAGCGGTGTTGGGGAAGAGTCGGTCTGGGATTCCAGCTGAGGAACTACATCACAAGACCAATGTCAAAAAAATGGCTTCATCTCGGCATGTCGACTGCTGATACTGTACATTCCTCCAGACGCATATTAGGGGCCGAGTCGCTTCTATGCCTAAGTGTCCGGAACGAGCTCAATGACCATCGAATGATTTCACAAGCAAACCCGATGACAGTGAACATCAAGTTTGCATTGGAATCACATCATGAAAAGGGCACTTTCACATAGTATCGCTGTCCTAAATACCTTCCTTTAGTCCGCTTTCATCTTCAACTTAACCTTGCAGGCCTAGATGGAGGAGCCAACTACACGCGTAGGTGAGACTGGCGCGTGTAAGCTGGCTCGCAAGTGTTAGCACGGTCGTGGTCCTCTGACCTACAGACTTCCATTTCTCGTTTTCCAGTCTCGCTTCAAACTTAGTATCCTGTATGTATTGATGGCAAGAAACATAAGGCGCGCGCCTGGTGAATGTTAAACGCCCGCCTCAGACTTGCTTATTGATACATCCGGGCTAACAGACACAGCAACAATTAGCATGGCGTTTAAGACGCACCTATTTGGCCAAGCAAATACAAGAAACCTAAACAAACGACGCATTTTTGTATCTTTTCAGAATGGTTCCAAGAGTTGTATAGAGGTTGATAGCACTGGGAGACTGATTTGGCATGATGCTGGGAAGCAGAATAGAGGTAGGAACTTACATACCTAGTCCTAGTAGATGCTGTGACCCCGCACAGAAAGCAGACTGTGCGGACACTGTTCGCTTCTCCACATTAAAATTTCCATGCCCATCGCATTTTCCAGTAAAGGCCTTTGAGACTTTCACTTGAGAAAAGCACTGCACGACCAACCATGGATATCCTCAAAGTTTTGTCACGCGGCATCAAGCAGCCCCCAAGGGTGCCAAGGGCGCAAACAAGTCGGCAGCGAACCTGCCGTCCGCCGGCAACCGGACGAACCCTCAACTCTTCCATGACGAGGTGCCGTCTGCGCGGGGCCACAAGAGGAAGCGCGGCAAGGAAGAAGTCGAAGAGAAGGAAGAGGAGCAGCTGCCCGAGGTCGACTTTTTCGCCCCCAAGCCCGAGCCCTCTAAGGAAGCAGACAAGGCCAAGGAGGCAGCCGCGAAAGAGAAGAATGCCGCGCCGGCGCCCGCCGTCAAGCCGAAGCTGCTCCCCGAAGACGAGTGCCGACAAATCCTCCGCTCCCACCGATTGAAGCTCACCCTACTCTCCGAGCGTCACAAGAAGCCGTCCAAGGTCACCAAGAGCAAGAAGAAGAAGGTTGCCGTCGAGGTCGAGAAGGAGACGAACCAGCTGCACCCGCAGCCTCTGACCACTTTCCGTGAGCTTCGGACGAATTACGGCATCGCGCCGCTGCTGGCGGACAACCTGGCACACCAGGGATACAAGGTGCCGACCGAGGTGCAGCTGGGCGCCTTGCCGCTGCTTTTGCAACCAAAGCTCGCTTTGAAGGAGGTCCCCAACAGGAAAGAGCTTGGAGACGTCTCCAAGGGCGTCGACTTTCTTGCCGTTGCGCCGACAGGCAGTGGAAAGACAATCAGCTTCTTGATCCCCGCGATCAACTCGATTATGCACAAGAGGGCGTCTGCTGAGGACAAGGACCAACACGACCTATCCGCGATCATTATTGCGCCGACGAGGGAGCTTGTCTTCCAGATCGTCAACGAGGGACGCAAGTTGGCTCAAGACTCCGGCATCAAGGTTGCCGGCATGAAGAAGGGCATGCGTGTGGCCGTTGAGGAGGAAGAGAAGCCTCAGAGCGAGGACGAAGAGGAGGAAAACAGCGAAAAGTCTGACGATGACGACGAGGACAGCGAGACGGAGCCCGCCAGAACAAAGTCTGTCGTAAAGGTTGACATCCTCGTCACAACGCCGGCGCTTTTCTTTAATTTCCTCACGTCGGGGTCGCCAAACACGAACCGCAAGCTTCCGACGGTAACGTCGTTGATTCTCGACGAGGCCGACGTGCTCCTGGACCCTCTTTTCCGCGAACAGACCATGGCCATCTGGTCCGCATGCCCCAACCCTGAGCTGAGGACCACCTTCTGGTCTGCAACCTTTGGCTCCAACATCGAGACTCTGGTCACCGAGGCGCAGTCAGCGAGGCCAGAGTCCAAGCCCCTGATCCGTTTGGTGGTCGGCCTGAAGGACACAGCCGTCCCCAATGTCACCCACAAGCTGGTCTACACGGCAACAGAAAAGGGAAAGCTCTTGGGTCTGCGCCAGCTCCTCCACCCCACAGCAGGAGACGACTCCGGCCCGCCGCTGCGACCACCCTTCCTGGTCTTCACCCAGACCATCGAGCGTGCGACAGCCCTCGAAGAGGAGCTGAAGTACGACATCCCTCTTGCGGCCGGCGGCCCCACCAGAATCGCCGCACTGCACAGCGGCCTTACAGACAGGGCCCGCGCAGACATTATGCGCCGCTTCCGCGCCGGCGAGGTCTGGATTCTCATCACGACGGATGTGCTTGCCCGCGGTGTGGATTTCGCGGGTGTCAACGGTGTCGTGAACTACGACGTCCCCGGGTCCAGCGCCGCCTACGTCCACCGCGCGGGCCGGACAGGTCGCGCGGGCCGTGAAGGCGGTGTCGCCGTCACATTCTACACGACGGACGATATTCCCTTTGTCAAGAGCGTCGCCAACGTCATCGCCGCCAGCGAGAAGCAGGCCGGCAAGACGGGCGAGGAGGCAAATGTCCAGAAGTGGCTTCTCGACGCCCTGCCGAACGTGAGCAAGGCGGACAAGAAGATACTGAAGGAGAAAGGTGTCGAGGCTAGACGCAGCCACGGAGCTGCTATGATTTCGTCTCAGAGCAAGTGGGACAGACGTAAGGAGACGAATAGACAGGGAGCCACCGCGGCGAGCAAGCAGAGGATGAGGCATGCCAAGAGGGTAGACGGGGGCGATGGAGGAGAATGGGGTGGTATCGACGACTAAGCAATTAAATCAGAGTCGTGCATCAGGAGGTGTGGGACGTCACATGTAGATACCGAGCGCACCACCACACTCCCGTTTCTCAAAAAAGAAGCTGTAGAAGTCTACGACACACTACCGTATTGTAGAACGACTATTTTGATATCCTGTGGTCACTATAGCGGATCCTTTGAAACAACATTGCTATCTGCAAGTTCACTCCCCCTTGAACCGCGAAGTCCAAGTGTAATTGTAAGGTCGAGATTGAGGCATCGGCCAAGAAAGGCCAGGGAAATGCACGCCTTTGTAACACATCACTTGCACACTTTCAAGGTTGTCAAAATTCGTTACACTTTGATCGGTGGAAAGCAGTTAGCTGCCGCGTACTAGACACTCCAAGAGCTCCAGTCCCTCTTGCGCCCTTTGCCCTTGACAGGGACGTCACTAGTGTTGAATACTACAAACATCCAAGAGCTCTAGGAGGCTTTGGGGATGCTGAGGATTAGCCAAGCTGTGCACATCAAGATTTCACTACAGATGATCCCAGGCAAGGATTGACTGATCTTTATGTAACTCGAGACCATCGCATCGTTCGGGACAAATTATAAAATCTGGAAAATGGACATTTTCGTGAAAAGGAAAAGAAGATCTAGCAAGACACCACTTTGTGGACATAATCAAAAGTGGTGAGTTAGGTATATAAGAGGTTTTCCCGGGGAGGTCTTACATCAAATAGGAAGGGTGGCCGAGTTGGTTATGGCGCCAGGTTAAGGTCAGCTTAACATCTGTTTCCTGGTGGGGCAACCCGCGCGAGTTCGAGTCTCGTCCCTTTCATCTTTTGCTTTTTTTTTTCCATCGCTGCAGCTTTCGCATGGCAATCCAATTCTTGATGTCAACTCTCGTTGTTTTATTTCCTCAGGTCTTGCTTGTCATTTCTGCCGAGAATTCCACCCGGGGAGTCTTCCGTCTTGTGCATCACCCTATACAGAGTCGAAGCCAGCGTTGTTAAGCTTCCGGTCGAGTAGGCGAGGCAGAGTCTTCCTACTACCGTCTCTCCATGTTGTCACATCGCACACCCTTTGATTCAAGAATATGCCACGCCTGGCTAGCCTGCTTCAGGCTCACTCTGCTAATATTATCGACCGACTTCGAGCAGTAGAAAAGAGGGAGAACTCTGCGCAAATGACCAATTGCGTCAACTTTGAATGGATGTTGTCATTGTGCGCCAGCCAGACCGACGCAGCAGGAAGATATATATGTACACAAGGAGCAACGACGCCAACTAGCTCTGTGGATGACCACCCCTGATCCTACACCAAGCCACGCATGTAGACATTATCCGACCCCTCTTGCTGAGTCTATGCCGCACTGCACCGCGCCACTTACCACTCGCCCACCTCGCCGGCCTTGGGCTGCTGGACTCTGACGACCTTATCGCAGTTGAGCAGGCAGAGGGGGTCGAGGGCCTTCTTGATCTGAGGAGCACCTAGCGTTAGCGTCCGAGATCGGTTTTACGGAATCCTCTGGCAACGTACCTGTCTCATGGTGTCGACTGTCGACTCGCCGAGTTCGTGGGGGAGATAGTCTCGCTTGACGAGACCAACGCCGTGTTCGCCCTGTTTAAGTCAGCATCGGAACCGCTCGGCCCACCTCGGATAAAGACCAACGTACCGTGACAGTGCCCTCCATCTCGACGGCCCTCTTGACCATGTTGTGCACCAAGTGCTCGGCCCGCTTGCGCTCCTTGTCGTTGTAAAGCAGGATCGTGTGGAAGTTGCCGTCACCAACGTGTCCGACAATGGTGCCAAACAGCCCGCTCTTGGCCATGGCCTCCTTCGTCTCCTCGATGATGTCCGGCAGCCGGCTCATCGGCACCGCGACGTCGCCCGTCCAAACGTGGTCGCCCTCGCGCTTGACGGCCATGGTGCTCCACAACGCCTCCTTCCGCGCGCTCCAGAGCTCCTGCTGCTCCGCCTCGCTCTTGGCGAAGTCGAACGTCTTGCTGCCGGCCTTGGCCGCCAGCTGCTTCACCAGCGCCACCTGTTCCTTGACGCCCGTCTCCGTGCCGCCAAACTTGAAGAAGAGCGTCGGCGCCTCGGCCCACGCCTTGCTCGTCATCTCGGCCTTGTTGATGCACTGCATCTGCAAGTCGTCGAGGATCTCGACGGCCGCCACCGGGATGCCTGCGGCGACCACCTTGGCGACGCAGTTGGCCGCGTCGCGGATCGTCGGGAACGCCGAGACGGCGACCGAGGTGAACAGGGGCTTCGTCGTGACCTTGAGGGTGGCCTCAGTGACGAGGCCCAGCGTGCCCTCGGAGCCGATGAAAAGCTTGGTGAGGTCGTAGCCGGCGGAGCTCTTGCGCGGGCGCTGGCGCGTCTTGATGACGGTGCCGTCAGCCAGCACGACGGTCAGACTAAGAACCCACTCGCGCATGGTGCCGTAGCGGTAGGCGTTGGTGCCGCTGCAGCCCGTGCCGATCATGCCACCGATCATGGCGCCTGGGCCCGGGTCGGGCGGGAAGAAGAGCCCCGTCTGCGCGAGCTGGTCGTTGAGCGACTCCCATCCGACGGCGGGCTGCACGACGACGTCGAGATCCTCCTGGTGCAACTGGAGGACCTTGTTCATGCGACCAAAGTCGATGGAGATGCCGCCGCGGGTGGGGGTGAAGTGGCCCTCGAGACTGGTGCCGCCGCTGTAGCCGACGACGGGGATGCGCCGCTGGTGGCAGATCTTCATGATCTCCGAGACCTCCTCGGTGGAGCTGGGGAAGACGACGCAGAAGGGCCGCTCGTTGGGCTTGGCCGAGTGCGACGACCACTCCGAGTTGGCGTGGAGCTCGATGTCTGTGGGTATCGTGCTGACGTGCTCCTCGCCAACGATGCTGACAAAGTCGGCCCAGGCGGCCTCGAGGTTCTCCTTGTTCAGCTTGTGTACCGGCGCGATCGTCTTGGCCAGCGGCAGTGTCGAGTTTTCGCTGGGGCTCGGGGGGACGAGGGTGCCGAGGTAGTACGAGACACCCATCGTGGTGAGTAGCACTGCCGGCGCACAAAGACATTAGCTGCTACTGCTGCTGCTTGACGCCCAATTGAGCAGTTCCAGGTCGGAGGGCTCACAACTCACCAAAGGTGTAGGCAAGGTTCCTGCTGCTGCCCGTCTTCTCCCGCTCAGCAGCGAACCTCTCTCGCTCCGCCTTCTCTCGTGCCAGACGTTGGGTGATGCTGCCGACAATCTGGCCCTGGAACGATCGGCCTTGCTTGTCCTCATTCGTCGCGGGCTTGCGGTCGCTCGACATGTGCCGTGCGCTCCCGGCGAGGGCGAGGCATTGCCGCCGCGGTGCCGGGCTCGCGGCTCTCAGGCCCTGTAGAGCCGCCTGGGGAGCTCGCGCTCTGATGTGCGCCATTGCGCTCGTTCGACTCGGTAGCGAATGGAGCGGGGTGCGGGTTAGGTGGGAGGAGTGGTTGAAGCTATCGAATTGATCGAAAAGTGCGAGGCAGCTTCAAGCCATCCGAGGTCGGGGAGCTCTGGGGAAGGGGATGATCGCGAGGAGGGTGCGGTGACAAGTAGACGTCGGGGAAAGATTATTTGTAGCTGGGTGGAGCTGCGTCCGTCTTAGCACTTCTGGAGCTCAGATGGTGAAATGGAATCCATGCTACGGCCTGCAGTAGGAGCACCCTGCAAATACGTCGGGGATAAGGATTGGCCGGCCCTGAAGCGGGGAATCTATGGGCCCCCGCCGTCCATTCCGGCCGGTGGGACTCCATACCACCGTGGCTTACTCTTCCCTCGCGTCCGCTTCGAGGCTGAGGGTTGGTGAACTAGTCGGATGGCGTGATCACGGAGCGGGCATCCTTGCTTTGAGCGACATGTCAAGATAACAGAGATGCATTGATTGGGTCTCGGTCACGGATTTGTTTGTTTGAATTAGTCTCGGCTCTGATTAAGTTGCCGACGTGGTCGTCCAACGACTTCCGGCCATACCCCCGCTTACATGGCGTAAACTGCCCATATTGCAGTTCAACGGAGTTCTTCTCCATGTGTTACGGTCGTCGTTGTAGCATGCGGTTCGACTGAGCGTCCACCGCGCTGTAGATGCAAATTCCTCAACCAGCCTTCCACCCGGGAACGAGCTGCACGTTGAAGGTCGGAGTAGCGCCTTGCAGGTGCGCTACGTAAGCCGCCAGCTCTGGGTCCTGATCGATCTGCAAAGGCATCTCCCCGCCTTTCCCGTCCCTGAGCACGCCCTCGACCCGTAGACAAATGGACCCCGGGAACTTGCTAGCCGCTACGTGCCGCAGCTCCTGCACCGAGTGCGAGCTCAGCGTCGCGATCCAAAGGTTCGCGTTCACCACAAAGGTAGACGACGGGTGCAGCCTGAGGTAAACCGCCACGCTCGTGTGTGCCGGTGTATGGAACACGGGCTGCGCGGCTGTGAACTGCTGCGCGTACTGCTGGTCAACGAAGGCCCCTTGTGCGTTGGCGGCCAGCAGGAGAGAGGAGCCCAGATGCGACTCGAGCGCCATGTTCGCCTGCCCGAGAAGCGCGGAAGACAAGACCCGTGCAGCAGAGTGGCCCATCGGGTCAGCAGCGGCCTGGGGTTGCATGGCGACGGGCATCATCATCTGGGCTTGACTGTCTCCCGAACTGGGCACCATTCCCATGGACGATACCTGGCCAGCGTTGCCGTACTGGCCGCCCAAGTCAGCCTGGTGCTGTAGACCATTGACCATTTCTGGTTGTGTGGTCTGAACCGCCTGCACGTCCAGTTCATGTTGAGCCTCGTTACCGTTCGGCCGGGCCCCTTTTGCGGGACTCCGTTTCCTCGGCTGGTCCCTTCTCGAAATGTCGTCCCTCAACCGCTTCATCACATCCCGGGCGATGAGATCCAATGCTCGCACCTTTTCAGCGTAAGCAGGATCGCCGGCCCCGAGGGCGAGAATGCGCCGGATGAGGTCTGACCGGTCCTCCCACCTCCTTTTGAGGTCGTTCCACTGTGCAGACCCAGCTTCCGATATGGAGCTGAGGCCCTCGTCTCTCAGGATCTGATCAAACGCAGCGCGGAGGTCTCTGGCCTCCTCGGGGTTGATCCCGATAATGTTCTTCGCCTCTGCCAGAGTGATGCGCTTATCCAGCGTCCGCACTCGCTTTGTGATGTCGGTACAGATGACATCGAGCGCCAACACCTTGGACTCGTGGTTGTCACTAGACTGCCACATCACAGCTTGGAGCTGCGGTATTTCTTGGATCAGGCGGTTCTTGGCGGCTTCCCATCTATCGGGGCCCGCGAGTGTCTTCTTGACAATATTCGACTCTTCGCAGAGCCGCGCGAATGTGGTCCGCACCTGTCGATAGACGTCGTTGGCCAGGCTGAGGATGGCTTTGGCCTCGTCGAGGGTGGTTTCGGAAGGGAATCGCGGGGCGACAGGCGCATCTTGTGATGCAGCCCCCCAAGCCTTTAGTCGGCGCCTCTTCCTCCTGTTGTTGTCCTGGTCCCAGGCAGTGCCGACCTCGTTCGGCAGAGTCCCAAGCAGCTCGTGGTCTGTCAAGGTATCCGGAGTTATATTCCCTGCCCCACTCGAAAGCCGTTGGCCGTTGTCCCGGCTCTCGAAAGAATCGTCCGTCATCAGTGGGGGCTGCGAGCCGGGATCGGGCGAGTCCCTCGGCCGCTCGCCGTTGGCGGCCTTCAACAGCCATCGGTTCTTGGTCCTCACACGGATCAGCTCGCGCTTCTTGATGTCAAACCCATCCTCCTTCAAGACTGCCAGCATCTCCTTTTGTGACAGGTTGCGCTCCCATAGCTCCTTGACGCGGGCGACGAGGCGGTCGTTCTTGTAGGCGGGGTTCTGTTTCGAAGGGAAGTCCCATTTGCGGAACTGTGTTTGGAAGGCTCGTTTGCTGCATACGTCATCGTGATTAGCCCAGGATGCCCTTCCCCAGATTCCTTTTCTTTTTTTTCCCCCCGAGTGGTGAAGGAAAGCTTGGTGGGTGGATCGGATGGTCCGGCCGGCGAGAGAACCAAGGAGTGCGGAGGAACGAGATGGGGGGGACCCGAGAACTTCTCTGGCATGACTTACCAAGGGGCGAAGTTATGATGGATTTTGAGGTAATCCATTATGTCCTCGAGGGACTTCTTCTCGTTGATGTACAGCTGGAAACATAGCTTCTCGTGGGCGTCCCAATCATAGACCATGCTCTTTCATGTGCAATACACCTGCGCATCGGCGTCAAATGCGTTTCGGGTCGAGGATCGTGGGGACTCGAGGTTGCGCAAGTGGTTGGTTGGGTCAGCCGTACTGTGCCAAGATGGTCCACACGGTCGCGCGGGGACTGTCCTGTTATCGTGGTCTTATCGAGGTGAAGCCGGTGAGCTTCGGTGGTCACTTGTATGGCTGGGCAGCTGCATTGAGGTCATATCTTGTCGATACCAATCAATCCACGATGAAATCCTCTTCAGTCACTAAATTTTAGAGTTGCACGACATTCATGCCAACTGAATCTGGCATTTTCAAACTCCTCCCAGCTCCAGGAGTCCCGTAGTGCGACCTCAGAGTACGGTACCCTCGGTGGTTCAAGTGAGGATCTGCTGACACAAACGCATTCTACGAGCAGAGGCAGCTCCTCTGTGGCCGTCTGTATGGTTTGCATCCAGCATTGTGCTTTCGACTCGTGGAAGTTGTGAATGTCAAAAACAAGCCTGGGCTCCATGGCCAAGTGGCGTTCATTAATTACCATGCCGGACCTCGGTATCCGGTTGTTGGCGTGTTTCCCCCTCCATCTCCAACCTCAAGCTTCGATCAAAAGAAAGTATATCTCAATTTCATGTAATCGTCACGCCTCATCATCGAATTTGCAACTTCTGTCACCAAGCTTGATAAAATTGCCGTGTTTCTGAACACAGCGGCTCGTGGTTCCAAAGATTTCCGACTCAACTGCACTTCCCAGGCCATCACCATGTCCAACCTCCCAGAAAGCTACAACACCCTCACCCTCCCCAAATCCGCCTCTCCCATCACCCCCCCTCCTCGCCCACGCCGACCCCCGTGATCGTCCTGACCCTCGACCGCCCCTCCGCCCGCAATGCCTTCACCGACACAATGGCCTCCTCTCTCGCCCGCGCCTATACCCTACTCTCCGGCGACCCGCGCGTCAAGTGCATCGTCCTCACGGGCTCGGACCCGGAGAACCGCACCTTCTGCGCCGGCATGGATCTCCACCAGCCCGTCAGCCTCCCGGGCACCCGCGATGAGCACCGCGACACGGGCGGCGTCGTGGCGCTGGCGATGCACAACTGCAGCAAGCCCGTCGTCGCTGCCATCAACGGGTCGGCGGTCGGCGTGGGCATCACGATGACGCTGCCTGCTTCCATCAGGGTCGTGTCCAAGACCGCAAAGGTCGGCTTCGTGTTCGGGCGGAGGGGTTTCAACATGGAGGCTTGCTCGTCCTTTTACCTGCCTCGCCTCATCGGCGCGGGGCCTGCGCTGCATCTCGTCACGACTGGCGCCGTGTACCCGGCCGACAGTCCGTTGCTACGGAACTTGTTCAGCGAGATTGTTGCGCCGGAGCAGGTACTGCCGCGAGCACTCGCCATTGCGGAAGACGTTGCGGCGAACGTAAGCACAGTTGCCGTCAAGGTCATGCGGGACATGATTTTGCGATCACCTCAATCGCCCGAGGAAGCGCACTTGCTGGAGAGTAAAATCTTTTTTGACTTGTTCGGCGGCAAAGACAGTAAGGAGGGCATGGAAAGTTTCATGCAGAAGCGGGCGCCTCGCTTCGAGGCAACAATGGGGAAAGACGCGCCCAGTGCGTATCCATGGTGGGAGGAGAAGGACATAAAGGCCAAGATATAGCTAATTGTAAGAGCCGAGTATAAATGACAATAGGAGAGGTATCAAATGTGTTTCCCCATGCAGCCTAGAGCTGCGGTATCTAGCATCCCCATTCTTCAGACAGCCACCAATGTCTTCACGGCCTGTACTTCCACAAGTTCGGGTCAAAGATGATATCGTACTCATTCTTCTGGAATGTGCCAATGGCGCAGCTCAAGTCGTGGTATCCCTCGAGTCCAGTGACTGGTAGGTCCTGCTCGGCGTCACTCTCCTCGTGGAGGTTCCAGCTACCAACAAGTCTGCCGTCTCGGGTGAAGAAGATGTCGACGCTCATGCTGCCACCCTGGGCCGTGAAGGACATGCCAATACCGAGCGTCTCGCCGGGGCGAAAGGGGTCCGTAAAAGTCTTGCCGCCCCACCTGTCATTGATGTACTTGTGTCCATCATCACCGTGGACTGCGAGACTGCCGCGGTGCCATCCTGGAAGTCGGAAATTGGGGTAGGGAAGTGCGGTAAAGCCAAGGGCGAGGTCGACTTCTCTCGCCGAACCGCGGACCTTGACTTCGTAGTAGATTTTGAAGGGACGGCCCGTGGCGTGAGGGGAGTGCGTCTTGACCGAGTAGAGAGGCGGGAACCCGATGATGGTGCTATCCGGGGCGTTTCTCTGTGTAGCGACCTCCCACTTGCCCGAAACCGGCTGGCTCATTGTTCCGCGGAACCCTTGAGGCTGGAGCAGCCATATTCTGTGAGTGCGCAGGGCTTCCAAGGCGGTGGGGTCCAGGTCGATGGGCTGGACGAGAGGGTACTGGCTGACCCACGCCTCACCCGCCTCGGCTTCCTGTTCCGTAGAGTTGTTCGCGGGCGAACGATCAAAACCGCTGAAGAAGGCGGGCGGCGGCGGGAAGAGAGTCGTGTCTGGAACCGCAGCCTCCCAGTCGTGCTTTGGCTTCGAATCCGATGGCGGCGGACCCGGTGGAGGAGCCGTGTAGTCATTGTGAGCAGGGGGAGGGCCTGGCGGCGATGCAAAATCGCTCTGCTGGTGAGAGGGAGGAGGTCCTGGCGGCGGAGCGTATCCTCCATGTGCCGGGGGAGGGCCGGGAGGAGGCGCGAAGTCGTCACTCCGACCCGGTGGCGGGCCGCTCGGAGATGCATATGACTGACTGGGGGGCGGGCCGGAGGGAGGGCCATAGTTACCAGCCGAACTCTGACCCGGAGGTGGACCAGCCGGCGGCGCGTACTGAGGTTGCTGATTGCTGCTCATCTTACTGTCCTGCTGCTGGTCTGAGGGAGGTCGTTGCGCGGGACGTGGGGCAGGACTATCATCCTTGTCGGCCTTGCTGCCGAAACACATCTTGAGAAGAAGAAAAGGTTTGAGGCTCTCGGAAGAGATTTATGCAGTTCGTCTAGTGTCAGAAGTGGCTAACGAGTCGCGGAACGCTGGGTCGGAATCAATGCTGTGGGGGTGGACGCCTTGACGTCAAAATAGAGCTCGAGCTTGAGGACGCAGCTTTAGGATCCGAAACGCTTGGAATTAAGGCGACTAGGGGTGGCCAAATGGGCGAGATACTGAGGGGGGGAAAAGTCGAAGTCGTTCAGCGTCGCAAATGATGATGGGGTGCAGCGATGATACAGTTTAGGGGCGACTGAGGCGTCATATGAAGAAGCGAGGGTGGCTGTGTCGTATAGGTTGGTGCTGAGTGATTCAAGGCAGACACTAACTAGACTGGACCGGTCATGAGGGAACGATTGTGAAGCTGTCCGCAATAGGTAAGATGCCCCGCTTTTTGCTCAGCTTGGAGGTTGGCTGCCCCGCAGAGCAATGCAGCTCCCCACAGCAACAGGAAATGTACGAAGGTACGACATGCAAGCAGCTTTGGTGCTTCAGCATTTGTGCTGTTTTCTGGTTGTCATGCTGCAAGGTGAATGTGCGAGTATCTCGCCAAGGTCGCTGAAGGCAACCAGTGTTATCACCCTTGAAACTCGTTTGGGGAAGGAATTGTGTAACCAACGGCTATGCTAATCCCTCGCGTCCAGGACAAAGACACCAGCCACCGCCACTGCTTCGGGGAGGCCGCCCACCGGATCGCCTACCCTGAACATCACCGGCTAAACCGGGCGGGAACTGGTGGGGAGGTCGGCGCAGCTAACGTTTAAGCTTACCGGGTGGGCCAAAATCTCCAACATCAATCTCACCGAGAAGCACCGCGTGAAAGCTCCTCAAAGGTCTCGGTTAATCAGGCCTCGGTAGTTGTAATCCGCTGCTCGAGTCTGACTGGTACCCAATGGACATCCTACATGGCCTGGTGGGAAGGCAACTTGACTTCACCGAACAGACAGTATGAATAGTCCCGATCGATTCCTGCCGCGAGAGTGATCCCAATGGTCGCCACGCTGATCGCCCATCCGGGCAATGCTGGGCACACTGGTCCCGACCAGCCTAAACTCCCGCCCAGCGAGTCCACGGCTGGGCCAGGTTCCAGTACAGTACAGAACCTTCCAGACGCTGAAGCCAGACCGCGAAACAGTCGCTCGCACATGCCCCCGGGACGGCTCGACCGTTCGCGCGCGGTCAAACGGCCAGAGAGGAAGGGCACAACTTGCCATCACTCTTGCGAACACTACTTCGAAGATTGACCGCTTACGTGTCAGGCAAAACGATCAAACTACATGAGCATATCCATCCAGTTACGGTTGGCGCTAGGCCGTTTCGATGACGTGAGGATGGAAATTCCTGACTATGCTGACGCAACAACTTTTAGCAAAAGACCTCGCCAAAAGATGCTATTAGAGGGCCCTGCTCACGAACCGTATGGGGTTTAGAAAGCGCCGATACGCTCATAAATGTAGATTTCGCAATAGTACCAGTATTGCTAGACAGACGACTGAGCTGTCGAGACAAATATGATGGTCACAGGTAGTGTGGGAGTTTGCACTTTTGATGGAGAAAAGTAAATGTATATTCGGCATTGAATGGACTATGGTCGCTGTGAAACGAAAAATTGCCACTATCGTTACTGCCGTTGCAAAGCTTGGCAGAATTGCTGCAAACTTTTGTGAAGAATAAGAACCCCCCAAACCTAAACCGTCCCCTGTTCAAAAGAGCCGTCCGACACGTGGATGCCGAGACAGCCAAGTAGAAGTGAAAAGAGTCATGAAGCTTCGTAAGTTGCCCTTCACCAACAACCACTTCCCCATAAACCACACAACCGGCTCAATCAGAGAGCCAAAACACCTAACCATATCCTACAGGCTTAAGCGCCCATGGAGCTGGCCTCGTTCGAGTTGGGATAGAAGAAGGCCACCACGGCGATGATGATGTAGGTCGCGCACAATAACGCACCCTCGAGGTAGTTACTCCTTCCGTCGAGAACCAAGAAGTTGACGATGAAGGTCGAGACGAAGAGACAGACGGTCTCGAAGAGGGTGAAGTACAGTGACATGTCACGGTCCAGGGCCCAGCCGATGATGACGACGATTGGGGTGATGAAGAGGGCGATTTGGATGGAGCTGCCGACAGCGACACCAATGGCGAGATCCATCTTGTTCTTCATGGCGACAGTGACGGCCGTAACGTGCTCAGCAGCGTTGCCGACAATGGGGAGGATGATGAGACCGATGAAGATCTCGCCGAGAGGGCTGGTCTCAACGACCTCGTTGATGGAGCCGACAAGGAACTCGGCACAGACGGCAACGAGGGCGGTGGAGAAGAGCAGTAGGAGAATGGCGGCAGTGCGGGACAGGTGATCGTTGTCAACGACCTTGTCATTGACGCCGAGGCCGATGTTGACCGTGGCCACGGGGATCTGTGCCGGAAACATACCACCGGGGGCGCGAACGTTACCGCCATACTGGTTGAGGCGGTCGGGCAGGGAGTTGGTGCGACGGATGCCGAAGCGGACGCGGGGAACCGGTCCGGCAGAGGGGGCGAGGGCCATGGATGGGGAATCGGAGCCCGCGGTGAAGACAGCCGGGGCGAAGTTCTTGATAGATAAACCGCGAAGGCCGGATGCGGGTCTGGCGCGGGAGCTGGGGCGAGGGGTGTCGGTAGCTTCAGCTTTAGGTGCGACACCCTGGTTTGCAAAGTCAAAACGCAGGGGTTCACCAGTCTGAAGAGGGGTTTCGGCCTGTCCGCTGATAATGGGCTCGTGATCGTCGGTGTCGACGAGGCCGCCGCGAGAGCTCTTCTTCGACTTCTTGTGGTACTTGTGGTGACGTTTTCGATGCTTGCGATGCTTGCGAGACTTCTCCTCCACAACCTCGTCACTGCCGCCCGAATTGAAGCAGGGGATGGCGGGGCGGCTATCGGACCCCTCGGAGCCGTGAGAGGTGCCAACGGAAGGGGTACGGGTTCTAGGGAGGCCGTCTGTGTTGACGGAGGCCACACTGGACTTGCGCCTTCTACCAGCGCGCATTACCTTTCTCATTGTCTTGCGGACGGTGCCGCCAGAGCTGCCCGAGCTGTCCGAATCCATGTCTGAATCCGAGCTGTCTTCGGAACTCGATGAGTCGAAGAAGCCAATGGCCGGACCTGGTGCGGACTCGGCGTCCACAATGTGCTGTGGAGTGGACTCATACATGTAGGCATGAGACTTGAGCTGGAAGAGCAGGTACAAGATGTACACCAGGAGGAGGATCTATTTATGATGAGCATAGAACTTGTGATAAACCGTCTCGAGGTGAACTGCTCACCACACTGGTACCGCGGCTAATCTTCAGCGTCTGGTCTTCGGCCTTGAAAGTGTTCTGGAAAGAAGCGTGGAATGCCGTCTGCAACCTTGTTAGCGCCTGCAAAGATTCAGTCGGCGGACGAGGCGCATACGGGCAAAACCAAGCTGATGACGCTCAAGCTGAGCAGACAAGCACTCATCTGGGTGACGGTGCTGTTGTAAATCTAACGTCCCTCGTCAGTACGAAATTGCAAGCAACGTCAAGATTCATGGACTAACCTGCTCACGGAAGCGCAGGCCACCGAGGAAAAAGGACATGCCCAAAATGAGCAGTAGGTTGGCCAAGATGGACCCGAGGAGGGAAGCCTGAACGATGCGGATTTCATTCTGTTTAGGAGATTAGCGGAGGGTGCCTTGTCAACCGAGAGTTGGGGGAACTAACCTTGACAAGCGCGATGCTGTATAGTTACAAAAAGATGTCCATGTCAGTCATACCGAAACGAATTATTACTCTTGAAAAAAACAACTTAGGCAATGAAGATAGGACAACGATAGGAAGGAAACATCTGCACGATTTGGGACTCGATTGATGGGATAGTGTCTTTTTTCTTGGTGAATCGACTTCTCTCGTCTTTCTCGTCTTTCTCACCCGCAGAGGGGCAGTAGTAACATACATGCTAGATTGCAGAAATAAGCATTAGCCAAGACTGCGCCAAGAGATTTGAGGGCTGAGGATTCGAAGCCAAGATGCAGGGTGCGACACGGCCAAGACAGTTGCCAAGGCGGGCCACGCCAGAATTTCCGCATCTTGCCCCTCCTCAACAGAGCTCCCCCAACGCCATCCTTGTGGTAGGATTGACAAAGGGGAAAGTCAAGACGGGTGAGCGGTAGAGACTTACAAGATAATCAACTCAACGGCATTGCCGAAGGTCACGTTCAGGAGGGCGCCGATGGTATCGCCGAGCTTGCTGGCGACGGACTCGGTGGCGTGGCTGAGCAGGCCGGCGAGGGGGATGATGGCGATGGCGTTCATGGCGAAGACGATGCCCGGGTTGAGGTGGAGGGCCTCGACGACGATGCCAATGGGCACGAAGACGAGGAGCACGTTGACCCAGCTGTGGAACAGGATCATCTTGCACGTGAGGTAGAAGCGGGTGAAGACGGGTATCTTTGGCTTCTGATCGGAGGGTTTGTTACTGGTCTCCCGGGAGGAGACGGCGCCGTCGCCTACGAGAGGCCCCTGCCGCGAAGCCTCCTTCGATGCGGCAACATCCTCGAAGGTGCGGGGGCTGGTTTTGTCGGTGATGCCGTCCGGGTAGCCGAGAGACGAGCCGGCGACGGCGATGTGATGGGGAGAGACACCGCTGGCGGCGCCATGATTTCTGCTGGCGGTGGAAGCCGTGGTGTAGGTTGTTGCGTTGTTACCTCGCTGGGCCGCGAGGAAGGAGGACGACTTGCTGGACAAGTTGCGGGGGAGGTCGGTGATTATGTCTGTCGGTCTACCTGCGTCGTCGGATCGATTCGAGGGGCTGCGAGGGGCGCCATGCGCGGATCCGGGTGCACCAGAGCGTACGCTGTCTATATTGGGGGGATCAGGGGAGGCTTTCTTCATCGAAATAGATAACCGGACACTCGTGTCTCGGTGGGAGGGCGATGGACGGGGGGTTCTCTTTGGTTGAGGGGGGAGAGATAGTGTGTTTGTTGTTGTTGTTGTTGTTGTTGTTGTTGTTGAGAGGTAAAACTGGGTTGAAGACTAGCTTCGGGGAGGAGAGTAAGAAGTGCGGTCTACAAGGGGAAAGAGAAAGAAGGCCAAAAGGAATTGTGGTCGGACGCGACGAAGATGAGGGATGCTTTAAAGGCTCGACTAAGCCATGGGATAGAGGGCAAGTAGGCAGGTACTTTGGAGAGGGAGACATGGGTGGGCATAAGGTAAAGGCAACGTCGCAGACCACGGACCGGGGGAGGCAGGACGACGTACGCGCACGAGTCTGCTGCACACCTTATCCTAACCTTGCAGCGGTAGGCTTCCCCGTTCCCGCCGTCCCAACACCTTCCCTGCCGACCGGCCACATACCGTACAGGTACACTGTACGTACCGGAGGCGGCGGCGGCGGCGAGGGAAAGAGGAGAGAGTAAGGCACATACCTACCTACCTACCTACCCTACACTACACTACACTACACCCCGAGAACGAGCGATAGAGAGACACAGAGAGATACGCAAAACAAGCTGGGGCCTGCGCCGCGACAAACAAGGCGGCAGGGAGTCCCTGTCGCCGCGCCTGGCATGCCCGGGAACCAATCGCTACCGTCGAAACGTCCTAGTGGATGAACCGCCGCCGGTCCCTGGCGAAGCTCAGTGCCAAATCCAGTAAGTGGCCGCTGGTCATGTGCCTCAGGCGGTTGATGGCTGCGCCCACAGTTTCTCCATCCCTTAGCCTCACTTCCTGACGGGTTCCACTCAGTGCGTCTGTCTCACTCTCTCCATTACCTACGGTATCTTCTTACCAAGTGATGGGGCCGCTGTTGTTTCCACGCTTCTCCTGTTTTTCCCTGAAAGCTGGAACAACCGATGATCAGCAATCAGCAATGCGGGCGGCATAATGGTGTCATTCGGTTGGACAAAGCGTAACACGCAAGTATGGAGCACACCGTACGTACTCGTACAGCTGTTCGTGGCGGGTTGGCCAAGCATTTCTCAGCGTTCTGGACCCGGGGGGGTTCACAAACAAGCCCACCAAGCTTTCGCCATGGAAACCGGTACGTACCTCTTCTCCTGTCTTGGTATCCTGCCCCGCGAGAGACGTCGACGGGCGCCATACTATACCGAGTACGACAAGGTCTGGATCTAATGCATGGTTGTACACATATGCTGCTGCCACTCGTCCCCCCCGTTCATCATCATCATCATCATCATCCTCCTCCTCCTCCTCCTCTTCATCATACACGATCCCCAACTCAGCAAATATGATATCACAGCTCATCAATCCGCTGCAAGGGAAGAGGCCTCTCCGCCCTCGGGATTTGCCCATTCAGTCTACCATATCGTCTGCCCCCCTCTCTCTCTTCCCCCCCTCGAGCCTCGACTGCCAAAGCGGCAACATCCTCAATGTCCTCCGTCTCGTCAATCGACCAACCCCTGCCTCAGAAGAGTCACTCACGGTGGATACGCGACCCAGACACTAATAAGCATTAACCTACACTGCAGGGGGAGACTGGCTTGACGGAAAGTGGGATGGGATTCCTTCCATTCTATGTAGGTACTGTACTCCCCGTGACCCCCCATTCATCCCTCCCTTCCCTCTGTGTGGTTTCCTCACAAACTCTCCCTCCACTCTGGTCGGACGTGGCACACGAGCAGAGCCTCAGGGAGCCACCACAAACAAATCGTGCATGTATACTTCGCCCCGTCCAAACATCGCTCTCGGGGCGCGGCCGAGACGAAGACGAGCCATCTTTCTTGCACCAGCCCGCGGTAACTCCATGCGTGCGAGAAGATGAACCTACGCCACATTGATGCCCACCGTCCCAAAAACTGGAAACCAGAACTGTTCGAAACTCATCTTCCTCCGAGAAAAAGGTCGATGGGCCGGAATAAGGTGCTTCGACCGGACGAGAGAACCAAGCGCAGCAGGCTCTTACACCAGCGCCCTACCCGCCCGAGCTTCTGAGCGCAGTGTGCCCCCCCCCCCCCCCCCCCCCCCCCCCCCCCCCCCCCCCCCCCTCCCGAAACCTTCCGGTCCATTGAGAAACAGAGAAAACGGCGAGCAACGGGTATATGCCCTCATCTTCCTTCCGACCCCAATCTCGCAACGTGCGCCAAGCATCGCCAAGGATGGCGAGTCCAGATGATGGGCGTAACGCAGCGAGAACAGAAATCTCGAAACAAGACCGGATTCCGAGAACCTTGCAACCTCTTCAGACAATGCCTTTGCCCGTTTTTTTTCTTTTTCGTTTCTGTTCTGCTCGTGAGAGGAAAACTGTAAGAAGCCTCGTCCAAGGCGAAAGCGAGCATCTCGTGGTATCGAAGAAGAATAAAAAGGGTCAATACTCACGAAGACATCGCAATCCACAATGGCATAGTCGGAAACTGCACTCCCCAGGGGCACGCTGCTTATCGGTCGGGGATCACCCTCGCACCCCCCGGCCTGACACCGCTGAAAATACCACACGTGTTGCGGGCATCTCTACGCGAAAACGATCCTCTTGCGCTGCAGCACGCTGTGCAGCAGAGTAGCATTCCGCCCGGCTATTCGCACCTTTTGCGAAGTCTCGACCTCCGCGGTGGGCGGAGGGGGTCGCGGAGACGGAGTCATGACCGCGCTGTCCCGTCCGCTGCAGTGTACGCTCAGGGCGCACGTGTGCACGGAACCACGACTCCAAACTACCAAGTCTCCCAAGCTTTCCCGGCCGAAGACAATGTTTCCCGCCTTGCTTTGGTTTCCTCCTCTCTCTCCTCTCCCCCCCTGAACACGGCAACACTCTATTCCATCCAACTTAATTCCCATCCGGCTAGTTTCGTTCCCCTTGCTTCTACAACCTAATTACAACTTCTGCAACGTCTGCGACTTCTGCGACTCGAAAGAAAATAAAATAGTAATCGAAAAAGCCGTCTGGGCACCCTTTCTGAGTGAGCCCTTGGGTTCGCGAGGTGGGGGGCCTCAGAAAGATGCATTGCTTGACAACCTCTTTCCAAAGTTCCCTCGAGTCTGTGAGTGGGCACCTTCAAAGATGCGTCACCCAAAACCACCACGGGACATGAATTGCAGGGATACGGGAATTCAAAGCTTCAACCTGCTCTGTCTCTGTCTCTGTCTGCTGGCCTCCATCAAACAAGCGCATTAGGTATGTAGACTACATTAGGTAGGTAGGTCATGCAAATCGCCAGATGCGCGCAGTACGTTCCTTGCATTATCAATCTACATGGCCTGGGCAAACAGTCAGAATACCTACCAATGGGGGATTCCCACAAACTTCCAAGCCGGTACGCGTGCCGGAAAGTGACGTCAAGCTCCATGGCGGCGCTCGCGATTCGCTTGCTCCCTGGTGCGGACTCGACTACGAATACCGCGCCACGCTCAGCCACAATACGAATACAAGGAGGGAGGGGGGGCGCGGGGCGCGGGGCGCAGGCGACGCAATGGCTTTCGGACGTGGCGGATGGAGTCCAGCAACAGAGAACCAAGGAAAAGAAAGAAAGAAAGAAAAAAAAGCATCCCGACTTTTGACGGATCGGTGTCCTCTTGGCCACCGCCAAGACATCCAGCGGGCCATCCCGTCATCAGCGCATTTGATCCGATCAGGGTCTCGGATGGGCACCTCTTTGGCTCCTCGCACTGCTTTCCTGTTTGCTGTCTTGGAGGAGGGAAATGATTACAACATGACTTCATTCTCATAGGGGCTGCTTCGCTGCCTTGCCGTTGGATACAGCTCATTATGTTTGATACCATTCACTACAATCCCTCACCAGCCAGTACGGCTGGCCGTCGCCTGCCTTCACTCTGTACACAATATGCTGCCTTACACGACGCGCTTCACAAGTCAAAAAGTCCGTTCTGATTCTGCTTCCTCGTCTTCTTCTTCTTCTTCTTCTTCCTCTTCTTCTTCTGTATCCTCAGTACGCCTTTGCCGCCGCCAGCAAGCAACCTGGGCCGCTGCTGTAATGCCATCAAATTAGAGGGGAAATGACAGGTTGAACCAACCACAAAAAGGCCTCGGTATGGGAGGCAAGAAAAACAACCAATCCGTCTGTACCAAAAATAATAATAAAAATTGAAAAAAACCCCCTTCCCATGAACCGTCGTCAACCGACGCAATAAAACCAACAAGCTTCCCTATTACGCGAAGAGAGAACCCACGAAAGAAACTCCTTCCACCATTCTAAGCCGGTTCGCCAACAATGCAGCAGGCGATTGAGACAACCATAAACATCTGACAATGATGCCAAGCGACCAGCCTGGTCTCCTCTTGGCTTGTATTCACACATTATAACCTCAAACCTCGCAATGAAAGAGGGCGGGTAAAAAAAGCATTGTGTCCGTTATCTCAGCGCTCAACTCGACGAGCGGGAGAGAGGCTCATCTGAGAAGACCGAGCACCGCACTACGGCCTCGGTCTCGAGATGACGGGTGGTGAGCAGTCAAAAGCATCGGGAGTGTCCTATCTCTCGTCGCCGCCCCTCGCTTTGCCGCGCCTCCGGAAGAAATCCATGACTCGTTTGGCGGCCCCGCTGCTGCCCTGGTGGCCGGCGTAGTCCGCGTCCGTGAATCTCTTAGTGTTCTTCTGCAAGACACCGGACCGGCCATTCCCACGGGAAGAGTTGAACTGTTGTTGTCGGTCATAGTCTTGGGACTCGGAAAACCCACCACCTTGGTACGGTGCGCTCGACTGCCTTCTCTGTTGTTGGACATTCTCGAACGACGATTCCGAACCGGTGTTGAGAACAGCACCCTGTTGCATGTAGCCCGGCACAGCGCTGGGTTGTCCAATTGGGCCCATGTGCTGCTGCTGCTGGTGGTGGCCTTGTTGCTGATTCTGCCAATCTTGGCGCTGGAGTTGCGGTGCCGAGTTGGACCCAGGAGGCTGTCTGTAACCCTGATCGTGGCCAACATCATAATCCCGAGACTGGTCTCGTTGATCCACGTATCGTCCATGCTCGTCAACCTCTGGGGGGTCTTGGATAGGCAGGTCGGGCTGAGACTGAGGCTCCGACGGCGGCCGATCGTAATCCCTGCCTATGCCGATGGCCCTCAACGAGAAAGACTGCGGGATCAATGAAAACCTTCTGTTTGGCTTTTCGTGGGAAGTCTGAGAACCGGCAATGCTGCCGCTTCTCTTCTTTCCGAAACTCCGGGAGAAGGATTGTCTTGACGTCCTCGAGTCTATCGAAGGGCGGGGCTGACCTTCAGCCGGCAAGTTGTTCGGCATGCTGACCGGAGGGTACTTACGGCTCTTGTCCGCGATCTGAGACTCGGGTCGTTTGTTGCGGTTCTTACCCCCGAAAATGGACCCGTTGCGACCCAGCAGAGAGCCGATAGTGTTGGAACGTTTGTGTCCATGACTCCTGCCGTCGCTCGACTGAGGCGGGGTCTGGGTCTGGCTTTGGCTCTGGGCGGCCTGCTGCTCTGGGGTAAATCCGGCAACCTGGGCAAACTTCGAGGGCACGCTGACACTGGGCCGCCCCATAGGCTGAGGCTCCTGGGAGCTGGGCTGTTGGATCCTTCCGTGAGCATTAGTGCCTGCGACGGCCGGGGGAATCGGTTGACCGTATGATGCACGGCTTCCAGCTCCCAGTCCCATAGAACCTGATGCCATCGAACCCCCCGTCTGAGGTCTGCCGGTCGCCGGCGCGCTTGGAGTCGAGGATGCAAACGCATTGTCGGATGTCGCACGGGTGTCGCGTGTGGGCCTGGAAGGTGGCGCCGCGGTGTTGCGATGGGAGCTTGGCGGGCGCGCGCTCTGCCGGCTAGCTCTGTACGAGTCTCGCGAGACGGGAGGGTCTCTGGGAAGAGGCTTCTCCTGAGATGTGTGGCCATCCGCGACCTCCACTGGGCCTTGACTGTTCGAGCGCGCTCGCGACTTGCTGACTGGCGGTGCGGCCTCTCCTCTTTGAGTTTGTGTCGTCGGGGCCACATACTCGACCTGCACGGTACGACGCTTGTTGTCCTTGTGCTGCTTCGCAATAGCGGCCGCCTCGGCATCCGTATCAATCTTGGCATGCTTGCTCGCAAGTCCTCCGACCGAAGTAGGGGCACTGGCTTTCGTCTTGGACGCCTCGCGAACCGATGCGCTACGTCCAATACCGGGTGCTTCCGCAAAGTCCTCTGAAGGTACGGTCGTGTGCTGGATCTCACTCGGCGTCGTGGTGCTACTAGTAATAAACTCCACGACATGAGCGTACTCGCTCAGCCAGCTGTGACGTGCCACCTCAAACAGATCCGCTCGTTTCCTAGGGTTGGGGACCAATATTCTCCGGAGGAGATCGCGTGCATGGGGAGTTACGTATTCGGGGAAGGTCAGGGGTGTGTTGACAATGTATTTGTACAGTAGGTTGATGTTGTCGCCCTCTGGGTTTGCCGGGTCATCGTCGAAAGGGAGGTAGCCAGCCAGCATAGCATACTGTTCCAATTAGTTTGCTGAAAACCGGTGCACGGAATGAGATACTCACCAGAATCACACCGCAGCTCCATACATCGACCTTGCGGCCGGTGTACAGGGAATCGCTGACAACAAGTTCTGGAGCAGCATAACAAGGACTGCCACAGCTAGTCTGCATCAGGTCGCCTTTCCTCGAGCCATTGGTCTTGATCCTGTCCAGACCCAGCTTCTTGACGAACTCGCGGTCGCCGAGATTCAGCTCCTCCTCTTCGGAAAGTTCTTCCTCAGCGTCAAATGTGTTGGCAAAGCCAAAGTCGGTAATGATGATGTTGCGGTTCCGGTCCAAAAGCAGGTTTTCCAACTTGAGATCCCTATGGACGATGCCCTTCTTGTGCAAGTAACCGACGCCGGAGACAAGCTGGGCAAAGAGTCTTCGCGCGGCGTTGTCCTTGAGATATCGGTGGTTCAAAATGTAGTCGAACAGTTCTCCTCCCGAAGCGTACTCGAGAATGATTCCAATATGCCTTTCGGTTTCGACCATTTCATGCAGGCGAACAATGTTGGGGTGGGAAATGCCTCGAAGGATAGCGATCTCACGGTAAATCTTGGCCAACCTAGAGGGGTTGTTGCCCACACTATCTCGCTTGATCAGCTTAATGGCGACCTGTTCCGGGTTTGTTAGCAAGAATTGCAGCAGAGGGGTTGGGCGGGTCGTCCACTTACTTGCACACCGCCATCATTCTTCCAACCAAGTTTGACTTTGCCAAACTCGCCCTCGCCAATCGTGTTGCCGAGGATGTAGTCGCCGAACCTGACAACCTTTTCGCGCTTCCCGGAGTGGTCTTGCCGGCTTCTGCCTCCTCGTCTGCCATCGTCGTGCTCAGACATGCCGATGGTCGGGGGTGGTGCGGCCTCATCGTGTGAAGACCCGACGTGAGTAGGTTGGGCCTCTGCTAGTCGCTCCTTTTCGCGAGCGACATCTACTTCGGGCTGAGAGACCACCATCCTGTTCAGAACCTCACTCGCTTCGCGTGAGGGCTGCTTGGGAGATGCAGTTGTCTGGGGTGGTGCATGTGATCGGACAGGAATCACGGTTGGCTGGCTTCCGGGTCGGTTACTAGTCGACCGGTGAGGCGAATCAGGTGCCATTTGCTGATGTGATCGTCTACTACGCGAGGCAGATCCGTCGTCTGAGTAAGTGTAGTCGGCGTTGCCGTTTGTGCCATCTGCTTGACCGCGTCGCGGTGAAGAAGTCGCCTTCTCGACAGCGTGATCGCGTCTTTTTGTGGTAGCGGTGGTCGTTGCACCCGAGTAGTTCGTCGAAGACGTTCGAGGGGGGGCGATTGGAGGCATGTTTTTGCGTTGTTCGGATGAAGAAGACTGGTAGTCTGGGGAGGAAGGCGCAATAGCGACGGGATTGGCGGGAGCAGCTCGGGACGTCATGGGCGAAACTAGATGCGGACTGTTTAAAGACGCGCCGGTTCTGCTTGGTCGACTCGAGGGGCGTTGTGACAATGCAGGAGAGGCAGAGTTGTTTTGCAGATTGGCATTGTACGCCTCGCGGGTCGGGGAGGGGTGGTTCGACGTGTAGTGGTGGCTGCTCGGTGAGGCGGCAGGTAAAGGCGGTGATGTTAAAACTGGTGATTGATGGGCAGGCTGCAAAGCGGCCGAGGACATGCTCTTGCGACACTGGAAACGCAAGCGCGCAGAAAATAGAGTTCCGACTGGGAGTCGCCCTAGTTTGGCGTGTTTTGTTTCGCGGATATCGCTAAGATATCGGTCTGCGATGTTGGTGCGTTTTTTTTGAGTAGGAGCCAAGGGAGGCTGGCTAGCTGGATTGCTGGCGGAGATTTGAGAAGCGAAGGAAGAATCCGTAAGCGATAGATTTCCCTTTTCTGCGAAGGAAAGTTGCTCGCTGGGCACCAAGTTTCAGGACGCAGGAATTATTGAGCTGCAGGAATTAATTCGTCCAGAATTGGGATGGGACGGACAAGCCCGATTGGAGGTATTATGGTCCTTGGGTAGGTCGTGTTGTCGACTGTCTGCTGTACCAATGAACTGGGCCAGTCTATCTCATGGTGCGGATGGAAGGGGTCGCTTGTGTTTGCTTCCCTGGCCAAGGGCTGCTGCGATTTGTTGTTTACTGTGGTATTGCAGCTTGACCCAAACGAAAGGTGTCGGCGACGATCGTCCTGGGGGTGGAGGGGATTCGAGTCAATGCTGCAGCGAAAAGACGCGACAAGGGGTGGTCGCGCAGCGCACGCACTCTGTTGTGAACGGCTGTGCGGCTAGTCGACGCAGCTTTGAACCTGTGCCCTCTTGTGTTTCTGCCTTGTCCTTGACACCGTCCGAAACCAAACGGGGTTGCAGACAGGAGGTAGAATAAGTGAGCGAGGGGAGGAAGAGAGAGAGAGAGAGAGAGAGAGAGTGTGTGTGTGTGTGTATGTGTGAGTAGAGGCGGCGGAAAGCTGTGTCGGTGAGGTGAACCCTGGTCAAAGGGAGGAGGCTGGCCGGAATCTGGCGGCAGGAGGCCGAGATGTTGTCAGGAGCCCCTTTGTCAGCCCAATTGAGGACGTCCGGCCTGGGTCATGTAGCAGAAGGCTCTCACGATACAGGATAACAACGGCGACAACAGGGACGGGCGCGCGGACCCTGGTCTATGTCTGGACTCCTGTGTCGATGGGCAAAATTGTCGATGGCGCGCGTCTCTACCTTCGTGGGTTCGAGGCTAGCGGCAAGACTATCGGGGCGAAGTTGGATCGTCGGTCGGAAAAACAACACAAAGGCACACTGACACAGACGACCAACGAAGGAGGTACTTCGTCCTATAAGGTCAGGTACGGGTGGGATAAGGCGAGGGTGAGGGCCCAACTTGAAGCGAGAGGCAGTGGGAGGCGAGATGTGGAGGGCGATTGGAGTCGGCCAGACCAGAATGAGTGAGACAGGCGGGATTGGGAATAGCCCTTGTCTTGGCTTTGGGCGAGGGAGAAAGAGGGAGGCAGAACGAATGGAACGGTCAGACTATCCGCGTTCTCGTTGGAGTAAAATTGACGAGATGAGACTTGGGACGAGCCGGTTGCAGGACGCCCGATATTTGGAACAGCGCAACGCGGATCGCGACGAGGAGCAGCCCAGCAAAGCAAGGCAGAGAGTAGCTCGGAGCGCGGGAGCCCCAGAGCCAGAGAAGGGGAGAGAGATTGGAGTGAGAGGGCGTGCGGGCGGGCGGGCGGGCGAGCGAGCGAATGAATTGCTCAGATGGAGAGAGCAGGTCCCGTCGTGGTCGAATCCAAGGTAGCTCCTCGGGGGTATCGTGTACTTGCAGGGGTGAGGTGCAATGCAAGTACCGCCCAAAGAAAGTGAAGGCGGAGACGTGCGTGGGCCTAAGGGGGGGAAAAGCGGGGAAAAGGGAGCAGCTGCGGTACATGCAACCTGGGAGCGGATGCAGGTACCAGATACTCGCTGATATCCGCTAATGCTGCCACTACTGCGATATGCAACCGCGACTGCGACGGGTAGTTGATTGCTTCAAAGGTTGGAGCGTTGCTGCTGCTGCCAAGTCTGACAATCCACCGGCGGCCATGCAAGTGGGAGGATTGCAAGAGACTCGGAGCGGGATATGCAGCTCAAAGGGCTCAAAGGGCGAGGATACGACGTCGAGGAGTAGCGGAGGTGAGGTGAGGTGAGATTGAGTCGAGCTGAGCTTCGGAGAGGGAGACCAGGGGAAGCTGCATTCGATCCGTATCGCTGTAACAAGGTATCGGCTCTGTGTTCCCGCTTCAACTGAGAGATTTGACCGTTGCCGCTCAGACTGCTCAATCAGGAATGGGGAGATGCCGTCTCGTTCAAATTATCTTCTTTTGCGGCTGTCCAAGCACCACCACCGACGGCTTTTCGGAGGGGCGGCGTAGGCAAAGGGAGGGGGGGGGGCAGCTTTCTCTTGTTGTTTCCTTTCTCCCTTGGAGGGGAGGAGGGAGGGTGTGGGTGGGTTGTCCGATCCAGCTTGGTCGATTGCTTGGTTCCGTATCCTCCTGGCTCGTGTTGCTCGCCCGAGGGTATTTAATAATTGATTACTCCTCTCGAACAATTTCCTCGATGCACTGGCGTCCGGAATGGATTGATATTCCCTTTCGTCACAGACGAGAGAGAATCGGCAGGCGAGCGGGTGTTCTGGACGAAAAAAAGCCAGGCTGCCTGGTGCGGCAGCTTGTGATGGACAAGTCGAACAATGAATGTTTTCCACTCAGGTCCACAGAAGGTAGGAATTGTCGAGTCTAATTTGCTACGACCTGGTTTGTCTGAGCTCGGGTCTCAGCCCAAGCAGTAGCTTGTGTAAGTTGGGAGGTGACTTGTGTAAGACTGACGGCGTCGCACAACAACCGAAGGAAACGTGGCTGTGGCTGATGCTGGCGCGGTTTCTTATATTTATTCGACGCCGATGATTGGCATGCCTCGGGTTCGACAATGAGAGAGTTCTGCTCGTAAGTGTCGAAGGGAGCCTCTGGAATTCAATCCTAACCACCTTTCGAGCCCGGTTGACTAAGGCAGTCGTTGATTTGAGCAAGATGCGGAGAGATGGGAGGAAAGTGTCCGGCAAGAAGGAAATGGAAGGGAAGGAGGGCAGGATAGAAGCGACCGGGGGAGGCGGATGGCGATGAGAGAGAAGGAAGGAGAGATGCAGATACGGAAAGCCCCAAAACTAGCTAGCACTCCTGCCTCGACTACTCGGGTAGACTACCTCATTCTACCTGTTTTCTCAGTCGATGAAATATTCATTTTTCTTTTTCCTCCAAGAAATTTGTTCTCGTCATCTCCCTCACCACACGTCCCACGGTCTCCACGACTCAATTTCTGCCAGGCCCTCTAGCTTCCCCAGTTCCTCTATTTCGTCGGGATGCGGCCTCAAACGTCCCAAACGGCGTCCGAGCCTGTCCTCGAGCTTGATCTTTACAGCTTAGACGCGGTCTTCCAAGGCGCCAACTCAGCAAAAAGGACGGCAAAGTCTTTTTGACACCAAGTCAACTCGGTCAAGCGAACCGGCATCAAGCCTCGACGCGGCGGGCCACCGCATCCGAGAAGACTCACCAGTTCCCACCCTACAGGCCCCGGCGGAAATCCAACTTCATGCCCGATCCCATGTGCTTCAACCTTCGAGAACGGGTGGCCTTCCAGCAAGGATCATCGCAGGCCACGCAACGAATCTTCCCGGCGCTCGCCCGTTGGCTCTCTCGTCACCATCTCCTTCTTTGTGTGACAAGAGCCTGCTTGATGACGACAAGGAAAGGAGAAACAACTCGCCTGGGACTGGTCAACTGTGGAATCTCGAGGTGTGAAAGTCTGGGTCATCCAGCAGCATCGCATCATCTTCCAAGCCTACCGTGCAGCACACCATCGGAAATGTAATGCGATGCATAATGAAAATGGGTCTGGCTCCCACAAGCTCGTGAAATACAGCTCCCCACGATTCATTGCTAGCGAGACTAGTATGGAAGAGTTCAAGGTTATGGCACACGTCCAACTGCATTGAGGATATCTGCCATCTGATCATGCAGCAGCAGCAGCAAGAGTAGAAGCAACAGAGTCGCATCGCGATTTACCTTTGTATCCAAATGGGTCAGCTTCAAACAAACGCCGCTCATCCCTGCTCGTCCGTTGGCCATTCAGGCGACAGGGGCCAGGATGGGGACATGGTCCAGGGGTCTTGTCATTCTCGCTTGTCATCATCATCATCAGAAGCACCAGTTGCTGCAAGCGCCAGAGCCTGCCCAAGCGTCCGTTCGCAACAATTTGGATTTCGTCCGATCCATTTCCATCCTGACTGTCACCGGTTGATGGATTGGTGGAGGCACGCCGCATCCAGTCAGTGAATCGCGTACAACACAGCAGCCGATGAGTCTCCTCTGCACTCCACCAGCCACGACGCGATTATGCGAAAACAGGGTCGTCCTGTCTGTTGTGGCATAGTGGCATAGGCTTGCTTGTTCTCACGCTCATGGCCGCAGCGAGGTCCCCTGCATTGACGTGGCAGTATGCATTTCTTCAATTACCGTCCAGAGCCTGACTGGCTGGCAGCCAATGTTTGCGAGACCGGACGGCCGACCACTCGCCTTCAAATAACAGATCGCATGTTTGCGCAGCAACTGTCGTGCAGCTGCCGACCTCCCCACGCATCCATTTCGACGGCTCTGTCACCATCTCATCTTGGCTGCCTTATGCGCACTAAAGCGCCAGATTCAATGCCTAGACTGTACATCAGGCGAGGTTCAATTACGCGCAACATTGGCCGATCTTGAGGCACCATCCCTTGCCATGATGGAGTTGCCTTCATCTTACTCCTCCGGATGGTCTGCCAAGCGTCACCTGGTAATTATTGTACTACTGAGAAAGTACGCACGTACTTGCCATCAAGCTAAGTCTCCAACAAATCCCTCGACCTTTTTCTTTTTCTTTTCGAACGCTTCCTTTCATGCCGAACTTCTCTGGCATCCCTGATTCGCTCGACTAACCTCTGCTGCATTCCTTTGCCTTTCCATCGTCCCATCCGTGCGGCCGTGATACCGTGTTGCACGTCCCGTACGGCTCCGTCACACTTTTAACATTCGCCTGTCTTGAATCCGCTGATCCACTGGCGGGAAACATAGCAATCTACTGCTATAGCTGGCGTTATATGGGTGGTCTTATGTAAGACGAGACATCTTTTGCGACCCTGTTATTTGACGCATCCTAGGCTGTTCCAACGCCACGCCGGGCATTTGTTGTGGATGCATGCAACCTTGGCTCGAGCATGCCCGGAGCTGACGATTCAAAAGAGAGTACTTTTTTCAAGTCGCGCCTCGGCATGCCTTGGCCATTTGCTCCCGCGCAAAAGCAACACTGATAGCAGACGACCAGAATGATGAGCCTGTCGTTGACTCTGCAGAGTCTGCCCGGGAAAGGAAGTCAAGTCGATCGAGCATTGATGTCGGAGATGAGGCGCACGGCGTGCTACAAGGGTCAGCCTGCTCCGGCGCAGGGCTCAAAGTATGGACAACTCAGAGCCCTCCGGCTCAACTTGCGAATCAAGTGGTGCGATGGCCAGGTCACAAGTCATGTCCCGTTGCATCCACTGCCGCATCTCTCAAGGCTGCTCAAATCCTGTAAAGCACGGGCTATTGGAGCGCATTGATGGTGTCCAACTGTGCAGTTCAGGCCATTCCGGCTGTCACCGCCATCATCAAATCAAACAGTCTTAACACTCGTCTCCCCGGGTCTGGATCAAGCGAGCTGCCCCATCGAGAAGATCTTCCCGGGTCAACCCAGCCAGGCTCGGCACTTGGGCTCTGCGGCGTGCGTTATCCAGTGACATCATCCCAGCCTTCCTTCAGACGATGCGACGTTTCGCTGTTGACCCGGCCGAGCCGTCGATGATAGTCGCTCATCGCCCGCTGGACCCTGGGCTTATCTTGGCGAGTGTAACGACCCCTCACTCGAAAGGATCGCCGTCTGGCTGCCTGAGTATCGCTGGCGACAACCGAATGTGCTGGTTGGCTTGCGACTAACAAGGCTGAGATGGAGATGTTTATGCTGGCCCATTTGACAACCCATATGGGCGATCCCACTTAGACAGTCCCAGAAAATCGCGAAAATCGCGACGCGTTTTTATCCACCCCCAATCACGCCCATTTGTCTTCCATTAGACGTTGTCCAACATCAATATACAATGGAGACGGCCCAGCTCGTGGACTCCAGGGACGACCCCAGTAGGCATGCAAACATTTCATCGTCCATGGACCGTATCCGGACATTGTGTCCCTCTGCGGGGCATCTACGTCCGCGCCACAAGGTAGAGGAGACGCACGCACATATAGAGCCGACGCGCTCAACTATGCGAGAGTACGCGGTCTGTGCCATGCGAGATGACGAACGGTGTTCCCGATGAACTGGGCAGGGAACCTGGTCTGCCATTCGTGTTTCCTGGTTGTCCTTAGTCCATCCTTCCCAGTCCTGCCTTGCTTTCTAGAATGATTCCAAACCCGGTGGAGTGGATGGCTTTGTTGGACCGAGCGTTAGACGAATTCGAATGCGATCTTTGGTTCTTTGGAAGAAGCAACGTCGGCCAGGTTTGTGCGGGTGGGATCTTTGTTCATGTCCTGATGAGCTCTCACCGCAGTCGTACAACCGGCATGCAGGCTGATTTGTAAAATCAACATCAGCCTCGGGGACAGTTCCTTTTGCGACGGACGGCCGTCGTACGTGACCAAATGGAAGCTGTTTCCCAACGAGGTACAATTCAGTAACGTATCGCTCCGGATTTGTTGGGGTTAGCATTGAATGTTTGTTGCTGGTACCCAGGTCATCATTCAAGGAGACTGTGCCGTCTGCCCCAAGCGTCGCTGACACGTGAGTCCCAAAACCATGTCCATATTTATGCTATTGCCTTCGAATATGCATGGTTTATGTAGACGATGGGCTCCTGGAGGGCCCTGGGACGCAATACTAGAAACTCTCCCGCTACTGCTCTTTCGTCTTTGTTGACCAGGTGGTCGCGGATCACAAGAATGGGATATCGATTGGCATATACACAGATTTAGATATGTTCAGGTGCTTTACAGCTTGATAGAGATGTTGTACGCATCCAGGCCGAGGGCAATGCCCGTAACGGTTCCGCTGTACCCGATCAGGATGCCCATGGTCGCCAGCGGCCCAACGTGTAGCGTTGGCACCGTCATGTTGACCAGGCCAGTCAGGACGTTGGCAATCAGGAACAGGAATAAGCCATTGCGGTTATACGCGCGGAGGAGCCTGCTTGTGGCTGTCTCGTGGGCCTCCTTCTCCGCCTTTGCATCGGTAGCGTTGTAGGACGCCGGGAAGAAGATAGTATCCACGACCGCATAGGCCAAAAGCTGCGTCGAGTTGAAGGCTGCCGTCCAAAGGACGTAGGGCAGGTTGGCAAGACGACGCGAAACACTCAGGCCGTCGCCATAGCTGTAGCTTGTGGTTAGGAAGAAAAGCCCCGCCCACACGGCAGACCATATCGCCATCGTCAGGAGAAGCGTCTTCCGCTGTGTGGAAGGAGTGCTGTCGCTCTTGGGGTTGATGCTTCGAGGCAGGACGTACATGCCTGTGTCTTGGCCAGCTAGGAAGATGGCCAAGTAGCCGAAGAAGCTGAAGATGCCTTCTCGGTTCTTGGAAAGCAGGTCTAACCTTGGTGCGGTCAGAATGTACGCCTTCAGGTTCGTGCTCTCGAGAGCGACCTGATATAGCACACTGAGAATAATGGCAAGAGCGGCGTAACTGGGTACGATCTTGAGCGCGGACTGGAAGATGGCTACGAAAGGGGGTAGCAAGCCCAGTGTGAAGAAGAAATTCCAGTGTACACCGTACTCGGACACATGCTCGGCGTAGTCGAGACCCTTGACGCTGAGCAGGCGAATGACACCCAGGACAAGTAGCGGTAAAGAATGGCGCATCGAATGCAGCAGCCGCGTCGTCAGGGGTGTAGATTTACCCTCGGCGCGCTCCTTCAAGACGGGCCGAGCAGCAACAACGCCGGCACTGTAGACGAAAGAGCCGACGCCCATGTCCATCAGCGACGTCCCCCAAGTCTCGACTTTGGCGAAGCGGCGGGGGAAGAGACGGAAGTCGACGGCGAGGATGGCGATGCAGGTGATGACCAGCATGCTGCCACGATAGTGCGTCAGGAAAGGTTTGACGGGCAACACCGAGAGCGGCCTCGCAACGGTCCCCGCGGCGCCGGCCTTGGACTTCGCATTGGGGGGTATGGCAGGTTTCTTGCGACGGGCACCAAGGTTGGGAGGGAAAGCGTAGACCAGGGCGGCGGGGGCTAGGAGGAGTGCGCTCAGGAGCAAGGGGAGGAAGCGTAGAGAGTCGTGGAGAGGAGAATGGCGGTGACGTTGAGAAGGTAATCGACGGCAGCTCCAAGCACGCTGTATGGCTTAAAAAAGGATTGGCGGGACTGGAGGATGGACCAAAGTAGGACGGCGACCTAAAGCGGTGGGAAATGTGCATGTTAGCTTGCTTTGTCCTGATGCATGCGCGCGCGTGGGGGTAGGAGGGAGGTCGGGATGAGTATAGGAGGGTAGATCAGGGTTTCTTGATCAAAGAAGTAGTTACGCACGGGAGCGACTGCGGTCACGTAGTTGATCTCGGAAGCGGAGCCGCCGGAGAGGTTGGAGACAAAGTCCTCCTTGAGCTTCTTGTAGCTCGTGCCTGTAGTGTCGGACATGTTTGTGAGGGTGGTTCAAAAGAGTGTGCCAAAGAAGAGAGAGAGAGGGAAGGGGTCTTGGGTTCTGGCAAAAACAAGGGGAGGCTCAAAGCATGGCCTGAGAGAAGATGATGTTTTTGAAGAGCATGAGCGGTTCTTGTGACGACGATCTGAGAAAAGAACAAGTAGCCCGTTGTTGCTCTTCCGATAACGTGGTCTTTCTGAACTTCCGCCTTGCTGCAATTGCAACGTCGTCGGTCGTTCCCGCCAAAAAACGAGTCGATGAATTCTGGCCAGAAGCATGAGGAGGTGGTCCAAGCTCCTAGCTTTTCAGACGGCAGCAGGTCACCATACCATGCCCGAGGGTCCCTTCCTCCATCGAAAACACAGCGAAGGGGTGGGGTGTCATTCAGATTGCCCAATCAGAAGCTCGTATCTCGGCACCGTGAGGACCCACCCCGAGGATAGCTTCGGAGACACGGGGACAGGAAGCTCTACCTGACGGTGGAACCCTCCGTACCCTCCGTCCCCTCAAAGGAGACCCCGGACAGGCTCTGAAGACAGCTGGGAGCCAAGCAACGCCAAAGGCACACACGTCACAGACTTTTACATTCCTGGCGTGTACTCCGGGCACCGTGCCCCTGTTGTTGTCTCATTTCCATTCTCACAGGGAAAACTCACCCATGTCTCTGTCTCTGTCTCTCTCTCCCCGGCATTGCCCCATCTCTCTAGGTAGCTGTTCATTGGTTTGTCAGCTCTTTTTCGCCCCTCCAGGAATCAAGATCAGGAATCCTAATTGCTGCCTGTCATTGTCTTGTTCCACCGTTTCCACCATTCGCCATCACGACCGCACACGTCCAAGACATCCTCCAAGACACAACCGACGCCGTTGATGTTCCGCCTCCGCACTTCGCCTTCGGCCTCACTGCCGCAACTGAAGACAGCATTTCGACACGCTCGAACAGGTCCACGACAGAGAGCTACAGGGCTAAATCCAGTCACCTTGACGAATACAGCCACGCCAAGGCCAATAAGCGCGAGTGTGAGTGTAAGTGCCAGTGCACCCCACAAGCTCCAATAGTGTTGTGTTGCGTTCTTTCTATCTTCATGTCTTGCCTGTCTTCCCGTTCAACCAGGTCCGAACTTGTAAATCCGTTTTTCATTACTCTTCAATAAGAGAGGGCATAAGAGAAATGGCTGTCCTTCTGCGTCGAGCCCAGACGAATGTACACCCAGCCCTCAAGGTATGCTAGGAGATACACCGTATGCAAGGTTGCGCGGTCAGAAACATGACGAATCATGGCACAGACAAGCCGCCTTTCCTTTGTTCTCTTCTGCGGTCCTCTGCAGAAATCCCAAGTTCAAGCCCTCCGTCACCCATGGGTATGCTCTGGCAACCCACACGCATGCCTAGCTCGCCTTCTTTGTTCTCGCGTACAGTGACATGGGCATGCATGTTGGCCGCAACCGCCCATTGTCGCATAAGCGTCGACGACTACATTTCTCATCACACTCCCATCCACCATTTAGCAAACCAAAGGGGAGGAGGGGAGGAGACGCCTGCTAGGCCGTGGCTCATTCTTTTTCACACCCTCCTCTCTGTCGGCGACATCCTGTCGACCCCCTCCTTTTCCTTCTCATTCGCATCTTTAGTCAAGTCCTTTTGTTCTTTGAGAGGCCTGCCGTGTGTACCAATCCTTTCATTTCCCGATCCCGGCAGTTGGCGCAAAAAGTCTTTCTCTTAGGCGCGGAAAAAGCAGGTTGGAAGAATCCAGAGACATCCAGACAAGACAACAAGCCTATCATTCATCTCAATATTAATTACCCTCTTGTCCCTCCCCATCCAGACATAAGAAAGCCCACCTCCCTTGATCAAATCCTTATAGGGCTGCAAACTTTCGCTTCCATCTCCAACATACCATACCTTTTGCTTGGTTGCACATCCCGATCCTTGGGTCCATTCGTTGTTACTCCAAGTTTGGCCTGGCCCCTTATAGTTTCCATAAACCCTTGATAAGAGCCATAGGTTTGTGTGGTGTTCACTTCAATACCACGACTACCATAATGGCCACCCCAGTTGACAACCACCCTCGTCCCAGCCTCCATCCGCTATGGAGCTCTCAATATAACATTGGCGGGTTTCCTCGCTCAGCCGGCAGGCCTTCCGCCCCCAGTTCCTACTTCAGCCCTTCTGATCGTTCACCCAAAAGTCTGCCTACTCCAGTATTCCCATCCAACGATGGGTCCATGAGACAACATGAGCGGGCCATGGTCGACCGTCTCGGCCACAGAATCCGTCAAGCACAACGTGTCGACCTTAGCCCGCCAAAGTCTGCCACTCGGCCACGGCCCCTATCTCCTCTCGCGGAGCATTCGGCTAGCAATGCCAGGCGATACTCGGCCGCCGGACCCATGAGTCCACGCCGGCCGGGGCCTCCACCTTCAGCAGCTCCCATATCACCACCCGCGGCCAGCAACAGAAGACAGACGCTTGCAGCGGAGACACGATCTATGCTTCTCGCCGGCTTGGGCGAAGAAGTACAACGACGACAGTCAGTAGCGGGAGCCAGTTATTTCGCCAGATCAAAAGACGCCGAGAAGCGTCTTCATCTCGAACAACTCAGAGCTTGGGGTCACGTTTATCTTGGAGATGCCAAAACCTCCGACGTCTTTGTCCAAGCAGTGGCCCTCCGACGGCAGTCTGATGCCAGCACGAACTCGGACAACTCGACTGGCGACTCATCACCCCCAAGCATGCCACCTACACCGACGACACCATCCCACCAGACGGCAATTCGTGCTCGCGTACGTCCTCGCGCCCTGGAACGCAAGCCGTTTCTCATCCAGCGCACCTTCGACATTGAGCAGTTGCGCTCCACTGTCCCAGACCCGTTGCCAAGCTCTATCCCGGTAGACCAGAGGCGGCGGCCTTCTCTGCAATCTCTGAAGACCTCACCTCTACCAAAGATCTCATCGCCTCGGCCAAGCGCCGCACGAAGGAGGTCTAGCAGTGCAGCACTCAACCCACTCCCTTACAGCCGCGGGCTAAAATCTGGAGATGCCCGAGTGGCCCCGTCGCGAGGCGCTACCACTATGCCAATTCGTAAGTAATGTCTCACCTAAGTTTATCCCGAACGGACGTTTGCGGACTTGGACCTTTCTGGCCGTAGCCTCCAAGGCCGGCCTTCTCCTTTCCCGGCAGCACAGAGACCAAGGCTAACACCCAACCCATCCACAGATCTCCAGTACGCCCGATCCTCACTCCCAGTGTTGGCAGCTCTCATTGTTTCTGGTCATATTACGGCGGGCGACGTTATCGATCTGCCACTTCCCCATCCCGAGGTCTGGCCCAACACCGTCGCCTATGTGTATACAGGACAAGGAGAGGTGACGGATGCGGTGAGGGAAAACATCCTATACCTTGCTGGAAAGGTTTAACGCGCATGACGGTCTTTTCTCCATCTTCTTTCACGACTTATGACTCTTCTTCCTTTTTGCTCTTTCATCCTTCCACCTTCTCTTCACGAATGCGGCATTCTGTAAACCCTTTTCATAGTCAGCAATGATCACGCGGAAATGGAGATGTAGCGATTGTGGAGGCCGTTTCTCTTCCTTTGCCAAAGTCCCCCCCTCCTCTTCCTCCTGTGTCCGCCTCATCTGCACAGGAGGACATCCTCTTTACTTGTATTGCCTTGCCTTGCATCATGAGACATGTAATCTAATTCTTCATAAAAACAAAAAAAGTACTATACTGTCCTAGTCTCATCAAGACCAATGGGCCCCCAAGAGCAGGCCCCTAAGATATTGCCCGCAAACACCCGTGCTTGCTTACAGCGTGTTCATCTACGTGATCGATCGCCCAGAACAGGGCTTGCTATGGCCACGAGCTGCAGGCAGGCAGCCACACTCTATCGATACCGCCTTTTCCTCCCATCTTCTTGGTCTTGCTGTCGTTGACAGATGCGGGGCTTTACGTCCCGCCGTCCAATAAGGGAAGAAGGGCGAGGCGGCTTGGCATGGCACAGCTGTGGCCTATGCGTTCCGCAAACGTGGTGTGGAGATGCGCGCCCCCCAACGTACGATGGCCCACGAGGTGGGAGGGCACTTTCTTACACTTCTTTTATCTTTATTCATGACGTTCTTGGAAAATACTTTGAAGATTCCTCCTTGTCGAAAGGATTCCCTCCGCGGACCTGTATGGTGGAGGTGGTGGGCTCTGGCCGAAGATCTACGTTTTTTTGGACAAGAACGAGGTCTCGCCTTTACTCGCCTAGGTGGACGTTTTCATGTCTTCGCCTCCCCGTCCCCGTCGTGTCTTTTACAGCGTTGTTGCTCTATCCTTCGACTATTTTCCCTCCACGACGTTGATAACCCCACGCCCCCGTTGCCAAACTCGAAAACGATTGTCGATCTCGGTCGACGTCGTGGCTTTCCGGGTCGGCAGTGCCTTTGACAACTGTTGCGACTCCGTCCGAAAGAGGGTTTTCCTGCTCAAGTATGACCACGAGATACCCGCAGAAGATGTGGTGATCTCTCTCTTGTGAGCTGAGTCTCTGTTCTGTACGGACAAAGGGCGACAGGCGCCTCCTCATCTATATTCCGTCGGGTTCAGACATCCTACACAAAGCACCCTGCGCTATTAGGTCACCGTATGCCACCCTCTTTTTCGTACGCTTACCCGAAACCACCCATCCTCGGGCCGTGAGGCCTTGGGATCTCGGTCAACCGTCAGATCCTTCGGCAAGAATTCTTTTTGGGTATTCGGGCTTTTCAATGACGTGGTGGTTGTGATGTGTTGCCGCGTTCAGACCAGGGTGTTTCTCCCTATTTCTGTCTCTCACACACGTTGTCGGAAAGGCTATCGGGAGGACGCGTGTTCTTCCCCCTTATTCCAATTGCGGTGTGCTACCAGAATGGAGATTCCGGAAATGCTTCCAGTCCCGGTTGGAGGTCGGTGGGAGTGTGGTCTGATGCTTCTGACTAAAGAGTGTGGAGATGACCGTCTCCGTCTTGGAGGGCCCGGTTATCTCGGGCGCTAGAGTGCCGTGCTCCGTCCTTCCGGGCAGTCGGCGTGGCGAACTTCAAACCACTGCACTTGCTGCCGCATTGCATGCAAAGAAACTCCAGGGCTGGGATTTGTGCCATTGAGGGCTTGACGAACAGATGGAGGAGACACACCTCTGCGCCCAGTTTCGTTCACCTCCGAATGCACTCCAGCTGCAAATGGCGCGGGCCATGCACTGTTTGCCGGTTGATGTTGCTTCTCGGTGGTTTTCCAGAAAGGTCTTTGTTTATGAGGATGAGAGCAAGCTCCTTACTCAATTGCTAACAGCGCCATATATTGAAATCACCATGTTAAGGCTCAGCATGGCAACGGACTCTATGTTACTAAAGCTGAGCTTGGGGCTGTAAATCGGAACCGCGTATCTATAAATCGACCACCTTGTACTGTCATAACGAGGACACTGACACTGGAAACTACCTCCAGGCACTCGGATTGTTCCTTAAGGCTTGCCATCCTTCATCCGACGACACTGATATACTGACTTCCAGATAAGATTAGCCGAGATAGTTGACACAATAACGTAAGACAAGGTTATCAAGGGGGTAGGGTGATTCTCTCGTGATTCTGTAGGCCCCTAATAGCTTTTTCCATCTCCTCGTGGGCCATAAGTAAACATTGAGATACCCGGCGGCACACGGTATTGGTATGAAACCCATGAAAGCTTCAACAGCGTCTGGCTTAAAAAAAGAAAATAAAAGATACCCGTTCGCCGGCAATGCTTCCATCAAGTAAGACCATTCGGGTTGATAGTAAGCATCGAAAGAATTTGAGGTCCGACTTTGACGTCCGAAAGAGACACAGGTAATGGGAGTAAATCGGGGGATTTTGTGTTTTTAACCAAGCTACAAATATGGACGAATATTGAGATTTGCCTCCTTTCCGAATCATCATATTATGTATCTCTCTTCTTCATCTCCGAGCTTGGGCTTTTCTCTTTGATGTCTTTCTGGACCGATCTCACTTTGGAAGTATTGTCATCGTTTTCATCATTGCCTTTGTTGAACTGAGGGCATGGGTAGTACAGCTGACCCAAAGCATTGATAACCGCATATGCATTGTTAATCGACTTGACGGTAAACCAAGAAATAAACGTTTTTCGATAATTAGATTTCTGTTTTCCCCTGTCACTTACAGTAAGATCTTGGTGTTCCCTCCCAATTCTGACGGAACGGACTGGCATCCCAGCATGCTAAAATACATTCGTATACATGGTTGACCGGGCACGAGTCAATAATCACTATCACCGCTATATTCCTTTTTGAACGGGGCGTCGGATCAGTCAACATTGGGTCGCGTTCTGTCGCCCGTCTGTTTCACTCTTTTTTCGCGGTGGCGCCTGAGAAGACGAGGAACACGAACCACCACATCACGGCCCGCTGCGATGGAAGTCTCAACAGCCCCTTTTCAGACCTGCGGTTATAGGGGTCCATCCCAGGATCCTCAATGTTTCACCATGGACAAAGTCGGAAAGCAGTGAGCAGTCAGCTTGGCTGTACAATTAGTTGCCAGCAGGTTTCTCCAGTCATTGTTCTATACTCATAACATAGGGCAATCGATTCTGGCTGTATCCACGCATTCTACCCTATTAGAATAGCCAAAGAATGGCTCAACTACATCGTGTTGATGCAAGCCTGCAAGGCGTAGTCTCTCCGTTATGTACAAGTAGTCAATTATATACTCACGGCAAACAGCCGTGTGATATGACGGAGGGACGTAGCCTAGAAGATGAGGGTGTTTGTTCCGGAATCATCAGTTTGGTGTACAACATGCACCAACCTTTCTCGTTGACAAAAGTCGTGCGAGCCATATGCATGCCAAGCTTCATCTCAAGAGGCAAAGACGAAGATGGCGAACGAAACCTGCTGGACAAGGCAACGCATCAGAGCCGAAAATCACAGCTCACGGACTTCACATGCCCAGAGACGTAGCCTTGCAACGTCAAACACTACGGCATTTCGATATCAACTGCTTGTCTTGTTACCTGCGATACGCAGATTCGCACAAAGTCAAAGGTGTCTAGACTCATCGCCAACCAGGAAACCCCGACCAGCGTTCAGAACAGTAGCAGACCAAGTATTGGAACAGATAGAACCTGGCCGCGCAGCAGTCAAAAACTTTCGTGTCTACGTAACGGTACAAGACCCCTCTCGGAGCGATGATATATTGCTATCAGTCACCCATCACTTATCACGACACAACCCGCATCAGTGTCACCGAGAACTCTGCTGAACCCTTCTACACCATCGTAAGCAACCAGGTCGTATCGCCCAGAGTGGGCGTTGATTCGCCAGAGGAAATCGACTCAATCTGCTTTAGAGCTTTAGAGCTTCAGAGCGCAGTATGCCGCAATCCACGGACCGGTACATGGTAAATCTAGGGTTGGCTACTGACTGACCGGGAACGCTTCCCAAGTACGCATAACCATCAAACAGGCGGAATATGCCGTGCTCGTCATCCCAGAAACGCGGACCTGGATACCTGCGGCACAAGGATCTCGTTCGTCCGCCGCCATCCTCAAGAATGCGCCGTATTGAGGAGAGGTATCCCTCCTCTGCATGTTCCCTGGCGTGTGGTGATGTCAGTTGTGCACCTCGACGACACCGAAAACTTAGACAGAGGTTCACGAACCGGACGACACACTAACGCCGATATCGTGCAGAACCGAGTAGAGGAGAAAAAAACGCTACGTCAAATTATGCTTGACCTTCCTTGGACAGGCTTCGCCACAGTGTCTCCCGGAATTCACATGCATCTTGAGCGCACCCATAGTGCCATTGAGGCATTTTGTTTGTTGGCCACTCCAAGATAAGCAGGCAGGCCTTCCGTTAAGAAAGCTGCGTTGCAACCCTCATGGGAATCGGCCCAGCTTCTTACCGACATTGCGCCTTGGTAGCCGAGCCCGCCATGTACGGCCGGTTACTGCAAGCCTTGCTTGAAGCCATGCAGTCGGGGCAAGCCATGGCATGGAGCTCTAGCACACCTGCCGTCGTAGCGAATTAGCCTGCATATTCAAACACCCGTTCCAATCAAGAAATTCAAGCCTTGCAAAGATACAAAAACTCGCCCAATGGTCCATGTCAGAGAGAAAAGCATGTGAAGGATCAACAGCGGCTCAACTCACCAACAAGAGACAGTTCATTCCCCACGTTCCAGCCCCCATCACCGAATATTTTCCCCTACCCCGCCATCTCCTCCCTTTTGCGGGGAAGGAGATCGAGAAGGTCGAGAAAGCAACCACGCTACAACTGACCGTTGATTAGGCATTGCTTCCAGAAACATATCCAGTCTTCTCCTTCCTATTGCCGACGGCGATTGAATGCCTTGCGTTTGCCTCCCACCCATTTCCCATGTCGTGCAACCAAAGCACATGCCATTTCGACGAGGCAAGACGGAAGAGTAAATTTTTTAACAACATCCATGCCCAATTGCCTTCCCAAGCGTACAGTAAGACTAGCAGCGGCGGCAAGCCACAAAAGCCTGTATGTTTGCCGTTCTTTCTTTCGCCTTGCCCTGCTCGTGCGTCGGATACATTTAGCGCAGCCGTCACATCATGTACATGCCTATATCATCCTGTCTAAACCATGGCGCCGTCTAAGATCAAGGGTCCGAAGGCAGCAACGCTGCTGTCCCATTACCAAGAGCAGTACAGAGTAGAAATGTCATTGTCAATGGTTACCCCATTTGCGGAAATGGCATCACCAGGAATGCGTCGCGACGATGCTGCTGCATTGTGATCAAATCACGGACTCCCTGTAGCATCGTGTGTCTGTCAGTCATTTGGTTCTTGGAAGTCATTCTGAGATTGGTCCAGTACAAGGTAATCGCAGGTCTCCAGACTGATCTTTTGCACACAGGAAAAGGTGTGTGAGGTCGCGGGACCACCAGCATGTGAGAGTCAACGCGCGCGAGCCTCGATCCACAAGATGTTGCCTCGCCTACGAATCAAAAGACCTGCTCGCCATCAGTTCACCAAAATCCAAGACAAAGCAAGGCAGCTCAGTGCTCGTGACGATACTGATCTGGAGAGCAGTCTCACCTTACATCCACAGGCATAAGTGTATTAGCACTTGTTCCTGATTGCCCCTCCTTTTGATCCGACCATCGATCCACTCAAGCCTGCTTCTTGTGCCTCACCATCTTGAAGAAGTCCGAATGTGGTGGACACAGTCCAAAGGCCCTAGAGCTGGTCCTGCAAGAAATCCTGCATCATGTACCCCCAGACCTTACCTGGCTTCTTTGCGAGCTCGCCGCGGACAGCTACGCATCCGTTGCCTCCCTTTCGCGGGGCAGCAGGGAAGTAGAACCTCGTCATGCGAGGTTAGACAACCACCCCGACCACTACTAGCTCGTCCGTGGTAGAGGGGAGTCGTACACTAGGAGGCCGTGCTCCATCGTTTGCTCCCTTGGTTGATAGACTCGCTCCAGGGGGGTTGAGAAGCCCGCAGCTGGAGCGGTGGGGGCGTGATCCCATCATCCGCCTGCGGACTAACAGGGTCCTGTCAGTCAACCGGCGGCAGGCCATTCTTTCGTCAATTCTTCAGCGCTTGTCAATTCCGCTCTTCGGCCAGGCCTCGGCCGGTCCTTGTCTTTAGTGGAGAGTTTATTGGGGGCCTGTTTGTTCAATGACCCTCGTTCCTTGGTGCGGATCGAAGAGCCCGTTCGTTTTGCTTCAATTAACCCCTCAGCAAAAAAACGAATAGAAAATAAAAATAATAAGCGGCGCACGCCGCAGCCGCGATGAAAATCGGCACCAGCGCGCTGATGGCTCGCTCGGATCACGATGGGGCCATGGCATCGAGCGCCAACAACGACTTTCGCTTCTCGAGGTAAAACAGCCCATTGCTTTACAAGTTGAGACTCAGTTATAAGTCGTGAGGAAAAGGCTGAAACCTTCTCTGGCCCCCATTACCAGCGAAGACGATTGGGATGTTTCCATCAACTGTGGATATTCTTCTGAAACGGGTGTGAGCATTCGGCATGGGTCTCCGAATGGTGGCCTCTTTTTCTTTCTTTTTCTCCTAGGGAGGCTCCCGTCTAAATGTTTACAACCGTTGATCCTTCAGCCTAGAGGATTTGCGTGGGGGGCTGATACCAACATCAACGCCTTTTTGTCAAAATCACACGAATAGTGGCGAGATAAGACAGGTTGAAGACGCGCTCTAGGTAACTAATGATGAGCGCAGGCGCCCGTCTGCAACTTGTTTTCCGGTTCTGATAAGCTTGTTGAGTTTTACTCACCATCTCACAAATTCCTGCCCCGAAATAGGCAACTTCTGGTTGTCAACTGGGTGAGGCATTGGCCTGTCTCACGCGCAGCAGCTGCATGCTCCAGCGTCGAGGTGGAACAACCTTGGCGTCGACGGCACGGAGGCAGCGCCAACATTGCAGGGTGATTCTCGGGGCATTTCCTGAATCAGAATCTGAGGGGTACATCGTGAGTACTGGGCTTGTCCCCTGAATAGGATAGGTCTTCGTTGTTGGCAGGGGCCCTGGGCATCCTCCGTCGACGGACGGACACTCCACGTCTTCTTTAGTATAGCGTGCAGACAGCCAGTGATAGCGACTACCAAAGACCCATCCAGTTATCATGCAGCCGATGACCAAACAATCAAACAGGCTGAGTCAATGGGCCAAGGACAAGTCAGCGCCGTGTGCCACATCTTCCCTAAGTTTGTTGTACTCTTGTGCATGCGATACTGGGTCTCGCGAAAAGCTTGCAGTAGGTGCAATCGTTTAAAGGCTCCAGGTCGCGTTGTAGTTTCGATGCAAGCAAGACAATCAAGTCGTCGTCATTTTTTAAACGCCATTGGAGGAGGCCGGACGATCCGGCCAAAGAGTCTTTTCTTCTTCGTATGGTATCGTCCAGTTGGTTAAACACCCTTGCGGCGACATGATATTCTTCAACGGCTTATGAAGGCCGAAGATGTTTGTGTGGGTCGAAGGATTGCTGACGACCACTTGAGGGTCGGGTTATCTTTGCCATTGTTGGTTGCGAGCCTTTCGAACCTGCATGGTTATGTGAGTCGAGGGTGCAGCGAACCAAGAAGAGCGAGTAGACTTCCCCTCTTAGACCGGGATATTTTCGAGATGCAGCTCTGCCAATTCTTCTCGTTTCTTGGTTGTCGTGGCTGTTGTTCTCCATAAATCTTTCGTTGGCAGGCACATGGACCCCCCCTGGTTGTTGAAGAAGAGCTGGCCCGTTCGATGTCGTGATGGAATGATGCTATCCTGCGGGGTTGGCTAGGCATAGAGGGGACAACCCACAAACAAATCTCCATCCACCCCCTCCTCCCAACCAGGGTCCCTCGAATCGACGCGAGAGCGGGAAGATCGTGAGCCTGTCCATCCGGGCTTGCGACGGACAGAGTTTGCGGAGAGCAGATTGCTAACAGGCAGGTGTGGCATAGCGTACGACACTACAGGCGCGAGACACGGCCTGGATCGCGCGAGGTGCTTCCCCGGCGGATCTCGGGTTGCGAGCATGAACGGTTGCGATGCAAGTTGATGTCAACCATTTGCTGTGCAGCCGCAGATCGTAGTGTTGCAAGATGGACCCTGGCACGAGGAAACAGGCCATCTGTCCATACATGATGTTGCCGGGTGCAGCGCTGGAGACGTCCAGAGCAAAGCAAGTGCGAGAGAGGCTATGGTTTATCAGGAATGATGGTTTTGCTGAGCACAAGCATACCCCGTACGATGTTATAGTATCCGATTCTGCCCGTGGACTCCGTACACATTGTCGGCCAGACGGGACAGGTGGGCGGCGCGAAGACGACGCTGGTCCACTTGATCAAGCCGGCTCCACCGAGCTTCGGCCATGATCAGCCTCCATGCTCTAAGCGTGCGGAGGATCGTGACGAGGGTCAGGGCTAGGGTTTCGAGATGGAGTTGGAGTTCAAGCCGAAGATGGTGTTGGGCATGGAGCTGATGACCTGAGGTTCATGTGGCTACCCGTGCATGGTCAAGAGTAGCGTTGCTTAAGATGGGACCCAGCCAGCCGCCGGAGTGTGATGATCTAGTTACAACGCAGTCGAGAGGCGCTCCACAGCAGACGAGGTGTGGCCGAGGTGAGATGAGGTGAGGCAAGGTGTGGGCGTGCCGAGTCGAAGGGATCTGGTTAGGCTTTGGCGAGCAACCAGCAAGATCCAATAGCATTGCAACCTCGTAAATGCAGAGCCGCCCCGTCATCCATGTCGCAGGCCGTCTGTGTTGAACAACAGCGCAGGCGAGCGTCTTCGGCGAATGTCATTTTTGGCTGGTAGAAGCTGACAAGAAGCACAAGACGGGCGTATGGAAGGCTCCCTCCACGCAGGAGCTTTGGGCGTACGCCGGATCGTTGTTGGATGAAATGGCGAAGATGGAGTTGAGCGAAGACGCCAAATATCCGGAACGGACAGTGAAGGGTGGTGGGTGATATCAAGGCGTAAAGGGGACGGAAGGCTCGTGGTAAGAAGCATGTATGGCGGTACTTGGCAAGTATAACTCGTAAGAGGGATGGTGTGTGGAAAAGAGTACGCACAAAGTCAATGGATGGATATGAATAGGAATGGGATCGTTGGTCGGCCACCCCACCCCACCGTCAGTGATGATGCTGGTTCGCATGGGTGGTGCAGACGCAGGTCCGACAGGATAAGGAAAAGCGCGATGGCTGGCAAGGGTGGGTTGCATCGAGGGTCACCATGTCGTCTTGGCCTTTGTCGCTCATACATACAACGGAAATATGCAAGAGAAAGAGAGGTGCTTGTCCGATGCCCCGAAAGAGAAACCAGTTTGCAGCAGAGACATGGACATAGGCAGAGGATAAGGGCGTCCAATGTGGCATGATGTGGTGGTGAGCAGTCAACTTTGTTGAGGCAGGAAAAAGCTGAGATATGACTGTCGGTGGAGAGGGGTTGCGCGTTTCGATTTACGCGGACGATTGTGTTTTTTTGTTGTTTTTATTTTCGTTTTTATTTTCGTTTCTACTTGACTTGGTAAGTACTGAACATGCTGCGTTTGCATCTCTGTGTCCGTCTCCGTTCCTCCCCTCTGTCTGTGCGGCGGACAGCGGACGGGATGTCGACATGATGAAGTCTGTGGTTTTGTTCCCGTTTCGCCTTTGAGATGAGATCTTAGGTTCGGTGGTTGGTGGGCGAGAACAGACGACGAGACGTGCCAAGCATGCTACCTAGTGTGTAGGTAGGCAGGTCCTGGTCGAGGGAGAGAAACACAAGTAAAAAAGAGGGAAAAGGAGGGGTAGAAAAGGTACATGGCCAGTTCGTGGAGATACAGCGGCCGCCTGTGCGTCGATGAAAAGGCAAGTACCTCTTGTGTCCCCTCCATTCCTGCCCCGCCCTGCTCCCCATTCAGGTCCGCGCTTCCCCACCAAAAATGACTTCCAAAATGGCAAGTACCTTCCTTAGCTTACGGACAACTTCCTTTCCTTGAGGCGCCTGCTCTTGCCGTTCCCTGTCCTCTCCAAAGGTCCTCTGTATCAAGGAAGGTGCATTTGTTCAAACCATGTCCCGCAACTGCCTGTCCTCAGACAGTCAAGTAGACATACCTTAGTACATAGTTCAACTCGAGATGAGTCCACCGACTGCGCGCCACTTCCTGAAAAGGCAGGCAAGTAGGCCGAGGCAGCTGCTCAGCTCAGCGATGCCGAGCGCAGTCAGGTACGTTGAGTCGCCGCAAGTAGCACGGAGCCGTTTGCCGTCTGCAAATGAGCAGACGGGTTGCTCTGGCCGCACCTCAGTCCAAGAGCCACCCCAGATCGTCGCGGGCATCTGTATTCCACCCACCACCTAAAACTCGACGGTGCGGAAGACGTTCCTTGCAACCTCCCGCCCACAATCACAATTGGTAGTCGGCTTGGAAAGACGACTGTGCATGCCGCAACATGTCACGGCCGTGCGCGCGCAGGGTGGGACCCCCCTCGCTCCATCGAGCCTCCAGCCCGCCATACCATGCCATGCCTTGCCAATGGCGGCGGCAGCTTATCGTCGCACGTCCATTTCCTCTTCCTGCCTCTGCTACCGAGAACCGCCATGCTAGACACGACACTAGACGCCAAAGAGGCTAACGAATCGTCCCATCATCATCACCGTCGGATCTAGACTTTCCCTCGCGCTGTCGGCGCTTGTCGCCTGCCATCGCAAGGCCCGTTCACCCGATGCTCTCCGTCCTTGACTCTCAGCCTAATCCGCGCCGCTTCTCGCGGGTCTTGACCCAGTGACGGATCTGAAGGAAACGGCTCGCCGCCGCCATCGGTTTGCAAGCCCGGAGCATTCCCGGGCGCCCTTCCACGGACTCTTGGTCGCCGTCATACCCAATGCGTCTTGACTCGTGCCGTCGCATTGGTTCGCTCGCCGTCACCTCACGCTGGAGAGAGTGGCGCCATCACTGCGGGAAGAAGTACCGGCGGGCCAACAAGACTCTCCATTCCCAAAATCTTTGTCAAAGAGTTTTTTTTTCTCTTATTGCACCATGCATTCGCACAAGTCATTCGTTGGATCCAATTCTTATCCCTCATTGGCCCAACGCCGCTCGTCGTCACTTTTCACTTTGCATACCGGTTGGACAAGAGACCTACCTACGTATGGGTACTGCAGCTTGAATCAACATGTTGCAGCAGTCGTTGCAAACTGCCTAGGAACATTCAATTTCGCTGTCCAAATCCATGCGAATAACACAGCTCTCGCAACTGCCGATTTATACCATTACGACACCACTATACTTCTGTGTCCAGCACTCTGCAGCCCTCCGACTCGATCCACAAGTGCCCAACATCTGTAACCACTGGTGGCGTCTCACCATGTCGGCTTCTGTCATATTCGGCATTCCGACGCTGTCAGACACTTGAGCACGAGTTGGTGAGTGCTTTTCTGACCATCTCCACATCATCCCTACTCCTTCTTCCAATATTAGGCAGTTTTGAAGCCTCGAGGGACGTGTCTCATGTCGTGCGTCTCTGCATCTTACAGCCCCCATCCCAAGGTGAGAATGTCTAGCATATACTGCTTCGCGCCCCATATATGAGGAGTCCAGAACAAAGATCCATCGTAATCTCGTCCAGTGCGAAACACCATGAGATCCTGGTACAGGCTCATCTATGTCATCGAGGACACTCTTTTTGACCACTTGCAGCACCGACAAGGCCAGGGGTTCGAAAGGAAGGGAGGGGGAGGGGCAACCAACCAGGCTTTGTGTCAAGCATGGGAGACACAAGGGTGGGCTGCTAGATAACGTAAACAAGGCCACAGGACATGATCTCCCAGCCCATCCAAGAGGCTGTCAACCTCAGCTGTTGACCTCGCAGCTCGAGTCCGAACACTCTGATTGGGTCCTGAGACATGGCCATTTGATCTTACCCATCCACCCATCACGACTCAACCTTACGCTCCGGGGGGGGGGCCAACCACTGGTACGCGTCGGAGATCTTGCGACATCGCCTCTTTGACGTTCGGGATTTCCACAACCCTTCTTCCTCCGTACATACCCATCTTCGACCCAGAGACTCTGGCCTTGCGGGGTTTTACGCGGCCCCAAGCCATCACCTGCCTCGTTGCCTCCGTTGAGTGTGGAGACCTCGAGTATCTTAGTCCATCCTGCTAGTCGTCCTGATCGAGCCAAGTCTCGAACCGTTCGATGGACTAGTAGGGATGTAGGGTGTAGGCTAGGTGGTGACGGTGGGTGTGAGATCGTACTCTCTCACTCCGACGACGACGACGGCAACGATGGACACCACCAGTACAGAATCGTACGCACCCATACATCCCCTCACGAGGCTCATGGACCCCTCTTGCCCACCAGCCCGCCCGGAGTGAGACGAGAGGGGCGTGTGCAACGAAGCAGAAGAATACCTACCACGGCAGCACATGAACATTGTCTAAAGCTTGGGATGGGCAAGGAAGTACCACCACCACAGCGACAAGAGACAGAACCACCCGCTCTGGTCTTCTCAGCCGACAATTCTAGGCTTTGCAATACGGCAACCCACGGCGAAGATAACGCCGAACGCACCACTCTTTGCCTCCTCCCAGAGCCGCGTGCCTGCCGCCGGCCTGCCTGGTACTTTTCTTCCCAGCCACTCCCCTCTAGAGGAACCCCTCCAAATCCAGGCGGGGGAGGACGTCATGTAAGACAAAGCACCACACATGCGCACACGCACGCCAACGAAGCCGCTGCGATGACTGTTTAGACGAGGCGCATGAACATGGCACAGCCTCTCTTTTCCTCATCACCTCCAAATTCCAAAGAAGAATCCAAAGACGTCCGTCCGGCCCAGCCAGCCAGCCGGAGAATTAGTGACAGCATGACTCCTTCGCATACCTTGGCCCTGTCGTGTAACCGGGGCACCAGGCCGTCGAAAGTGAGGAGCACACGCACAGGGCAGTGTCAGATATCGCGGGTTCCCCGGAAACCGTTTTATTGGGGGCCAACGTCGATGGGATACGAGAACGCAGGTCAGTCACCTGCCGTGTAACGAACAGGCCACGCGCTCGTGTGTGTGCTGCTTGCTTGCTTGCTGCTTGTTTCTTCTTTCCATGGGAACCCTCCCTTTCCTCCTTCCCCCCGGCGATCGAACTAGTCGATCCCCCAGTTCGTCAAGACGCAGGACCGTTGGATTCCCATTGGCTCGGTAACTGCTTTCTTATTTCGTGAAGATATCCTGCAGCCTGCCACTGCGAGCATTCAGGATCTGCAACCCACAAAATTCATGGCAGTTTTTCCAGACATGGATTTCTCAGCATCACGAGTAAGATGGTGGGTTTCGTGGGAAATATGCTTTCTTTTCTCCAGTCTATGGAAAGCCCGTTTTCTTTGACTCTGAGTGGAAAAAACATGAAATAGTGGTAAAGACCAACTGTCTAATGCTGCGGTTCCCCCCCATC